CTTTTATTAATAATTAAATCATCTTCAAGCTGTTTCGTGATAACTTGCAAATAAATACTTTTTAATCGGAGTTTTATATCGCTGTTTTTTTTAAAGAAAAATGGTTGAAGCCATGGCTAGGCTTTCAGTGCAAGAACTAATAGAAATATGTTTGAAAGCTTTTTAGGAGACGTTTTAAGTGATACTGATGATGATTTTAACATTATCCATGACGATATCAGTTGAGATTATTCTTCTCGTGAATTTTATACTAGTCTTAGTATTACTGAAGTAGGCCTACTGAGGCTACTGTTAGACTTCGAGCCAGGTCCGGAGTTTCGGCAAGGACTGACTGAATTTTAGTCACAAAAGCTACAGATTATAGTTCAGAACTAATACATTTTATAGTTAAAAAACCCAAATCAGTTCCATAGTTCCTTTTAAATGTTTACTAGTCAATAATAACTATTTTGCCTGAGATTTCGTATTTTGTACTTGGTTTTAGCAGGGGTCCCAGTTTCTTATATAAATGACCTAAAATTACTAAAATTGCTTTCAGAGGTTTAATTGCAATCAAAACCTTAGCAAACTACACATTTTCTTAAAGATAAATGAATTGGCTACAACATTTAGATTTGTGTTTTAAGTGTATCTATAAAAATTAATGATGTTATGAGCACTTGAAAGCAAGACATTTTGTCGATTTATTTTTTCTTGAGAACTCCAAGGTCAAGGACACTGAGCACAATTTTTGTACGGGGTGGGCAATATGGTCAACTTTATCCCCATCCATTTACCTTTCTAAAAATATATACTTATAGAGGTCTTGTATCAATAATTCTATGTCATTTTATGCAATTTCAAATAGCACTCAAAATGCTCTGAAAACCTCCACACCACAGAATGATGCATGCCACAGTTAGTGGGTTAACTTCTCTATAGCAGAACTGTGTACCCTCAAACTCCTAAAATCGTACGATATCGTCTCTTAATCGTACAATACGGTATCTTAATTGTAAATAAATAACATATAGTAATATATAATGTATACAATAACTAGCTTAGCATGTCCAGTGGAATCGAGTTTAGCTGGCGAAAAAAAAAAAGGAAATTAAATTAAACAGTAGATGACTGACGTTAACTGGAAACTGCGGTCACTTTGTTTTGCAGATGTGTATCTACTAAAGTTATAAAATAATATTTAGGTGAATGTGCAGATCACATTATCACAGTCTGTCATTGGTAAAAATAAAGTTACTAGTGAAATTTAACGTGGTTCAAACTCGAAGTCAGATCAGCATAAAATAAAATGAATTTAAATAATAATTAATTACACTGAAACAAATTGGGGCATCTTTAAAAAAAAACAACCTATCAAGTAACTTGAGATTTAATTTTTAGGAAAAGCTGTTTTAAAAAAATAATAATAAATATCCATTATGCCTATTTCCTGTTAACAAACTGATGATGTCTGATTACGACCACAAACTGTAAATGGGTGAAAGGAAGAGGGGTATTAAAAATCATACAGCTGTTTTGTGCGTTTTATCAATTTCAAGGCCCTCTCAGATCCCATGAAATGTGTAGGCCCACTTTCCGCCGTCAGCCGTAAGAAATAGTTACTGGTATGTCATAAAATTAGGTCATAAAAAGCAAACAAAATCGAGAGGGTGGGCATCTATATACCATGTACCAGTACGCATATAAGTCAAATTATCTAACTCCCTCCGCACTGTTGCACGCATACTTTAAAAAAATTTTTTTTTTAACTAACACTTTTTCCAACTATTACGTTACAATGAGCTTTCGCCCCCCCCCCCTGAAAATCAATTAAAATCTATTTTTATATTATGAAGTTACAGTATAGAAAAAGTGACACAGGTTTTCATCGCTCCGCCAGTTCAGACAAACAACATAATTCTGTAACAAAATTAACAATCAAAGGAGATGGGGTGAAGTATTCGCTAGGGCAACTAGTCTAAATATTACAGTTGACGCAGCTAGCTCAATAGATCTGTTGCGGTGATATTATAAAGACTTTTAAATTCCTACAAATCCCCTTACCCAAGCATTCTCCTTATTCAACAACCCCCACCTCCCCTCTCAGTGCATACATTATATAACAAAAAATGGTTCCAACTTTAAAAAAAATTACAACAAATAGTTTTTCTCGGTCCATTCACCGCCAGATCTTTATTAGAAGGGGCTAAAACTTCAACAATAAAAAATTAAATCATTTTTTATTAATTATAAAAATTACCCAAATATTTTTTCATCGGGTCTCTGAAAATCGTATTTATGGCGGGTCTCGGTGTACAAACGTAAAAGACATCTAAAAATTGTACATTGTACGCCAAAATCGTAAGAGTAAACAGGTCTGCTATAGATAATGATTTAATAAAGAAATATATAGCATTGAAATACGACGTCGACATGAGGTCCTTGGTATTTCAGAAAATTTCTTTGCCTTTTTGTTATGACGACAATGTGACGTCCTCTGTAATTCAAAGTGGGTGATCGTGACGTCGGGTTGACGTCATCGGTAGCGAAGTGGTTAAACATATGATAAAAAAGATGTATTTAACCAAATGTAACGACCATTAATCATTAAACAAATTGTACAAGATTTAAAAAATTTAAAAAGTGCACATTTCAGGAATAATTTATTTGTCATTAACACCGCCTTTGTGTTAAGGCAAAGAGAACTCATCAGTCTTAAAGGATACGATTTTTGTTGTTAAAATTTTTCTCAAAAAGGAACTACCAGTTGTACAAGTGTGATGCCTTGGGCAACTGCCCAGTGCCAGTGTGTCCATTGCCATTCAATTCATTCCTGATGATTCCTGCCTTGCCTTAAACTGGACCAACACCTAAAAAAGCTAATGCTAGTAGCCAAGTAGGGCTAGGAGAAAAGCCTTGTGATTAATAGCAATATTGACAATAATCTTGACTTTAAATTAATTTTACCATTCAATGACACAACAAATCATAAATCGGTCGGACAATGCCTGACAAGCTAACAATGCTGTAGTCAGTCAGTAACTGAGCAGCGAGCAAGTCAAGTGAGTGTGAATCTGAATTACGTCGTCCTTTATGATTGATTACTTGTGAGATCTGAGTATAGAAAAACAATAAAAATATATTTACTCACACAAAAATGTAACTGTATACACTTGACTGACTAAATGTCGATAATGTGTAATCAGTGATCCCAAACGGTTAAATTAACGTTATGTTTGATGGAAAACGGGTTCAGCCGCCATTAGAACGGAAGAGTCGCAAAACATGGAATTACAAATTGTAATGGCTTGCTTTTTAAGTACACAGCACTATTCAAAGTTTTCAAACCATTTGGTGTCGGGTGTATGGCCAAAAATTTTATTTAAAAATAAATAAATATATATTAATCATATTGTAAATCTTTATCACACACAAAAGTTAACGTATTAATCAAACCTTTTATTTTTGTTTTTCAATAATAATAATAAGGCCTTTAGGATGCAGCTTTGTAAAATAAAATGCAATGACCGAAATAAACGATAGCGTTATGTACAAGAACGCCTCACTAACAAAAAATTTAGCAAATACTATTAATGAAGAATCTATAAATAAAACACGAATGTTTTTCAACAACATGGTAGTTGCCTTAATTTGGTAATTTTTTTTTTTTAAACTTAGAATACATTTTTTTTGTCACCTATCATAAAAGCGTTTTAATTCAGTAAAACAGTGGCAATGTGGGAGTTCAGTTTGTCCCCCTCTTATCAAGAGATATGATTTAGAGTATATGTCATTGTACTTCTCAGACCTTCAGCTTTATGCACTAACACGAGTTTATTGTCAAGCAATATTTTTGTATTGTTGATCTTCGTAACTTTTCACCTTTCGTGAACCGACCACAACTTTCAAAAGCTCTGAATTTGGTGATAAGCCTGCATTAATTTTAAGGGGAAAATGGTGTTTTTATGCCACAAATGTATGCTTATTTAAATATTACACGTCAGGGCCCAGAAGAGAAAAAGTGGCAACCGGGATGAAGTCCCAAAATGCACACCCATTATATACAGAAAACAAAATTTCTGATCGGGGCAGATAAGTAAAAATACGATTTTGGCGCCTATAGTCCTTGCGAAATACATTGATTTTATTATTTAATTCACCATGAGGTCATATCTACAGACGATTTTGACACCCAGTGATAGTAATCCTTCGTCCGTCTTCACACGACCCCTTCACGTGAGCCATGGATGCCATTTAAAAGGGTGCGTAAAATCGGGGATGTTTTGTGGTGTCCTTTTTTTCAGGTTTTCTTTACGTTGTTTCGCTGATTTTCTAATATGTAGCTAGCTTCTAACTGTGGCCTAAGGGTGTGCGACCAGTGCCCTTGGACGTGGCGCCATGGCCATAGGGGCACCTGGGTTCCCAGTAAATATTTAAATTCCATTACTTTATTATAGTGAAGTGTGTGAAGTACCGTAGAAAAAAATTAACAATCTAAATGAATGTACATGTTAAAATGTGTATGGTTAGCTACATGTCTAGCACCATGACACCTGCTCCGTAGCCTACGTCGTAATCGTAATAAGAGCGGAGCCATACAGGGAAGGGGGCACTGAACGGGGTTGCTTCGCATTAAAAAAAATAAAAATAAAAATTAATTGAATTCAGGTATATAAAGAAAATAACGAATGTTCTGTATTCGAGTTTTGGTTTGGGGAGTTTTCTTGTGTGTGCATAAAAAAAGGGGGGGGGGGTAAACTTTTCACCGACTATTCAAAAATTATAGGCATTATAGGGTTAATTGTGTCATTCGTTTAAATTACTTCGACACTATCACAGATGTAATTTGCAATATGAAGTCACATTAATATAAAATTTAACTTTGAAATGGATGAAATATCATTGTTACAGTAGCTATTTTTGGAACATTGTCAAATCAATGCAAATTAATGATATAAAGGTAGTGTTTAAAAGTCTGTTTAAAAAACTGAAGAGTTCGAGAGCATGTAGTGGTTGTGTACGGTATTTAGTCCAACGGTATATAGTATTAGCTTAATGAGGAAACTGCTCACAGTTGAACAACAGTATCAAGTCATTTATGATGCAGCTTTGAAACTTATGTGATATGAATCAATCATTCAGTGTAAATCTAAATTATTATTTTTGATTGTTGTTTTCAGCTTGTGTTCATATTGTAAACCAATATCAAATAAACCCAGTAGCCTAAGCCTAAATAGTCTAATAAGTAATAACAAAATGGTTAGTTATAAAAAAAAAAATTACAATTACTCCGACGCTCATTCCGCCCTGACTTTTTTTTTAGTGGTGGAAGCCAAACACAACACCCCCACCCACCCTCCACATTGGCAAGCTATGTGGGTCATGTTATTGGAATTTGCTTCAAGTTTTCTATATTATTAGTATTACACAAATTTATGGTTAAAAATTGTTATAACTTTTGACTATTCAATTAAATCAGGAGTCAGCTTTTTGCAAGCTGCATGCATGACAATATCGGTCAATATCCGCCAATCCGCGCCATGACATGTGTCTAATTCTCTCCCTTTTGTTTATCGTTCTTTTGTTACTAGCGTTAACTTTTCCTTACTTTGACGATGTAATGTTTAAAATTAAAATTTCATTGGGGGCCATCTATAAATGATGTCACACAAATTTTGATGAATTTTGCCCACCCCAGCATCCAAATTCATCACAAAAGCTAGTCCCCTTCCTATATAATGTCACAAACCTCTGCAAAACCCCCCCCCCCCCCCCCATGTTCCGTTTTGGCTGCGCAGCTATCTCACAGATGCCGCGCAGCAATTTTGAGTATCCGCTCAGCAAATTACCATGCAAGTGTGTGTTTGTTTTTGTGGGCTGTAAAATTTTGCACTCAAAAAAATTGATGCTATAAAACTTTGCACACAACTGTATGATTCTGCACACGAACCAGCAAACCTTAGAGGGAACTTTGCACCCCACTCCCCCCACCTAATAAAAATCCATCTGTCCACTACTGTCCTTTGCAAGCCCTTATAAATATCACCTCACATGGATATGGAATTACTTCACCTGTGTCAGAAACATTTCCCTAGAACAGTGCTTTTTTAAATATGGGTGAAAGCACCAACTGTGGTGCGGAAGACCCAGACAATAAATTTCATTTGCTGCCATCGCTATTTGTTTCTGCCTTTAAATATAAATTCAGTTTTTATGCATTTTGAATGTTTTTTTCTGGTTAATTTTGTTTGTGCATTACCTGAATTGGTATTTTTTTCCTTGGTAACTAGAAAGTTAATTATACCAATAAAACAACAATAAATTAAATAAATTACTATTTAAATTATACTGGGGTGGGGAGGATTGCGGGATATGTTTTGAAGTTGAGAGGAGATGCAGCACTGCACAATATTTAAGAATCCCCGACACCTCACTTACCACCTATTGTAACCCTAATTCTATCGTTTCCGTCTCTACATTTCGACATGAATTCTCACCACTGTCAGTCACTACACCCCGATTCTCATCCTCTGTGGCGTCCTGTAACTTGATCAGATGCTATTTCCCAGACCTGGTATACCTGTACTTTTACCTTTTTTCATCTTCTCTGTAAATAGCTAAACAAGCACATTCTCTACCTTTCCCCTCTCCATTGTAGCAGATGTGTGTTTTTTTTTTACATAGCCGCCACCTTGGTTGCCATGACCTGTGATAGGTTATGGCAACCAAGGTGGCGGCCCTAGGAAACGTCATGGCAAGATTAGCGTAAATGGAACCGGAAACGCATCGCCGCTATTCGGACCCGGGTCAAATTAGACTAAATGCTATTCGGATGTCATTTGTGGCAGTTTATTTTAGTTAAACTGAAGAAGTTAGTTTACAAACATAGTCCATTGAAATATCTTTCATTAGATACCAAATTTTGTCCTACAACCGAACAATAATAAAAAAAAATAATTAATTTTAATCCCAACCTCTCACTTCTCGGACCAGGGTCCGAATAGCCACTTTGTAAATTTAATGTGCACCCCAATTTTTTCCTGCACGCCATCACAGGTGTGATGCATTTTAAGAATTGTTTAATTATTTTCTACTTTTTAGTGCATTTAACATTGTCTTTGATAAAAGTTTTATTAAATATTTTTTAATTCACTTTTTTGTTTTAGCAATGTAACGAAACAACAAAGGAGATAATAATGGTTTCATTTTTTCCGCTGGTCTGGGTAATGCTGGGGATTGAACTCGATTTGAAAATGAAAATTTTGACTGCACAGCTATCAAGGCACTCACCAGAAAGTTGAATTTCAAGGATTAACTCTATACAAAATATTATGCCTACTAAAATTCAGCAGCCCCTCCGCGGATAAAATTTCATACAATAATATAACCAAAAAATAATTTTGGTCATGGAGTCATATTTAGTATCTTTGTTTTGTGTGTCAGATGACCTTTGGGGTCATCTTGTTGTCTGTGCATTTTAATAGAATTTAAAAAAAATAAATTATTTTGTTTATATCAAATAAATAGAGACCGACCATTTTTTGTCATGAAAATGTCGCTTGTTGGACAAGTATTAAAACACTGTTATTTTGTTTATTTAAATTTTTACAACTGCAACATTGAAGTATTTGTAATCCTGTCAAAGAATTGACATTGTTCTATTTTTTTCTAGTACTATTTTATCAGTTACAAAGTCATGTTATGTCAGTTAAATTATTTTTGTTTGCGAATAAAAAAAAAAAAATAATTTTTAGTAGTTTTTAAAGGTTTTTCTTAGACAGTAAATACTGTATATTATTATTTTGAAAAAATATATCTCAATGTTATGTCACTTACAATTCCAAACATTTTTTATGTGAATATGCTTAATATATTTTTATAAATGCTATTATTTTACAGTCTACCAGATTAAGACCCAAAACCATCTATAGTTAAATTAAGAACTCTTAATTGCATTTTTCATTTATATTAGATGCAAATTGAATTATTAATATCACATGATATATAAAGCAATAATTCTATTCACAAGTATTTACCAAAAAAGAATAGCAGTAATCCTCATATATAAAAATTTGAAAGAAACAACGAAAATAAATGTTAATAATGCAAGACATTATTTTTTGGTTTCTTTCTATTTAAACTTGTACAACCAGTTGAAATTATATTTGCAGGGATTTTAAAAAATAAACTGAGAGTATATTTGCCTCATGCATAGAAAGTTATATAGTATCACAATTTATATGCATTATTTAATTACCTTTTTTCAGAAGAGTAAGCCACAGACCTCAATTTCCCAAGTTTGAAAGTAATTTTCCTACCTAAGTGTAAAATGCCTAAACGTAAAGGTGCAAGAGGCAAACGAGGAGGACCAATTAAAAAAAATTTGAAAACTACAACCGAATCTTTGGATGACACAGAAATATTATGTGATGAAAATAAAACAGAAACAGAAGATGCAGATACCTCTTTTGCATCAGATACCGGTATAGAAAAAAACTTAAATTTAAATGAATCTACTGAAGTACAAATAGAGGATAATAGTTTGAATGCTTCACAGTCAGAAGATTCAAATACTGTTACACCAGAAATAGAGTCAGCATCCATAACTGAACAGTTAATTGAAAGTCACACAGGGCAAAGTACAAGTACCATTGACATTGAAAAGAATTCAACACTTAAAGGCACTGCTGACTGCAGTATCGAAATTGAAGAAAGTGACCCAGAATATGTTGAAACAGAATGTTCGAAAGAAGCTGAGGTTTTTGGTGGAGATGACACAAAAATAAAAAATCAACCAGATTCTTTGCTTATTGGTAGTGAGGAAAAAGTAATGGATGATAGGTCTGCTCAGATGGACACAATGACAGAGGTTCTAACTATCCCAGTAACAACTACACAGGATCAAGGTAAAGAACAAATTACGGAAGTTGAGGATTTTTTTGAGGACAAAGGTGAAGAGTATGATATACAGTACATTGATGAAGAAGCTGATGAGGAACAGCAATTGCTTGATGTTATGGAAAGCACAAATGAAGATAAGGGAGAAAATGTTCAAGTAGCCACAGCTGTTATTTCAAGTGACATCAAACAGTCACCATATTGTCAGAAAGAAGGAAAAGAATCTAATATTAAAAATCAGAGTACTCCTGCCAAATTAAAACAGTCAGAAATGGAAAACTGTAAGTTTGAAGAGATCTCTGAAGGGTCAATTGGTCAAGCTGAACAGGAGGAAGTTATAAATGATATTTCTGCTGATGTTGAGATTACAGGAGTTTCCTTTGCATCTACTTCTAAAAGTTCTAAATTCTGTGCATCCAATTTTACTAGCACAATGACTAGAGTGCCTTTTAAAGAAGCAGAATCATTAGAAGAAGTTTTCTTTGCAACAGAAAATGATGATGCAAAAGTCACTGCAGAGGACAAAGATAACGATGACATTTCAGATACTAGCTTTTCAGATCATGGGGGGACTAACTTATCATTGGAGGAAATAAGTGATGATGATCTGGAACTTTCTAGAAAGAGGAGGAAATCAGTTGGACCTGGCATGGAGAAAATAGCTGGAGGCACACAAATATCTCCACATGCTTCAAAAATAAATGTGCGAACTGAGGAACAGGTGGAACAAGGAATTACATCTTCAGAGAGAAACACTTCAATCAAACGGCCAGCAAGTGAGGATAGAGATGCTGATGGAGGCTCAAGTAAAAAGCTTAAATCATCTAATGAATCTAGTGATTTAATTGAAGGATTTCTGTTAAAAGCAGGAGAACATGGAAAGGAACCTGAACAGACAACTGACATAAATCTTGCTAAGAGTGATGACAAACTTGCCTCTGTTTTAGATGAACCAGCTTTTTCTACAGGCCTTGGTGCGAATTTTAAAAAAGAAAAAGGCAATCCCAACTCAACTAGTGGTGAGACTGCTAAAGGGAGAAGTGTCACACAAGCCACAAGAAGTGCCACACAAGCCACAAAAAGTGCCACCCAGAAGGTGAAGCATGAGCGCCTAGACAGTAGAGATAAACTTTATGGTGGGAATGAGTATACTGAGCCAAGGAGAAGATATGAGCTAGTAAATTCCTATGTCCAGACAGAACCAAGGCTTCTCAAGGGAAAAATTGTACAGTGCAATATCAATCCCAAACAACAGGTCTCTAAATCAGTAAAGATGGAAACAGAGTCGGGAGATGTGTTAAGAACTTCACAGCTGTTGACTAAGTTTAAACATCTTCTTCCTTCAAGTATACCTGAGAAAATATTCAATGAAATTACTTCTGTCATGCCAACAAATAAAGGTAGCTAATACTTAAGTTTATAAATAATTGCTTTAAAGATTACCTAAGTCAGTTTATTTTTTAAACTTTAAATTACAAGTAATTGTCTAATTAACATTTTAAGAAAAGTACTATATTGTGTGGCAATGACTAAACAAAAATTTTTTTGTCTGTATTTTAAAAAATGTCAATTTTAATCACCCTTTGCTTTAAAAAAAAATAGGCAACGGCTATTTGTTCAGCTTGGGGCCAGTCACTTTATCAGATATGGATAGTTCAGATTTCAGAGATGTTGTTCTGAGAGGGACTGAAAAGTTCAGCCTTCACTTTGATGTGCACTGTCAAGGGTGAGAAACAATTTTTTTTTTTAAATATGAATTAAATCAGGAAACATGGAATAGAACTAATATGATGATTTGACAGCACTTATTTCAAACCCACTTTCTTAACTTTTTCTCACTTTCTTGTCTACACAATAAATAAAAATATAAAACTATGCAGTAGATTTTAATTCTTTTAGATTCACCCACTTAAAAAGATTTAACCAAAATAGACTTATTTTTCTTCTTGTGTTTAAAAAATTGTAATAAAGTAATTAATGTAAATTTGAAATAAGAAAAAGCTTATTTCTGCAAAAAAAAAAAAAAAAGGAGAATTACTAAATAATTGCTGTATGAAAGATTATTTTAAATTGGATGTTTTGGTTTATATTTTAGGATCTTCAAAGCTACACATAAATTTGAAAAAAAAAAAAGATTATTTTTGAAAAAAAAAAAAAAAAAGGAGAATTACTAAATAATTGCTGTATGAAAGATTATTTTAAATTGGATGTTTTGGTTTATATTTTAGGATCTTCAAAGCTACACATTCTAAACATGAAGGCATTGCTTCCCTAATTAGACAGCTTAAAAGAATTGAACTAGGCAACAGATACATGTGTATGTCCTTTGTTTATACACAAGGGGAAATTCAACAGCCTATTTTGTGGAAAGGTAATGAAAAGCATTATGCTCTAAATGTCACTTACTTCAATAACCACTTTTTTAATAGATAAATTAAAACCAAATAGAAAAATATTTGTTAAATGTAGACTCTAATTGTGCCTGCCTCTTGACAATATGCAAAGGAATACAGCTGTACCTCGCAAAAACCTCGTAATTTGGGCCGGACCCTCACCCTTAAGTCTTAAGGGAAAAACCCCAGTGTGTGAATTAAGGCTTTTTTGTGCCTTTCAAGTGCCTGCAAGCAAAACTACATGCTTTGTACTAATATATATTAAATGTGCAATAACTATCAAGCAGTGATAGAAAGGGAAGTTTACAAATGTTTACCTTGAAATATATAATTAGTATGTACAGTACATGATTAACAACTGAAAAAGAATAGAAATATACAATTTTAAATATCGCGGACGGAGATTTAAGAGCATCGTTATTTTGAAATGCCGTTAAGCGAGTAGGCATTATTGCGAGGTGCTACTGTAGTAATCTTCTTTTTATAAATAAAAAAAACTCATTTAGTTATTTAAATATTAATGTTAAGGATAGATTTTCTATATCAAAGCGTATTGAAAATTCAATAAATAATTTGTTTATAGTAAAGACCTCTATTAGTTAAAAAAAATTTCGCAAACACATTTATCATTTTTTAAAAATATAATAACTATTCCTTAAGAGATTTCACAAAAGTAAAAAATAATCTTATGTGCATCTCCAGCTACCATTGTTTTTATGTATGAACAAGACATTCAAATTGAAAGCCTGGGTCTTGTAAGTGATGGAAAAATAAGAGCAAAGCTGAACCTTGAAGGTGTCCCTAAAGGAATCAGCAAAGATTTTATCCACTTGTTGTTTCCTGAAGCTCTCAGTGTCAGCACATCTCCTGGTGCAGGTATAGACAGGTGAGACAACTTGGAATACTTTTGTTTCCTTTGCTTGTTGAATTTGTTGACATCTTAGTTTTTTCCTCTTGTGATGTCCATAACTATTTTTATGAACTATTTTCATGACTTTGGCCTCATTTGATGTTTATAACTAACGCACACATTCTGGTAAGGGTCTAAGATTACTCTCTTATGACCCGCGCTAGAACATTGGCAGTCAACTCCATTTGCCGAGTTTTGCCATATAACATTTTCCTCACGTAGGGCTCTCCCGTCGCCCTTACCTCCCCTGAAACATCTAGTGAGGTACATTTGGTCTACAGATGCACTAGAGTTTCTGGGACCAGGCTGCAATGCCTGCAGGTAGGATGTTATGGTCTAGCCTGTTAAAATATGTGCAGATGAAAAAGTGCTCAGTGCGCATCTGTGTCACTAGACTCTGGTGCCTTCTACCTTAACCCCACCAAGGGTCTTGTCTGCTAGGAGATGGCATGTTAGCGAATACACCTGTGGCTGTCATGTTGTCTGACCACTGCCTGTACCATTTTTGTGCGAAAATGGTCCCCCAACAAGTTTTTTTATACCCAGATACGATACTGGTACCTCTGGCTGAGGTTTGGCAGCTGCGAGATTTTGTCAAGATGTCTGCTTTTTCATTGCTCTTGACGTTGATGTGCCCTGGAATCCACTGCACTTTTACCATTCCTCTAATTTCACCGATCTTCCCCCCGTCATCCATGATGGCGCCAACTAAGTGAATGGTACTCGCAACCCTACCCAAGATCTCAAGAGCAGATCTTGAGTTGGAGTAAACTATGACATGGAGTCCCACAACCTTCCGCCTCTGCAGAGTGTGGTACACACTTTCCAGGGCCCTGTGTATAGCCTGCAGCTTGCCATCAAAATTCAATGCTGCTGTCCCACAGGGCCTTTCCATGAAAACTTTCAGAGGGTATTCACACACCCTTCCATGGTCTCTAAGACAACAGCTATCTGTACATGTTCATGGCTGCGTTTTGTCACTGCTTTTTCTGTTAAGGCCAAATGTATTTTGGGACGTGAAGGCTCTGCATATGGTGGATTGGCTGGGGTATGGATCAGACTTTCTCTATTTTGGGTTAGGTGGACTGCCTTCTCAAGTTCCGCAACTTGATGCTTAAAAGACGATCATTTCATTGGCCTCCCCGGTATTCAGTTATTTTGCATTTGGAATGATGGTTCCTTCCTGTCAAGCTATCTGTACAGCTCTACAGTACTTAAAATAGCCTTGTCCCTTCTTATTAGCAGTTCAACATTGGCCAGGACTTCTACACCAGCTGTGGTTTTGAATTCACCACAGATGAATCTCAAGGCCTAATTCTGGATTCGGCCCAACTTTTCAAGTGCAGTTTGGACTGGACGGGCATGATATAATCCATCACTGACCTTACACTGCTCAGAAACAGCGCTCTAAGCGTACTAGCACCTGCACACCAACTCTTGCATGCCAATTTCTTCACCAGCTTGAGCTTGGGGGTCACCTGGGAGCATAGGTCTTGTACAAAATTATGCATTTGCACCTTTTAATCCAACTTAACTCCCAGGTAAACTGGTTGCTTGTCCCATTTGAGCACTACATTGTCCACCTTGAGCTTGATCGCCTGTTTGATGTTTATAACTTTAGTTATCTATTAGGTCTCATTTGATGACCATAACTGTAGTTAACTATTTGGTTTCATTTGATGTCCATAACTATAGTTATATATTTGTTCTTATTTCATGTCCATAATTGTGTAACTCAATGTGTAATAAATAACAATTGCTGTATTTAAGCTCACACAAAGAAATATTCTTATATTCAGTGTATGGTTACAAAAAATACTTTCCTCTGCTTCTCTTAATTTATCCAGAGATTTTTCACTATTAGAAACTTTAAATGTATTATAAATGATGTCTACTACCTCAAACAATGTTCTGAATGTAAAAGGGCTGAATTAAATCATAACATAAAAAAACTAGTTGAGATTTTTGCCAGCTTACAATTTCTAACATTTCTTAAGTTCTCGACTACAAGCAGCATTTTATATAAAACTATTGACTAAAATACTTTAAAATTTTCTCCATTGAACTTTTTGGACCACTTTCCAATCTTACTGAAACCAAATTTTTATGAATTCTTTCTTTGATTTATTCAGGGTTGTCACTTTAGGTTTTTCTAACAAAAAAATGGTTGATGAGGTACTTTCCTGCTATGACCTAGTTCTTATCAACGGTTGTCAGATCAGATTATCTAGCCATGACCCATTTGAAGAGCCAGAAACCAATATGTCCTCAGGTATGTTTTACTTTTTGAAAACTTATTTTCATTCACACAGGACAGCACTAAAATTCTTGGGGTACAGAGGCACTTATGGGTTACAGCTTAGCTAAATTTTTAACTGCAAATAGAGTGTCTTTAACTTTACAACCCCACATACTCTTGAAAGAAAATATTTAACAGGTGGTTTTAAATAGCTGTGATGAAAGTAAATAATTGAAGTAAATTAGCTGGTGTAATATTAATAAAACATGTCTTGAAAACGACTGATACTATTATGACTCAATAATTATTTTGCGTAACCTCCAGACAGAAGTTTAAAGAGTTAGAAGAAATCACTTTTAAAAAAGTGTCATCATTTAAGGTTATATATCGGCATCCTTCCGTCTCGTGAGACGATGGTGCATCACCGTTTGGTTGGGTTGCATTTTCTCGAGTGGCTGTGCAGTCCTATCCTTGAGTGACAGTCTTTACCACAGTTTTTACACACGAGTTCCGTGCTTCTAAATGTTTTGGCCTTTCTCCTAGCTCTTCTGTCTGCAGCCTCTTCCATTCTTCGCTCCTCGGCTACCATGACGCCTTCTTTGACAACTGTGCGCCACGTAGATCGGTCTTTTGCCTTACACTCCCAGTCACTTGTATGTATTTTGGCTGCTTTCATGTCCCTTTGACAGACATCTTTAAATCGCAGACGTGGGCGACCTGTTTTCCTCTTTCCCGAAGCAAGTTCACCATATAGGAGGTCTTTCGGAATGCGGCCGGGACTCATTCTTTTAACATGACCTAGCCATCTCAGGCGTCTTTCACTAAGGATTGTGAACATGCTTTGGGTATTCGCACGCATTAGGACCTCACTATTAGTCACTTTTTCTTGCCATTTAATACCAAGGATGCGACGCAGGCATCTCATATGGAAGCTATTAAGCTTGCGCTCTTGGGATGTATAGGTGGTCCATGTCTCGCTCCCGTATAGTAGTGTACTGATGACACAAGCTCGATAGACGCACAGTTTGGTTTTCTCCGTTAGCTTGGTGTTTTGCCAGACCCGTTTATTTAGCTTAGCCATTGTGGCAGCTGCCTTGCCGATTCTGCTGTTAATTTCTTCTTCAATGGACAGTGTGTTGGAGACCTTGGACCCCAAGTAGGTGAAGCTGTCCACAACCTCCAAGTTTTCGTTATCGATTTTTATGTTAGGTGGAGGTCGAGTGTCTTGGGCCATGATGTTTGTCTTTTTCAAGCTGATTTGCAGACCAAATTCTTTGCAGGCATTGGTGAAGCTTGACACGAGTTGTTGCAAACCAATTTCTGTGTGTGCTGTTAGAGCCGCATCATCCGCAAATAGTAGCTCACGAATTAGGACATCTGTCGTTTTGGTCTTGGCTCGGAGGCGGGCAGTGTTGAAAAGTCCTCCATCAGTTCTGGTGTGTAACCAGATTCCCTCACTGCTATCCTTGAATGCGTATCGAAGTAGTACAGAGAAGAATATTGCGAACAGTGTTGGTGCGAGTACACAACCTTGTTTAACTCCGCTATTGACTGGAAAGGCTTCTGACTTGGCTCCATCGAACTGCACTGTACCCTGCATATTTTCATGGAACTCTCTGATGATGGCAAGTAGGTGAGGGGGACAGCCGATTTTTGCCAGTATTTTGAATAGCCCGTTGCGACTGACGTAATCAAAGGCTTTTGTAAGGTCCACAAAGGCAATGTACAGTGGCATCTGCTGCTCTCTGCATTTTTCCTGGAGCTGTCGTATGGAGAACACCATGTCTATGGTAGACCGGCCAGACCGGAAACCGCACTGAGATTCTGGATAGACACGGGATGCTAGACTCTGTAAACGTGTTAGTATGACACGGGCAAAGGCCTTTCCTACAATACTAAGGAGTGAAATGCCGCGATTAATTATTGCAATCACTCCTATCACCTTTGTTTTTATATATTGCAATATATTTGCATCCTTTAGGTCTTGGGGGATGTAGCCCTGTTCCCAGCAGAGGGACAGAATCTCGTGCAATGGTTGGAGTAAAGCTATCTTACCACTCTTTAGAGCCTTTGGTGGTATTCCATCATCCCCAGGCGCTTTTCCACAAGCTAGGCTATCAATAGCTTTGCTCAGCTCTTCCAGTGAGGGCACGACATCAAGTTCTTCCATGAGTGGCATATCTGATATGTCATCTAGAGCGGTGCTGGAGACTGTGGTAACTGTTGAATACAATTCCAGATAATGCTCAACCCACCGTTTTAGCTGTGCTGCCCGGTCTTGGATAATTTCTCCATTTTTGGACTTTAGAGGAGCAACTTTGGACGTCAAGGGGCCAGTTGCCTTTTTGATGTTTTCGTACATTGCTTTTGCATTACCCATATCTGCAGCTGACTGTATGCTGGAACAGAGGTTAAGCCAGTAGGTATTGGCGCAATTACGTGCAACCTTTTGGGCAAGTGACTTGGCTGTTTTTAAGGCATGCAACCTGTCGGGTGTAGGCTTTTCCTTGTAAGCCGTAAGAGCTTTCCTTTTGGCTTCAGTGACAGGTTTCATCTCGTCCCAATGTTCATCAAACCAGTCCGTGTTTTTGTGAGATTTTTTGCCAAAGGCCTGTATTGCGGATGTATAGATTGTGTCTCTGAGATGCGTCCATTTCGAGTCAATGGTGACGCATGGGGACATCCTTGAGATACCTTCCTTCACCTTGTCTGTGAACAGCTGCGTTAGCGCAGGGTCTTTCATGCAGAAGGTATTGATACGTGGACATCCCTTTTTCTTGGAGTGGTACGAGTTTTTCCTCATTATTCGTACCTTGCTGGCGACAAGGGAGTGATCCGTGTCACAGTCGGCACTGTGATAGCTGCGAGTGAGTAGGATGCTAGCTAGTTGTGCACGCCTGGTGATGATGAGGTCCAGCTGGTGCCATTGGCGGGATCGAGGGTGTCTCCAAGATACTTGATGTATATCCTTGCACTTGAAGTAAGTGTTGGTCACACACAAGCCTCGTGAGCAGCACAATTCCAGAAGCCTCTGTCCATTTTCATTTATCTTTCCTCTTCCAAAGAGTCCAAGGCATGTGGGCCAGGCTTCGTGGTCGCTCCCCACTCTAGCATTGAAATCTCCCAGGAGGTAGATTGCCTCGTCTTTGTGGATGCTGGCTATTGCCTGGTCTAAAGCTCCATAGAACTGGTCCTTCTCTTCCGGAGTTGAACAGAGAGTTGGGGCATATACACTAAGAATGGTTGCTGGGCCCGCAGCTGTTCTGAGTCTTAGAGTGAGGATCCTCTCCGTGCCTGATGACGGGGGATCAATGAATGGTGTAAGAGTGTTCTTAACAGCGAAACCTACACCATGCTGTCTAGGTTCGTTTGTTGGTCTGCCTTGCCAGAAGAAAGTGTAATTTGCCTCTTTGAGTGTACCGTTGTCTGGGAGCCTGGTCTCCTGAAGGCAAGCGATGTCAATCTTTAGCCTTTTAAGTTCTCTATCGATTATTCCTGTCTTCCGTGTGTCGTTTATTGACTGCGGGTCATCAGTGATGCCGGGACACATAGTCCTCACGTTCCAGCTAGCGATTCGAAGAGCTGGGGTCTTCTTTTTCTTTTTTGTGTTTCTTGGTGCAGGGCTTAGTGGCCCACTTGTTGAGTGGTACTCTAATCTCCACGCACCCAGTGGAGAAGGCAGGCGATGACGGGATAGCACCTATTTGACTGGGGGCTGCCCAGTTTGAGGCGGGCGGTAGCTGTCCAGTGAGACATGGGTAGTCTCTCCCACCGTCGGAAGCAACCCCTGGCGCCTAGCTCTACGTCAATTGAGCGTTTGGCTTATAACCGGTAACTGCTGCTTCCCGTGTTTAGTCAACACCTTGCGGCGACGCTGGAGTGTCCTCTCCAGAGGTGATGCAAGCCTGGGCGGGTATTATGGAGAATTAGCTGCTGCCCATACAGCATATCCACCCTCTCCACGTCAATGGTGTAACCAAGGGAACGACTTGCGTCGATGCGGCTTGGCTGCCGTTGGCGTAGCAGGAGCTGCCGGTATGTACATAAGAGTCTTATGTATAGGCCGCCTGTAGGTGCTCCATTTCCTGATTTTCTGTCGGGGTTTACTCCCTTAGCCTTTCCCGAAGGGTATAGCCGCAAGGCAGCAGAGGTTTTTTTGAAGTCGGAGTTTCCTTCTCCTAGCCAAGGTTTTAACGAGCATCATCTACCCGTAGGGGTGCCAAAAATTACAACAAAAAAAACTTGAAACTAAGTGTAGATAAATTTTTAACTAAATTAAAATGGTTATTTACTGATCTTGTAACACCATTTTGTGTTATTTTTAAAAAAAAACTGCTTTCAATTGCATGCCAGTGTTTCATAAACATTTCACCAGCTCTATTAATTCTTCCAGATATTGTTGAAGAATCTGGAATTGTGATCATTAAAGATGAAGAAAACAAAGAGATTTCTAAACCATGTGGAGAGACTTCTGATAAAGGTCATATTGTTGATGGTTCACTACATGTCACCCCAGAAATGGGTGTTGCTGAAGTAGACTTGAGTGATCATGCCAGTGTTGTTGAAGTGGCTGATGCTGAAGTTGACTTGAGTGATCTTGTCAGTATTGTTCAAGTGCCTGCTGGGGAGGTGGACATGAAAGATTTAGGTAGCTTTGCTCAAGAGGTTACTGATCTACAGAAAAGTTCTGATCAAGAGAGGATGGATCAAGAAGATGTGGCCCTCCAGTTGACAGACACAGAGACTACAAAAGTTATACATGACACCGAGAAGGATTTGACTGAAATGGTGTCTACTAGTTGCTTAGGCGAACCAGATGCTAATAACACTATTGCTACCATAATAGAGAAAAACCTCAAGCAAAATGATGTTCCTGATTTAGCTGAAGGTAGCTTAGACACAAATGAATGCAGGCAAGCAGTACAAAATGCTGAATTGTTGGCAGAGGAGGTGTCAGAAATAGCTGAATCAATGGAGATTGAAGTTGTTAGAGAAGTAGCAAAAAAATCTGATACAGCAGTTCCTGAGCTGTCAGAATCTGCAGTGCAGAGAGAAAACATACCAGAAAGTGATGCTGTTGGGGTGGTTAGTGAAAGCAAAACTGATGAGACTGTACAGCAAGTTCATGATACCCAGCTAGATTTAATGGAAGTGGTTGCTAATGAAGCTGCAGAAGAAAAGAAAGATGAACATTTGGAGGATGTCAGTGATGATGATATGATGAATCACAATAAAAATACAGAGGTTGACGATGTTGTCATTGTACGAGAGGACCTAGTAAGGAGAATCATAGCAAACATAGACTTGACCAATGATGAGTCCAATCCCTCAGAACTTAGTCCAGCCAATACCAGGGCTAGAGGCTCCTCAATGAAATCAGACATTGTGTTGCCACCTACTGCTACAGGGCTAGTGACCAAAAATGTCAGAGAAGTAGCAGAGAAGTTAATTATGACAGATGGAAGTCTAGAAGTTTCTATGGAGGTCATTGATGTTAGTGAAGATGACGGAAAGTCAGAGAAAGTGGTCTACCCTAGATACAATTGGCGGCAGTCCAAGCAGCCAGAAAGAGTCATGGATAAAGGCAATGAGAGGTCCCACCCAAGGCCATGGGGAGAAGAGCCATGGGGCTCATCTCATCACTCCAAGTATGACTCCTACTACAGCCCTAGACAAACTTACACAAAGCCATATTCTGGTAGGGACTATGTGTCCAAGCCATATTCACATGACCAAACAGCATCAAGAGATGTGTCCAAGCACAGGAGAGTATCCTCCAGAGAATGCTCACCACGAGGCCCTTTACCACCAAGAGAGTCAACAAGGAGAGATAATCTTCTTCGTGAATCTGGCCGGTTGGTTTTTTTTGTTTTTTACAAAGATTGACGGGTACAATAATTATTCTATAGATTTAATTGAGTAATAATTTCTATTATTACCCACATTTCTGTGACATTATTTTAATGTGCTCTTAATTTTCCTGTAAATTTCAAGCACAAACAATATATTTAGCTGTAACTGAACAGTTTTAATTAACAACCATTCACAAATATTTTTGCTCTTTGCATATTGATTTATTATGCTATGAATACTTGACGTCAATATTTATTTGGACCAATAAATCAACATTTATAGGTACCCATTATTTTCCAGCAGAATATTTTTTACTTTACAAATTTATTTATCTGTTGTTATATAATAATCTCGTATGGGTTTTATATTTTTACAATCTGAACTGTCAAGGCTGTCATTTTAAAGATCTTCATACCTATGAAAGAACATTAAATTAGTAAAGAAAGCTACCGATATCGGGCCAATCAGAACTGCAACTGGCTATGATGTAGTGAAAAAAAGCTTTAAAAATGTTTTAAATTCAAAATTTATCATCTGTTTCAACGTTGACAGTTACAGAATATAAAAAGTTCTAATGCTTCTTCTACTTTTGAAATAATTATCTTACGCTATGAAAAATAGAAGATTGCAATTGTTTTATTTATTTAAATTGACATGAAACATGAGAAGTTTAAGTGTAAACTTGATTTCTTTATATTTCCAGAAGTCGTTCTCCATCTCCTCGAAGACACCCCAGTTGGTATAAGGAGGCAGAGTCTTTTAGACCCTCTCATTATCCAGCTGATTATTATGGCAGCACGGAACGCAAGTATAGCAGTGGTGGCCATCCCAGGAGTAGTTATGACAAATGGCATGGGGACTATGGAGACAACATTAAGAGTGCCAGCAGGCCCTTAGCCAAGCCTGATTCTCAGCACCGGGATTGGCACCCTTCAAGGGCATCTTACCAATCTCACAGCTCATGGCAAGGTGATCGCCATATTCCTTCAAGGTCAAGTGAGCATCTCCATCATTCCCATGAGAGCAGACTCGTGCATTCTCCACCCAGGAAGATTTACCAAAGAAAATCCAGATCTCAGTCTTATTCTGATATGTCTTCATCACCTGAACGACATAGCTCACCCTTAAGACTGAGGGGATCCTTTCAGAAAAAAGATCATCAGCACCCAGTAAAGCAAACATCAAGAAGTCCTATCTCAATATCCTCTAGGTCTCACTCACTGAGTCCAGTTTCAAAATCACCCAGCCCAGGAAGAAACTCATCAAAATTTCCGGGGAAGGATGATTTGATGAGTTCTGTCAAACAGTTCTTGCATTTAGCGAAAGACTTTGAACATGGGAAACGGCGCACTAGATCAGGAAGTCGCGAGTCATGCTCCCCTCAACGAAGGGCTCATAGTCCAGCGCCACATCTTTCTCGCAGCCCTCGAAGGGAAGTAGTTAGATCACAACACATGTCTCATAGTCCTACAAATCCTCGTTCAAGGAGTCCACCACATTGGCATAGAGACTCCAGAAGCCCAGACTATGGTAAAAGCCATGTTCAAAGAAAACACAGATCACCAAGCCCTTTATCGTTTCTGGACAGCCGAAGTAAAAGGTATAAATCACGGGACTATTATGACCAAAGACAGGATTCTTATCACAAAGACAGCCCCACACATGAGTCCAGTCGTTCACAAAAATCAAGGAGCTACCCTCAGCCCCCTGAAGAGAAGTCTGGACAGTGGCCTGACACACGACAACAGGTTCAGTCCTATAGCAGTTCTGGAGATCAACAGTGGCAGCAGTCATATGGAAGCTACCAATCCAAGCTGACCACAGGTCCAGTATCATCAAACACAAGTAACACTTACAATCCGGCGTACCCCCCACCTAACTTCCCCCAGTCTGGCTACCCTTCACAAGCCCCAGCAAACGTGTACCATGGCGGTGGTACTCCGATGTATCAGTACAACACCCCCAATCAGTATGGATACAATGTGATGTCGGCTAATGTCCCCAATCCCTATATGCCACCAGCCCCTGTTCCCCAAATAGCTCATGCCTACCATCAAGCATTTTCTGTACTTCAGTCAGCCATAACTGGACAGCCCCCACCCCAGGCCTTTGAGGCAACAGCAACCAGTTCCAGTAATAATCCATCCTCATCTAAGAATAAAAAGTCCTGGTCTATGGGAAGCAATGCGCTTGTTTTCCAAAGAATATTAGGGAATGATGGTAAGAATACAAAATAAACTAAATCTCCTTGATATTGTAAAACTTTTAAGATTTCACAGGTAATCATTTTTGTAATGTCATACATATTTTGTCAGTAGTAAATTACAATTTGATCTTGACTGGAAATGTTTGTATTAATGATAATAATTTTACACGTGTGTTGTTTACAAAATTTAATTAGAATATCAAAACTTGTGAGAAGACATTGGCATATTCAAATGGAGTAGTAAGGATATTTCACAAATGTTTTGAATTCTTTGTTCCTAAAATATGAGAGACACCAATGCAGTAATTAAAGAAAACTTGGATTTCATGGAACATCTTCACATAATGTGTTCCGATTTTACTGTATTTTAAGGTGACAAAAAGGACTATGAGAAAAGAAAAAAGAGTGGCACTATAGAGAAAATTGGGGAACGTGAACGACAAGAGAGACCCAAACAAACTAAAGAAGTCCGTGTCTTGACCAGTGTTCAAGTGAAGAAGTGACCCACTGATTACTTTTGTTACATGAAATAATTGTAATTACATTTAATTTCATATTTAAAAAAAGCGTAGCATTGCCAAGTATCAATGTCAAGTTATTAAATCGGCTTTTGTAAAAAATATTTAAAAAATTAAATTCCTTCAAAAATCAAATTGAGTTCATGAGGGTAACGAAATATCATTCTCAAAAAATTGTATTATCCCAGAGACAATTCAATAATATTTTTTTTTTTTTTAATGTGTTGATCTATTTTTTTGAACTTCATTATTACTCATAGTTTACATTCATGATTTTAATTATTTTGCCATGATTTATTCAGATTCAAATTCATTAGGCTATTAATAATCATTTCAATATATGACTGAGCTTTTTGATAGATGTGTGGAATTTCTGTTTTGCTTTGTTCATAATGCTGAATTGTACATGATATCTTGACCTTAAGAAACCAGGTCTCGATACCATTTTTATTCCTTAGATAACAATTTTGGAAATGATAATTTTGAGCATCTGCTATTGCTCTAGCCACTGTCAATCTCAAGAAAATGTTAGTATTGCTTTTACATTAATCATACATATTGTAAATGCTTGTAATGAAGGGATATTTTGGAAATTATTTTTCTATTTTTGCAAAAATTTATATGTGCATCTAAAATTGATTTTGTTTCAATAAAGGCTAGACAGTTGCAGATTTAGTATTTCCACAAATTAGTCAAAGTATTTGAATGAAACTGTAAACAAATCTGAATAAAATATTCTTGACAATTAAATATTTTTGTTTAAATTATTGTAATGTACTTAAGGTCAACATAAGAAATGAGAGCCTTTGAAATGAGTCACTGAAACAACAAATATGAGTTTTAATCTTTATTTTATTAAAATTTATAAGTCAATGACCATTTTAAGAGAAATCAGGGATGTTATTCTCATTTTCCACATGGTAGACTAAATCAGCTAGTGCATACTCCACATGAGCTTGTTCTGCTGCAGTAGACATCTGAGAAGATATTGAACATATTAATTTAAATAATTTATAAAAATGTGATAAATATGTAGAGGATGAAACAACAAATATATTAAAAGGACATTGGGGGACAAAACAATACTTGTGGTTGTCCTCAGCAACAGGTAATATTAATAGTTGGTGAGTTAACAATGTTATATGGAGGATGTAAAAAAAAAAAAAAATTTAAAAGAAGAAAACAGCCAACTTGGGAAGGGATTAATTAAAAAATAATCTTGGCAAATAACTATTTTAGAAAAATAGTCTTGGCAAATAACTATTTTAGACGAAACAGTAAAGTAAAAGATGGCTGAATAATTCTAGAGCATAAACTTCAGGCATGCAACTATAAATATCCATTATTTTAGTTACCTCTTCAAATTCCCCATAAACTACATATGTCAGAATCTTAGATCAGCCCAAGTGGTCAAAAAACTTTTAGATTACACCTCTAGGATAATATTCCATAGATCCCCCAGACCCATATTTTATTGTGCTCATATTTTGAAACTTCACAATACATTTACATAAATTTATCAAGATTTAACTATTTTAAGAAGGTTTTAGAAAATGCTGTAACATTTTTATAGCTATAGTTAGCAGACCTGTTTACCCTCAAACTCTTAAAATCGTACAATATAATGAATCATTCAATACAATTATCTTAATAGTAACAAAATAAACATAGAGTATATATAATGTATACACCTCAAAATCGTACATTGAACGCCAAAATTGTAAGAGTAAACAGGCCTGAGTTAGCATACTTTAATAAAAAAAATATATAACTTTCATATGCTTATAATAACTTAGTAATAAGACAGAAAAAACTTACAGCTTTGAATTCAACACCTTTAGGAGGATATTTGAACTTTGGGCCAAAATTTGCAGTTAGCTGAAAGAAAGAAAATAATATAAGTTAACTTATTGTGAAGATAAACCAGTTCTATCAGCTTCGTTATAGGGTGGGGAAAACTATAAAGTTTGCGGCCAAAAAAAAAGGCTTCATTCAAGCTGATCTCATGGTGTTGAGTTAGCAGATGGTGGCAAGGTATGTGATGGTATTGAGGCAACAAAAGATGGTGAGGATTTATGGTGGCGAAGAAGTAGATGGTGGCGAGGTAGGTGATAGTGGCGAGGTAGGTGATGGTGGCAAGGTAGGTGATTGTGATGAGGTAGGTGATGGAAATGAAAACTCTTAATAATCTCTTTTGGTTTGTTAGAATGGTGTGTGAATCTCTTCAAATCAATCTATTATCAGTACATTACTGATAAAAAGCATTCAACTTACAGTTGTGTTCTTGTAGAGAGAAATAGCTGGGTAGTATGTGCCTTCGAAAATGTCACTGAATGCAACACCTGCACACTTGCCATTCTTGTACATCATCATCTGTGAATAATATCTTTTATTTTATTTGTAAATTTACATAAAAAGACAAAAGAATCAGCCATCATTTTAATGTTAAAAAATATGTATAGATCTAATTGAATCTCCAGCTTTTTTTGTTGTACCTGAATGTTATTTTGTGTACGCCTACCTTGCTGCCTTTGGCTGGTTTGAGAGTCTTTTCTGTTTCACTGACATTGTCCTTATCTTCAAAATAGAGATGACTTTTGAATTTGACCAAAGGCTAAGTAACAAGAGAAATATAAAGCAATTAAATATACATACCAATTATCATTTATATAGAAACCATTGAAGTGACAAAAAAAATCATCATCTTATTGTAAAACTATATGTTAGTGTAATAAATTATTTTTAACTCCCCTTCAAAGACCACTTCTAAACACTTTCTCTGTAGTATCAGGACCATGCTGGGGAGGAAGGTGGGGGCTCAAGAGGGCACCAAAGTTGTTATTTATTCATTATTATATTTGTATATTATAGGCAGGCTTGAAACAATTTAAATTTACCAATTAAATCATCCTTTTAAATCATTGATTTAAACCAGACCAATAAAAATGATTTAAATCAAATTTGTAAAATTTTAATTGATTTTTTTGATTATTTTTATTTCTCTATCTATTTACATTTAAAGATTTTTTTGTTTTTTGTATTATTAGTCACATATATTATTTCTCATTATATGTGACAGCACAACGCTATAATGATTAATTTCATTTTATTCAATTAAACTGTTCTATTTTTAGGAATAAGAAAGCAACTTGGAATGGTATAGACCTCACGCTAGTGGTACAAATAAAAAAAAGGGGCGGGCTACAAAGGCAGACCTAGGCTTAGATGGCTGGATGATGTTGAAAAATATCTACAGCAGCTGGGAATCCAAGCATTGAAAAGAAAATCATTAGTTAGGTCTGAGTGGAAGGAAGTGGAGAGGCAGGACAAAGCCCTACATGGCCTGTAGCACCACAGGGATGGATGGATGATGATATAATAGTCTATATCTAATGTATATATCAAATATATTCTCAATGGTTGAAACAGGGAGGGGGTATTTTCAGGCTTCGCCCCAGACGTATCTTTTCCTTGTCACGGCCTTTAGGTAGGATACACAGAATACCTGCATCGCCAGTGAATCTTAGTAAAGAAACGAAACTTTAATAAATTTATCGTGTATCCGTTACCATTATTTTCATTAAATAACACTAAATTCACTTATTATAAGAGGGTTGGACTGCGACAAAGTGGCACAAAGCTTTTAATTCCATAAATGTAAAAAAAAAAAATTGACAACGATTGTACAAAAATAACTTGACAATTTTCGACTACAAAATTTTTAAATATTTACAAAATAGTAAACTTAGAAATGCTGCCTTAAAATTATGAAAATTAGTTTTTAGCGACTCATTCTATTAATAGAAATATCGTCGGGTCGTATGTAATAATATGAGAGTATAAAAGGAAGTCACGCAGAAACAAAAAGGGAGGTCACTCTCAGCATTTTAATATAAAGTGAAAAGACATGGGCAATACAAATCTCAATTTGATAAAAATTGTAAAATTATTATAATTAACTAGAAACAACGCTTAGAACGAACAGAGCTACAATCCCTAATAATTGCATGTGTCGATTATGAGTGTGATTAACCTAGACGCCCTATACTTTTGAAAAAACATGCCGAACTTGCGTCACAAAGACCAAAGAGGATAATAACAATACAAACATTAAACAACCACGAACAAAATGCCTACGCCTACATTTTGAAGACACGTACCGTTGTGCTACACAGTGATTATAAGGTATTGTAAACTTTCTCCTTTTGCCTTGGACATATTTCACACTTTATTGGGACTGTCAATGGTATTGACATTTGAATATGGGGATAAATATAAAGTGTGTGCATTTAATTGGTAACTGGTAGGCAATTTCAATCGTCATGAGTGAGATCACCTGTTTTTGTTTCTAATTCATTACTTGTACAAACAAGTAAAGTTAAAGACTACTGTACCGTAAAGGACGTGGTGAAATGTAAATCATTAAACATTTTACTTGTTTGGTAGGCTAGGGGCTTAATTATTAATTATTACTAATAATTCTAAAAGAATAAGACTTCAAGTACGGTACTTCGTTTGGTCAGAGCAGGAGCAATTGGAAAGTTTAGTCGAGTTATCTCCCTTTAATGAGAGATTGATTAACTGAAATCTCCAATAAATTTTCTGACAAGGTTGAATAAGTGTTACATATTCTGTAATGTAAAGGTTATGTTTATATTCCATGTTCACATGTGATCAAATATTTAATTATTTCAGTCACGGGGAATAAGTAAGCTTTGGTAGAGATATTCTTTTAAAAGTCATTCTGAAAATAATAGTGGTAATGATAAAATCCCAATTTTCATATGGTGGAGTGGATGTGTCCGGATCCGACCATTCAGAAAGCAGAAACCATCTGTAATAAGCGTTCGTTTCTCTTGCATTTTGCAGGCTAAAATTTGTTGATGTTTAACGATGTGAGTAATCCAGGAATCTGGTTTATTTTTAGCCCTCAGTCTTCCACCCACCTGTGGGAGCAGGCAAAGGTGCAGAGTGAAACAGAAACAAAACGAAGAGGGGATGGACACGGAAGTGAGCGCAAGGCTCTGATAAAATACTGCAAATGCAATAGTTCAATATAATATCAAACTATAAAAAATACTTATCTAATGCATTTTAAACACTGCATATAGTGAAGTTAGTTTAAAGACCCCTTGACCAGTGGCGTAGGAAGGGGTCTATTTATGTCTATGGAGGAGTGAAATTTTCAGCCAAATACAGAGTTTTGATCGTAGAATGGTCTGGCAAAATTTTCGTTCCGCCCTGGGCGGCATAAAACCTAGCTACACCACTGCCCTTGACACTACAAAGTCCAGTAATATAACCAATTATAATTTGTAATTCATAAGCGCCAGGAGATGCTGCATTTGGAAAATTTTCATTCAATATAATATAGGAAATAGACTATCCAATCAGTGACACCAAAAACTAACAATATGCCAATATATCCAGCACTGTAAAATGTATATTCTCCAGCTTCTTTTATAAATATCAATGTATACAAACAAACTAGCTTAATTGGGCAATTTAAATTAAATGTCTTTTCAAGATTTGAAAATTTATCTTTGTGTTGCTTCAATATTGGACAAGTTGATTCTTGTATTGCCTATTAATGACTGCAATATTAAAACTAAGCTGGTCAACAAAATTTGGCTATTTCCGTTGAGGTAGCCTTGTTAGACCCAATGACTGCTGTCATTTTCCAAATCGAGACAGCCACTCAGCGTCAACTGAAAGCAATTGCCCTGTTTTGTTAGAGGTCGCCTCCCGTTGAGCCCGGCAGATACAAGTCAGTGTGCTGCAGTTGGCACAGTGAGGATCACGAAGTTCAGATCTCGGGATTTAAGTTCCTTCTGCCGTTAGGATAATCAATGTGCCTGGTAGGAGCGTGTTTGTGTATGTTATTATCACTTGTATTGTTGTATCTATACTTAATGTCATTTCTAGTTAAGTGTTAATGGGACGGGTGTTTATATACCACATTGAGTGCTAGAGAGACGGGTTTTGTAATACCATCTTTAGTATTAGGGACTGGTTTTGTAATACCATCTTTAGTTTTAGGGACTGGTTTTGTAATACCATCTTTAGTATTAGGGACTGGTTTTGTAATACCATCTTTAGTATTAGGGACTGGTTTTGTAATACCATCTTTAGTATTAGGGACTGGTTTTGTAATACCATCTTTAGTATTAGGGACTGGTTTTGTAGAACCATCTTTAGAGAAGGTGAGAGGGGTTTATTACATCGCATTTACCCTTTAGTGTTAGTGAGACCGTTTTGAGTATCACCTTTATTATTAGTGAGACCGTTTTGAGTATCACCTTTATCATTAGTGAGACGGTTGTTTGAGTATCACAGGTTTCGATGAATGATTAAAATATTTCATTTGAAATATTTGGCTTATGAGACTAGTTGACATCGTCAGGTGATCGATATATTGTTCCAGATTCTGTACCGTAACATGGTGGCTGGGGTTACATTAACGTAAAGTTGTAAAGGTTTATTTCATTTTCCCAGTGGTTTAATCGTTTGTTACGGTGACATATTAGAGTGTTAATGTGAAGCCATCAATTTCTAGTATTATCATATTTTACACTTTAAGTCTTTAGCTACCTTGTCTGAACTCCGAACTGCCATCTAACAAACGCGAACACCGTGCCACAAAAAAGGGGGGGGGGGGTTGCAGTTTGTTGTTTACACGAGTCAAAATACCATCCACTCAGACATTCGACTTGTGGCCTTTACTTTATGGCGGCTCTCCAAGAAAATCCGACAATTGGAAACTAGTTGAAGTTATGCCCTCTTTATCTTTTCAATGCGTGAACCGGGCTAAGAATAAGAGCAGGTATTATCACTGCGACGTCGCTGGCACATATGTTCAAAGTTGGGATGATGGTGGTGGGGATCGTTTAATGAGTCATTTATAAACTTTCTACAACCATGTGAAATGATTTTGTGGTTGGACATTGCCCATTCAGTTCAGTACGCTTTCAGTGTCCACCCGGCCTGATAGTTGCAGTGGGAATTTTGCGACTACTCAGCTTTCCTTGGTGGGTGGTAATATAGTATACTACATAGTATATGATGTAATAAAAGCTGTTCGTGTTACGCCACTGAATTTTACGAAACAGTAGCTTGGTGGAAACAGAAGCTTGGTGGAAACAGTAGCTTGGTGGAAGCGGTGGAAGCAGTGGCATGGTGGAAACAGTAGCTTGGTAGAAACAGTAGCATGGTGGAAACAGTAGCATGGTGGAAACAGTAGCATGGTGGAAACAGTACCTTGGTGGAAACAGTAGCTTGGTGGAAACAGTAGCTTGGTGGAAGCAGTGGCTTGGTGGAAGCAGTGGCTTGGTGGAAGCAGTGGCATGGTGGAAACAGTGGCATGGTGGAAACAGTAGCTTGGTGGCAACAGTAGCTTGGTCAAAACAGTAGGTTGGTGGAAACAGTAGCTTGGTGGAAGCAGTAGCTTGGTGGAAGCAGTGGCATGGTCAAAACGGTGGCCGAAACAGTGGGATGGTCGAAGCATTAGCTTGATCCGAATAGCAAATAAATGTGCGCCTTACGTCACCATCAATAAATCATTGGGATTTATAAGTTGGTAGAAAGAAGAATGACCAGATGCCTCCAATACCAAGAAAGAGTGCAGCCCCTCCCCCAGATAAAGTATTGACAGGCTAGGCAGTAGTTCCCCCAAGTCTTAGTGTGAGTGAAAACAGTAGATGAACAGAACCGGTATGGTTATTAAACGTTCCCGATATAGCCTTGACCTCAATACCTCAACTTGGTTCAAGCAACACACACACAAAAGAGAAAAAAAAAGTAGATGGGCTTTAAAAACTGTAAATCCACACGCAAGATGTTCTCAACTGTTTTCCACTTAACATCTCGCGGCAATAAATTGAATTGGCAATTGCATTGTGAAATCTTAATGGCCAACAGATTACAATAGATATTGTAGGGTCTTTAGGGTTAATAGTTAATATGTAATTCTTATCCAAATATTATACATGTAAGGGGTCAATTCAGTCTAATAGCAGCAAGTCTTCTTCTTCTTCTTCTTCTTCTTCTTATATTTGAGGGGCCCACGATCAATTTGTTGATCATTCTGGCTCCTGGTTTTAATTCAGAGTTAGCCTTCTCTTAGATGGGTTGCCGTCCAAGGCTAGCGAGTCCCATCCACCCGGGGTGCTTGGGATGGCTTTGATGGGGATTGAACTCCGGACCAACGGCTATTTAGTTTGAGACAGTTTAGACCGCTCGGCCACCCAGCACCTAAGTTTTATAGACTGACGGATTTTTAAATCAACGGGGGGGGGACGGGGGGGGGCGGGGGGGCGGGGGCGAGGCACCTGGAGAACTGTTGCCGCCACCGTTTACTCTAATAAAATTTATTGTGATATGAAAGCTATGAGGATATTGCTTTCATTTGTAAGTATCACGTTGAAAATGACAATCCGTCCTCGGCTATTTAGTTTGAGACAGTTTAGACCGCTCGGCCACCCAGCACCTAAGTTTTATAGACTGACGGATTTTTAAATCAACGGGGGGGGGGACGGGGGGGGGCGGGGGGGCGGGGGCGAGGCACCTGGAGAACTGTTGCCGCCACCGTTTACTCTAAGAAAATTTATTGTGATATGAAAGCTATGAGGATATTGCTTTCATTTGTAAGTATCACGTTGAAAATGACAATCCGTCCGCTAAAACGTTTTAGGGTATAACATCCTCATTTGAGACCCAAAAGTTACCCTAGAAACCCCATTTCTAAAGAAAACCTTCCTCTGTTTTAACTCATTCCGAATACAGTACTTTTTTTTCCTTTTCTTTTTTTATTACATTTTTTTTTAAAAAGGCGTTGAAAGGTTCACACATGCCTAAGCGCTAGCACACACACACACACACACACAACATGAACATGGGGAAAATGAACCGAAAGGTAGGCTATGTTTCAAGAGACCAGAAGACGCACTAAAAGAGGGGAGGGCTTGGACTGGCGTTTTAAAAAAAAAATGTCAAAAGAGGTGTATGAGGGAATCAAGTTGTGAGGAAAAAGAATGCGAGACGTATCAACATTATATATTTTGTAAAGCTCCCATTGGATGAGTAATGCAGCAAGCAGGCAACGAGTGGAGTGAATAGGGAAGCAAGCCATAAGATGACCGTTAGTTCAAACACATTTCAAACGAACGCTCGGAAAGGGGAGGGGGTGAATCTTTCTCTCTCTCTCTCTCCCCCCCCCCCACAGAGAAGGCCAACTGTATGCATTTCTAAAAAACGGGCTGCTACTTATTCAACTAGCAACAATAATTCATAAATAAAAGGAAAGCATACCAACTTTCTATTTCTTAAGTACCGTACCGTTATATGGTTTTGCACGTTTAATATTTTTTAGAGATTAGGCTCGTTAGATGAACAATACCTAACAAAGGACTGAAAACTAATAAACAAAGAAAAACGATTATACTATTACATTTATATTATTCTCGAAAGATACAATTATTAATATACAGAAGGGTAACTTCCTGTAAGGTTCCTATAAGTAAGTATATTAAGTTTTTTAAACGTCTAGGAATCTAGAAAAAAATCTCCCCCGTCTGGGAAAGCTGTCGGCTTATTTACAATGAGGGAGTTAAAACCCCCCCCCCCCCCCAGAAATGGCATCGCTTGATAGCATTCTTTAGAACAAATTAGAACGTAAACAACCTTTTCCCAATCAAAGAAGGGTGGGTAATGCTACAGCGTCACGCGTTTATTCGGTGTCGTCAATATCAAAACAAAAAGGGGGAGGGGGAGATAGGTGGTGGACGCTAAACAAAATTTGGTGAACGCACAGGCTTTTAACAAAATCCCTAGTAATGTTATGTTTGTGAATACTTTTTTTTATTGGTCATCAGAAGGTAGAGCATGTTTATTTCGACTCTATCCCGAAATTGGCATCAGTAACTTGAAGACCGCCTCCTCTCAAGTTCGACCAAACTTCCAACCCATCCCACTATATCTGACTTAAACTTTGTTATGAAGTCTCGGGTCTAAGAGTACCAGGCTTATGTCAGGGTATACAAAATGGTATCAAGCCTCGGGTCTGTGAGTACCAGGCTTATGTCAGGGTATGCAAAATGGTATCAAGTCTCGGGTCTAAGAGTACCAGGCTTATGTCAGGGTATACACAATGGTATCAAGCCTCGGGTATATGAGTTCCAGGCTTATGTCAGGGTATACACTCACGAGACTTAAGCCTTCCATTCGCCAATTCCCACTAACCAGTGGCGTAGCTAAGGTTAGTGCCGCCCCCCCCCCCCCTTTCCACGAGGTAATCTCTGCAGTTGGCCGAAAAAGCCACCCTTTCTTATAAAAAAGTGTCGCCTAATGAACATAATGTGGGATGTAACAAGCCTCGGGTATATGAGTTCCAGGCTTATGTCAGGGTATACACTCACGAGACTTAAGCCTTCCATTCGCCAATTCCCACTAACCAGTGGCGTAGCTAAGGTTAGTGCCGCCCCCCCCCCTTTCCACGAGGTAATCTCTGCAGTTGGCCGAAAAAGCCACCCTTTCTTATAAAAAAGTGTCGCCTAATGAACATAATGTGGGATTGCACAATACTAAGAACAATATCATCATTATCATCCAGGATTGCCCAGACCACAAAAGCACTAAAGAGGCTCAAGAAAATTAGGAACGACAAAAATATAGCCTCCAGCACCAAAATCAAGCTGATGCGCTCATTAGTCCTCTCCATTTTCTTGCATGACTGCGAGTCCTGGACATTAACAGCAGAACTTGAAAGAAAAATATAGGCGATGAACATGAGAGTTTCAGAAGCATTCTTGGAATCTGCTATAGATGCAATATATCTCTAACAAACAAGTGAAAGAAATGATTCGTCAAGCAATAGGGCAGTATGATGACCTACTGGTGACTGTAAAAAAAAAGCGCAAACTGGAATGGTATGGCCACGTGACAAGGAAACAAGGGCTCGCTAAAGAAATCATACAGGGCACAACGAGAGGAGGGAGAAGAAGAGGAAGAACATCAAAGGGTGGACGGGACTAAAACTAGGCGATGCTGGGCGAAGTGCAGAAACAGAGACGAATGGAGGATAGTTTTCATGTCATCTGTGGCGCCCCAACGGTCCAAGGACTAAGGGACTTGAAGAAGAGAAGAAGAAGAACAATGTAAATGTTGTCATAAAGTCCACGAAATTTGGTTCAATACATCGCAATACATCTGTTGCAGCTTGCGTGTTCAGAGAGAGATGTTTGCACTAAACTGTGATTGTACACTGAACTGTGATTGTACACTAAAATGTGACCTCAATATTTGTTATCGACTGAGGATCGTGAAGTAATTTTTGTATTGCTTGTTTTTTTATTTGATCGATGCAAATGAACCGATTCATTTAAGTGGCGTGCACGACAATCAAATATGGCGCTGATGGATCGGGGAGTTTGTTTAACTCCACGCCTTTTAACGCTAATTGAACCTGGGTAATAACCTCGACCTTTCATGAAAATCTCGTCACCAAAACGACGCCCCCTTCACGTTTAGGAATCTCAGTTGAGAAATAGACTAAATTAATGTCCAGCAGTGAAGGTATATCACCGAGAACGCAGTACAGCCTCTTGTCGTATACAACACATCTACGCTGTGGTGGATCAAGAAAATACAACAGCCTTACAACAGGCATCAATAATCGTTGCTAGGTATCGTCTACAAGAATTACTATATTTTAAACGTTGCAAGGTGTCTTCTATACGAATTTCTCTATTTTAAACGTTGCAATGTGTCTTCTATAAGAATTTCTCTATTTTAAACGTTGCAAGGAGTCTTCTATACGAATTTCTCTATTTGAAACGTTGCAAAGAGTCTTCTTTACGAATTTCTCTATTTTAAACGTTGCAAGGAGTCTCCTTTACGAATTTCTCTATTTTAAACGTTGCAAGGAGACTTCTATACGAATTTCTCTATTTGAAACGTTGCAAGGAGTCTTCTATACGAATTTCTCTATTTGAAACGTTGCAAGGGTCTTCTATAAGAATATATAAATAAACATTCCTGGGTGTCTCTTTTTAAAAAATATGTAGAAACACCTGCTGATTGCTATATGAAATAGTTTGCGATTCAGTGGCGTGATGTTATCCTAGATCTGGACATGCCCCCACCCACACACCCACCCCCCATAACGCTTAACCTCTCTGTTACATTGTCGCATCATTTGTCGTGATCAGTTGTCATGACAACCCTTAAACAAATATACGGTTACATAGTGTTCAAACAACAACAAACAAGCCTATAAAACCTTCGCTATTCCCCGAAATAGAAGCTTCGTGACTCAAGGCGTGAATCTTTGCTGAAAAACAGAAATGTTGCTAGCTTCACTAATAGAATCAATATAGTATTCCTATAATCGTTGGTAGCTTCCCTCGATGGAAGAAACAGTCAAAGGCTAATCTAATGATTAGGCCTACGAATACCAGGAAAGAGGAAATATTAAAGCTATGAGTAATAACTAATTATTTTATCAAAGCATGGGTCCCCAATAAAGAAGTTTCCCTTAATGTTATTGAGAAATTACTCTGCTGTGTCTTCCCCGCCAGTGTGGCACTTGTTAAATAAGGGAAGTAAGAGAACCTAAACCTAGTCCTGATAACAGTCCATAGTTTTGTACATGCATTCCATATGCAATTTTATCCAAGCATCAATTCAACGATAAAAAATGTATGGCCAATCAAAAAACAAACAAAAAAGTCTACCAGTTGAGATAAGCAAACAACTATAGTGAATACGTGTTGCTGGATCAAGGAAGTGGAGCTAAGAGCAGAGATGCTTAAAGTGGGTCATCTGATCCAGGGGCGGTATTCAGCGCTGCTTGTCTATCCCACGTTTTTACATTCGATAAAATGAACTTTTTAAAATGTACAAGTTTCTGGTTTAGCAAGAAAAATGAATCAGCCTTAAAAATGAATATAATAATCATCAATCATAGATTTCTAAGAAAGATAAAACGTTAAAATCTATGTATCATTTTCATGTCTGACTACTCTACAACTTTTAACAAGTATATCACAACCAAGCCCAGTGATTCCTCCGCAGTTCACGCCAAAAAGGCAATCTTCGATTGCTTTAGTGAAGCGAATGTATACAGTATCATGATTATATCTCAAGATGCCGACCGACTGTGATTTTCTGTTGTTTGCAACCGAAACCAAACGTAAAGTTAAAAATGACTTCCCGCCGAAGCCGAAAGATGTATAACCCAGAACAAGATTTACAAACCATGCCGTGAAACAATGATGCCATTTTATAAAGTCAACATTATCAACCATAATTTAAAAATTATTAAGTAATCCATAATCTAGAGATAATCATTCGGAACTTGCAAGTGAGTCGTTAAATGGCAGGTAGTTCAGCGTTATTTGGTTATCAACCGAAGCAAAACGAATGTTGTACCAAGCCAAACCAACGAATGTTGTACCAAGCCAAACCAACGAATGTTGTACCAAGCCAAACCAACGAATGTTGTACCAAGCCAAACCAACGAATGTTGTACCAAGTCAAACCAACGAATGTTGTACCAAGCCAAACCAACGAATGTTGTACCGGTAGTTCCGAAACAAACGTTTCTCCGCATTCTCTACCTTGGCCTATGGCAACATTTATGATCCGTGATAAATCGAATGAATGGACTGAGTCAAATTAAGATTCCAAATAAAAACAAAATAATAGAAAAGTTACCATTTCTTGAAACAAAATAGAAATATTACAATTCCCTTGGTTGGTTTAGCCACAAAACTATTTGCCTTTGCCTAAGCCTAATTGTTTCTTTATTTTCTTCTTCTTCTTCTATATCTTAAGGGCCCACGATCGAATTATTTATTATTTGGCTCCTATGCATGTAGATGGGATTTGCAATGTTTCTGTTCCTGGTGTTGAGGAAATTTCACAGATTTCCAGTGACACTTTGTGAGGGAATCATGCACTAGGGGGTTGAAGGCTTGAGGCAATAGACGCAAATGTGTCTAGTGTTGTCGCCACAACCGTTACTTTTGAAAGATTTTTCCAGTCCCTGATTGTCTTGGGCAGGAATGAGCAGCTCCTAAACTGGCTTCTTGCTGGTATGAGCCTGAGTTGCCTGTCATGGCCTCGTCGCTGTCTATGTTGGAGAAGGACGAGTTTCTGTTTAATACTGGAACAGTGGACCAGCCCATTATTTATCTTGTACATCATGGAGAGCCTGGATTGTCGTCGTCGTTTCTCCAATGGTGACCAGCCTAGTGTTTCCAGCATGCTGCCAACACTAGAGGTATTCCTGTAGCGGTTTAGGACAAAGCGTGCTGCTCGTCGCTGGACCGCCTCCAACCTGTCAATGCTCTTCTGGGTAAATGGGTCCCAGACTGAAGATGCATAATTGGACAAAGCGTGCTGCTCGTCGCTGGACCGCCTCCAACCTGTCAATGCTCTTCTGGGTAAATGGGTCCCAGACTGAAGATGCATAATCTAAAATCGGACGGATAAAGGCTTTATATGCTCTTTCTTTCACATAGGAGTTGCCAATCTTTAGATTTCGCCTTAAGAACCCTAGGGTCTTGTTTGCTTGGTTACATACATTGTTAATATGCTCGTCCCAGCGGACCTCTCTTTGAATGGTAACACCCAGGTACTTTACGGAGGAAACTTGCTCAAGTATATGGCCGTGCAGTTCGTATTGGTAGTATAGAGGAGTACAACTTCTAGAGACTGATATTCCATGTCCCAGCTCATCTCCCACTCAGCTAACATACTGAGATCCTGTTGTAGCTGGTCCTGGTCAGATCTCTTGGCGATCGTCCTATACACTGCTGTGTCATCTGCGAACAGTCTTGCCTGTGATGTCAGTTTTTGGAAATATTGGACAAGTAGGTCATCATGCAGCTGTGAGCAGTGTTCGCAGAGGATTAGACATATATCCTAAGATGACAGCAAGGCGTCGAGCAATAATGAATATCGGATTGCCGGCCGACAGACAGACTGACTGACTGACTTCTGGTAGACGATCGAGGGTCGAAACCGAAACTACACCGAACTTGATATTGTGGCAACTTTCGGCGCCGAAAGGCCTCTAATCCCCAAAGTACTGACATAGGCGAGCCCACACAATTGGGTGAATCCATCTTTTCATCCCATATGTTTGACCAGGGTGCTCCTTCCTTCCTACGTAGAGATGGGTCTCAATTCTTGTCCGACTGAAGAAACCACTCTGAAATCCCGGTCATCAATCAAATCAGGCTACACATGTATAAACTAATATATTCTTCTTCATCAGTTATTTTAAAACTGCAAAGCTTTACTTTCAAAGACAAAGCTTTACTTTCTAGGAATTTTAGTATGATCCCCTGTTCCTTCACTTGTCAATTACTGCAAAGTTGAATATCGCCGTGCCAATAGCTGTTTAACATTCTTGTTTGTGGTTTGTTTATTCACGGGTTGAACCTCCGAGCCCAACCAACCCCACTTTTTTTTGTTTTCATTCTCCCTATAGTAGTAGTATGTTCTCTTGCCAATCTTGGCACGTGACTTCTTTAACTGTCGTGACAATTGCTTCTTTTTTCCCGACGCGCGAATGCGACCCAAACAACACACTGCAAAACACCCAGCCCGCGTGTTGTGCTGCAGCAACCCAACAAAACAAGTGTCGGCTACACACCCTACACAACACAGTAGTGAGTAGGGAGAAGTCCCCCACACACTGATCACTTGATTGTCAAGTGTAGGTAAATACGACAGTCCTTGTTCAAACAGCTGCACCACATGCTGACATGACCCCAGTCCTACAAGCTGGCGGAGCTGCTAAAGCACGGCGTCACACACCCACGTGATGGCACAGTTATGCTCGTGATTATTAACTGTCATAGATGCTCATAACGAGTACTTCAAAAAGTGGCCGGTACTCACATCTTGTAAATATCTTGAGGTTATCCCTTATGACGTCACACAATGGGGGGTTATATTATGTAACAAATTGTGCGACGATTGGGGGGTGATGGGGTAAAAAAATCTGCCAATATAACGTGACGTCATTTATGGATGGGCCCAAAAATGTGTGTCTTTTAATATGCTATATGGATGTGTTTATTAATATTCTGACCATTTTACTTGCAGGACAGTTGGTTGCGAAGTAATTAGTTTTACCCAAAAAAATCCATTGCACCATTTTTCCAAGAGAGTAAAATCTCTCTAACCCGCTACGGTTCAACTGATGAATGGCAGAAGTTAAATGCACGATGAAATGTCCGAGTTAGAAGAAGAACCAACCCGTAAATAAATGGCACAGAGTTGAAATCGGTTGCAGGAAATGAAGTAGGAACATTAAACATTGGTGCCTGACAAAGGAACAATGGGAAGGGTCACGAAGTGGGCAGACGGTCAGTGAACGCTGAAGCCAGAGTAGGAATTTGTTTAGAACGGGGTTTTACTAGAACGGCTTACCTCCATAGGAGGCTATCACCAGAGATACCTGGGTGCCAACCGACAAGGGTTGAGAATCTCTCCCAATTCTCTTATCAAGCCTTAAACAATTATGTAACAGTATCAGTAACTTTGTGTCCGTGGCTTCATGTGAGAAGAGCTTTACCCAAACTTTAAACAATTTTTTTTTGCAATCTTAGATGGAACGGTCCAGCTATGTGGCCTTGCGATTTTGTCAATGGAAAGGTGAAACATGTTAATGTTGATGAAGTGATTGAAATGTTCGCGTCTTTGAAAACCAGGGAAGTCAAGTTTTAAATGTAAAGTTGAATGTTTATTAAAAGTAATGTTGCATTTTTAAAAAATGTTATCTCAAAGTCGATGTTTTCTTCTCATGTCTGTTTGTGCCTTATGACGTCTGTTTGTGCCTTATGACTTAAGTTACAAACAATACTATAACGGTTTCTGGGTGACTTTGTTAAGAAATAATCGATGTAGGTCCGTCCCGGAGAGGGTGGGGGGGGGCAGAAGGGAGAGGGAGACACCATGAGTTGACCGCACCGGGTCATGCCTCTGGTATTCCTCCAAGTATTAGAAACAACGTCCCACGGGTTTTCTGCAGCCAAGTCATGACGATCTTTTGTTTTCACTTCAATCTCGAATGATTCATTGCGGTCATAGAAATGACAAGGGGATGTGACTAAGCGATTGGTAAGGTCTATAACGCCCGCAACTATTTCATATGTCTATTTGAAGTAGTGAACAGTTTGCTGTGGTATTCCTGCAAGTGTAGCTTTGTCGTTTTCTTGTAAGTAATAGCCATCGACAAGTCAGGTCTCTTTACCACTGTCTACTTTCTGCCTTACGAGTAGACAAAATAATAGAGAATTTACTCTATTCTCCCGAACAGCTTTACTTGCCACAGGAGCCTCGTAATGGTATGCGATATTAACCGTTGGAATGCCACCCCACTCTCCTCATGCCACCCCACTCTCCTCATGCCACCCCACTCTCCTCGTGCCACCATTTCTCCACGGACATAGATTGTTTCACCCCACGCCCCACACCGGTGAATGTGACTAAGGGTCAGATGTGAGTTCACCGAGTCAGCTCATTGCTGGCCGTGTCTTATGTTTTCATAACTTCCAATGGGAAACCCATTTTCACGGTTAAGTATAGAGTGGTTCTAAGTTTGTCATCTGGTCACCTGCTGCTTTTTTTTTTGTTGAACACCTACCGAATATGACCTAATCCACTATCACGATCACATTTTTATTACTTCCCAAATAATGGTGCAACAACAAAACAACCAGTACGTTTAAAGAAACTCTTATTACAATATATATATAAATATGGCGTTTATGTTAGGTATAATCTACGTGTCACAACGATAACTATTTGCGTCATCATGGTACGTTTGCTCAAGGTTTCATATGTCAAGTCTCAAGTGCTATTCTGAGTTGGTTTGAAGATCTCAAAGATGTAGGAAGGTTAACTGGACCGACTGAGTACAGCCGTTTCACACTAAAGGCTTAGAACCCTTGTGTGAGCTTTAGTCAGCACAGACCATGAGGGCAGACTTTTAAAAAACCCGAAGAAAATAGTACTGCTGAGACTTTCAAACGTGTAGGCCTACCACGGAGTAAGAGAGATGTGAGGGGAATGAACCCAGCTTTATCTAAGCCTGTTAAAAGGAGTCAAAGCATCTGTGTGGTAAGCATTACTCAGTGCGGCATAAGAAATGATTTTGTTGGCCGATTGTAACCTTACACACAAGTTTATAAATATATATTTTAGCGTTATACATATGACATACAAGAACGATGTAACTGTAAAGGCGCATTGAGTCAAACGTTTTGAGTTTAGCAAGCATGATATAATTTCATGGTTGAACGAATGGTAAATATTGGTTGACTACAGAAATAATGCGCATATGTTCAAGACGTATCGCTTGACGTCTGCTTTATTATTGAATGGGAAAAATGTCTCATTTTCAATGGAATTAATTCTCTGTGATATACAACTGTAAATAATAACATACTGGAGGAACGATTAAAAAAAATTAGTTTAGTTTAAATTAACTATCAAAAATACTCAAGCCTAATAGTGTGCTGTGTATGCGCTAATAAGCAATCTACAAATGCAGGTGTGACAATGAGCTATGCAGTTATAGAGCCGACATTAATGGCGGTTTGTTAATTACCGGTACTGTTAATTACTGTAACGGTATCACTAAATGTAACATTCCAATCTTCCTAAGCACGTGGTTCTTAAATTGATACGCTAATATGTCATAACACAAGTTAATATGTCATATCACACGTTAATATCTCATAACACACGTTAATATGTCATAACACACCATTGAAATATATTTGCAACCTATTTAGGTGTTCAGAATAGAAATTCGCTCTGGATTTGTAAAAACTGAACTTAATTAAAATTATTCCGTAAACATTTACAAATAACACACACACATATTTAACCTCAAACGAGAATCGAACCCCGATCCCATCGAGCCGTCGTTTGCTTCCATTTACTGGTACTGTCAGTCTATATAATAAACATTCATTTGGACTTGCCAACGAAATAACAGTTAATCAGTAGTATAAAACAAACACACATAAAACTTTGTACTAAACAAGTGACTTTTTCCTGTGACTTTTTTCCTACAATCATTGAGGATCATTGACTAACACATGAAGACGTGTTAACACTTAAACTACGTCAGTGGGTGTGTAATTTTGTAATAATGAGATTATTGACATGTACTTGACGACACGTGTGTGACGTGAATAAACAGATTTACTATCAGTTGATGAAACAATGTCTACTTACATACCCCATTGTTCTACGTAGTCGCAAACAATATGGATGTATCGAGTTGTGAAAAAGGTGGTTGGGGTGGTGAAAAAGGTCGATTGAAATCAAACTGACGGAGTGATCCACGGGCCTCTCTTGATTCGACACTGGTTTTTCACGTGAACACAAAACCCTTGGTGGGATGCGATGCAATGACCTGGTGCAGCTGCAGTACGTTCTTGCACATTTCAGAAGCTAATTCCCCTCAGCCAAGTTCCCAAATTTAACAAATTAAAAGCCACAACATATTTTGACCTCTGACCCTCTTTCATGACATTTCATGGACACTTCCCTCCAAACGTCCAGCAGACATTGTTACTCTAACGATTTTGGCGTACACTGTGCGAATTTGAGATTTCTTTTGCAATTTAAAAGAGTTTTCTCAACCGGCTCCACACAACAACGCAATAGATTGTGTCATATTTCATAAGATCTGGTAGGTGGCATTGGAAATCTATTTTTAGCAATCACCATGCAGTGTTGCAAGTTTAATACCCCAGTTTGGCTCAAGCATCCCTTTCTAATGCATGCCCATACCGATATTCAAATTGGAACAGTATTGAAATAAAAATTTAATTCATGAAAGTGTAGATTCCCGGAATGAGACTGTCAGTATTTACTTCCAATTAAACGCATTCTTTATCATTACATTGACATTCCAAAACTGATCTGGCGTAGTCTCGAATATTTGGTGCTCAAATGTAGCCACGCAGGGTTTTCATGTCAATGACATCAGGTTCTCGCACTGATGTAGGCAGTACAAGTCGTCACCAAATAAGACGGGAATAGGGCACAGACGACACACGGGGGCAGCGTTAGTATAACAGGAAAGAAGATTCTAGACTTCCCAACTGGCATATAACGACACGGGGCATTGCAAAGCTAGTCTATAGATACAAGATTGGCACTGTGGCATTGTGTATCTGGTCCAATACATCCGTGACTTGTGTCAAACTGACTGGCTTACACACGTCCACCTCTGGTAAACGTGTGTTTCATTGACACAAAGAGATCGGGTTAGCACCAAAGTGCTTCTCTGGAATGTGATGGAATGGGACAAAGAGATCGGGTTAGCACCAAAGTGCTTCTCTGGAATGTGATGGAATGGAAAATGGAACTTTCCAAAGACAGTATCACAATGATCTATTTCAAAGAGATTATTTCTGAGATATTCATCATTTATGTTGTATGTTATGTAGCATTAAGTAGTACAGTGTTGCAGTAATAAGTTCAAGTACTACCGTAGCATGCTATGGTACTTTTGTAACATTTAAATTTAGCTTACAAGAAAGTCCGCTTAAGTTTCGTGGTTCATAGAATTTGTTAACACTTACATCATCTGGAGGTCAGAATTGAATTTGCAAAATGTCTAATAACTACTAAGCAAATGGCAGCTGGGTGTCTTCCACTAACTCGATGATCTCTGAAACAACCAGGTACGACAGAATATTAAACCCTTAGCAATGCTGCCCAATGTGTTTGTGTGTGCATGAACTTGTGAAGCACATGTTGCACAGGGGAAGGGGAATGCATTTTGAAGACGTATTTCCTTCACCAGTGAAAGGAGTGTCCTCCAGCCAAGTGACCACTTGACATTGGCAGGGCCTCCAACGGCTGTATAGCAATCATCAGTCTCATTTCTAATGTGAACACGCAGCTAATCAACTTGAGGCGGCCATTTTCCAAGAGACAACACATCGGTAAAGGATCGTTGTTTACATACATAACTAAATAGGCAGATAGGTCCAAGGTGGATTATTTCATTGAATGTACCGTACCTACACATTTCCCTAGACATGAATATGTTAGCGGTAATGAGTGCATTAAAAAGTCGAGTAGTCTGTGGGAATTTCAACTTTGTTATTCACAGGTCCTTGGATGAACTCCTAAAAGAATCTTAACCTGTGTATTTGAAGACAGATTGGCCACTAAGTAATTGCCGAGCACTGTTTACCAGGAGATCCATGTCACTATTGTTGTAGGTGGGTATAATCTGGACGATAGACAATCTCAAGATATTTGCTCCTATTGCTCCCATGGTGGCGGTCTTCTGACCATCGTCCATTTCTACTGGTTGACCCAGGCTGTCCACTATGTGGTGCCAGTGTCCAGTCAGTAGTCGGTGATGCTGGAGCTCCAAGAAACGTATTTTTCCATACTGTCCACCATCATTGTCATTACCATGGCATCGTTGTTCTTTTGTTGTTGGAAGAGGAAGACCTGCGATGACGCACCTGATGGCAAGGCCAAGAAGCAAGAACCAGACAAGGTCAAGCGAGGGAGTTCTAAGAAGGACCAACCCCAACGCCCAGAGAAAAAGCCAGAAAACGGGTTGGTCAGTCCTACTCAAAGGTAATGTTGTTAACGACCTATCTATGCCTAACGACTATGAATGCATTAAAAAATATGTATTAAAAAATATGTACACGTCTGGCAGAGATTCCTTAGGAACATTTATTCAAAAACAGTTTTTGTATCAGTGGAATGGGTCTCAGAAAGAGTGGTTGAAGGGAAACAATTGATTCCCTGAAGGGAAAAAATTGATTCCCTGAAGATAAATTCTCAATTTTATTTCCTGTAACTGAATCCATGTTACAATCTACAGCTCCCCGACCCACGTGATCTCGGGGGAGGACCTTGGGGACTTCTCTGCGGTTCAGCGAGAAACAGAAATTCTACGCTCGGTGAGTTCATTCAAAGCAAGTCTGACAGACTTAACACATAGTCAAACCTTATTTTTCTGGGAATAAAGAGAACATAAGTGTAGTGACAGTGATACCAAGTCATGTAGTTACAGACTACATGTTAAAACGGTGTTGGGAGATAACTTTCTTGTATGGTACACACTGACCCAGTTGTAACTTTTACTTCCCGGTATTCCATATCAAATATCAATTCATAATCAAACAACCTATTTTTAGCGTGTGGCAGGCGGTGGATTAGCCAATGGACATAAGAACTGTTCATGTCTACTTTCTGCCCAATGGCTCAATGAAATTACAAACATTAAACATGCTACACGGCAAGCTCTATGATGGCGCTAGTCCAAACAATGGGTTCGTACTGTTAGAGGATGCTACATCTGATCAATAGACAAAGCATGTTCGCTCAATTTCCTCGCAATGATTCACATGCCTGTGTTTCATGAGTAATTTATGCCTTTCGATAGTATTATCTCCCCTACACTCCTACTTTCATCATGATCATAAGATTTTACTGTGCCTCATTCCATTGTTATCTCTCCCCCACTCTTTCTACAGGCCGTGGGGATATTTGATACAAATTCTTTCTTTTTTTAATTTTTTTTTTTTTTACACACATCTTGAAAACGTACTTGTTCGTTGGCTTACGTACTTGTTCATTGGCTTACGTACTTGTTCATTGGCTTACGCTCAAATATTAACCTTTCAGTACCGCAAGCCCCCACCTCCCAAAAACAGAGGCAGGCAAAGCAGGGCACCTCGAACAGCCATGCAACGCTCCAACGAAAACTTGGACATTTTCACAGTGAGTAGAGAGACTTGGAACAAGTGCGTCAATCTAGGGTCAACCATAAAAACCAATTGTTGTAGGTTGTAGTACTGACAACAATTGTAGGTTGTAGTACTGACAAGAGAAAACCTTCATTTTAGGAAGGGGTAAGAAGAGTTTTCACAATGTGGGGGCGCTGTTACTGTTACACGACATGCTTTCATTAACTAACACTAAAACGTAACAAAATAATAGTAACAACGTAAAATGCGATTTCGTGTATTTAGGATGTTGCCCATTGCTAAGATTCGCAAGAAGTACATATATCTCTTGATATGCCTAGCTGGTTACCAGTAAAGGGTGTGTGGCCAAACTACCTTGATTTGATTCAATGAATACTCAGTTTCCCTTAGTCCCACTTCAAGCCCCAAAATGACCTTGACCTAGTTATGAAATGGGATACATAAGCCAGGTGACCTAGTTACGAAATGGGATATATCAGCCAGGTGACCTAGTTATGAAATGGGATACATCAGACAGGATACCTGTTATGTAATGGGAAATTTAAGTCAGGTGACCTATCACCCAATCTAGGATACTGAGTCTTTCATTAATTATGTCAACAATTTATTGGTGATTTTTTTTGCCCCTCCCCCTTTTCCTCCTTGTTAACAACTGTTTTTCAAGGAGCAGATGGTTTATTAGGCCCAAAAACGTATCGTTGATGCTGCTCTAGCCATTTGAAACCATAAGACATTATAAGCCATTAACCTTAACAAAACTTTTGAAAAAATATACAGGCCTATTAATATTTTAATTTTATTTAAATATCAAAGAAAAATACAGTTATTGTCAATTTATCCCCCCCCCCTCCCTCTTTGACCATTGTCAAACTTTGTCCTACCTCCCCCTATTTAGTTGACATAACTTATGGAGGACCCCTAAAAAAGGAACCATCTAATATATGGATAGGGCGGGTAGATGGTACATTAAGACAGGAAAAGCGGCGTGAGTGAATGTCAACCGTTTACATCCCATCAACCCCTTCACCCACACCATCTGTCAGACCCATTAACAGTTACAGGGTAAAGACAGAAAGAGAAATTAGACTATAAACTTACGGGAAATTGTTTTTTTATTCAAAGGCTCTATACTTAAGATGCCCCACGGTTTATTATGCGTTTAAAAAAATAGAAAATGTGCATTGTAAACATTTGGTCATCGTTTCCTCTAGGAGCTGAGTGAAGAAGATCTCAAACCGTCTGACATTAATGAAACCCTTGAAGTCAAAGATGAAGTGGATGCATCAATGCTTCGTTCCCGTCCAGAAGAGAGTCCCAAGAGAGACGTGCGCTCATCCATGCTGGCAGACATTGAACAAACACTGGCTGCCCTTCACACCACTGAGGAAACCAAGTCTGCTGGTGACGTGAGACAATCAAAGGATGTAAGCAGCAGCTCAGAGATTGAGCAGGCCAAAGACCAAACAAATGAACCATCATCACTTAATGCCACAGGATCTGATGAAGCTAATTTAAGCACAACATCACAATCCAGTCCATCAGTCAAGCCAAGACAAGCCCCAAAGGTCAGTCCTAAACCAAGCCCCAGAGCCAGAGTCAAGGTCACTGAGAAGATCACACCCACTGCACAGACCGTTACTGCACTGACTGTTACTGAACGAGAAGATTCTTCAGGTAAAGAAGGGAGCCAGTCTTCCAGGTTAGAAGAGAGCCAGTTGGCCCGGTTAGAAGAGAACCAGTCGACACGGTTAGAAGAGAGTCAGTCGACACTGTTAGAAGATTTAACTATATCCACAGCAACCGATGACTTTAATACAACATCTGCATCTTCCACAGCAGGGAGTCAGTTGACTTCTCTACATTCTGACAATCCAATCACAACATCAGTGACATCAAGCACCAAAGATTACATATCAGGGTCAGAGGGCATATCAGAGGAGAAGTCAGCAGTTTCCAGTGAAAATGTTTCCCCTTTGCCAGAGTCATCATCTGAATCAAGCCACCCTGCTGTTACTGATTTATCCACTGTTTCAGAAGAAGATTCGAAAGATCTCAGCAGAAGCTCTGAAAATTTGAACACCAAAATACCAGAAATCAATCCTATAATTATCCTGCCCACAGCTGCTGCTCCACTGGAGCAAGATGAAAGATCAGTGGCTTCTGATAGGGGTGACAGCGTATCATCAAGTATTTTGTCTGCAGCTCATACCACCATACCACCTAATGCCAGCCCTACTGGTGACAAAGAGACAGGGGTAAAAGAGGCAACAGGTGAGAATGGCAACATAGATGTCACCTCTGACAGTATTACAGATGCTGACAGCAGATCAACTGATCTTGAATCCAGCGCCAACACCGGTAGCCAAATGACCTCATCGCTGTCTGTTGTTCTGTCAAAGAGGGATGAACAGAGTGAGGCGGACACTGCACCTAGCCAGTCCATTGAGATCTTAACAAAAGGAGAACAAATCTTACCACCAGCTAAGGTTGAAAGCAGAGATCCCAGCACGAATGCTGATTTGGATGAAGATGGCCAAAGCAAAACAGAAGAGCATTCAAGAGAGAGGCGTGAGTCTACTGAAGACCAGGCTGGGAAGGGCAAACACAGTAAAATACCTGTCAGAGCAGGTCAGTAGTCATACAATGAGGATAGTGAGAACAAATGAATTCTAGAATTATCCTTAAAATATGCATAGTTTTAAAGATACACAATGAATGGAGATTTTCTCTTTATTGACTACAAATATATAACTAGTCAGTCCTGTGTGTGTGCTTTGATGTTTGTTTGTTTTTCTGATCTTTGATTTGCTAAGGGACTTGTGCCCATTCTTTTTCTTCTCTTTTCTTTCAGTTTTTTTAATATCAATTGGTAGGATTGAAATTTATTAAGTAAAATTTAATTTACATTATTGTTATTTGTTATTATGTTGCAGAAGGCTTTTAAACTATTTTTTCTTATAATAAAAGCCTATATTATGCACTGTTTTATTTACATAAATTGTTTTGTATCTCAATGTGCTCAGAGTAACTTCTTTCAGTGGGACATTTTTTGCATTTCTAAATTTCCATTTTCAGGATCTAAAAGTCGATCAAGTCCACCAAAAGCTACAGCCTCAAAATGAAGATTTACGTAAGTTTTAATTTGATATCAATACACATAAATTATGCTAGTGGGTATGCATTAATGCACATAAACTATGGATTATAATCAAGTGCTTGAATTCTGTTAGCAATTTTTTTATCAAACCATGCAATGATTAAATGAAATATTAATCTAGAAATTAAAACTAGTAACTTTGAAGAGTTTTTATTATGTTATTTTCAGCACACATAAGGACCTCAGGACAGACATTAAAAGTGTGGCCATTTATATACAACAATAAGAACTCAAGTAAATCCTCAATATATTTCTGCTGTTAAAAGTTGCATAATACTTTTTTTTAAACTTTTTTTTAAACCGTTTTTTTTAAATTAAAATTTATAATCCCTACAAGGCTAAGATCTTGTATTAAAAATATATGCTCTTTTTAACATTACTTTGGAAAAGAAAATGCAAAAGTACAAAGGAAACTTATTGGAAATAGTGAGGTATAGTTATACTCAAACCTTATGTTATTAAATAAGACATACATCTATGTGGCTGATATAACTAATTCTATTTTTTGTTTTAAATGCTCATTAACCATATTATATGCTGCTTTAACTGTTTGTAAATAAAATATCTTTTGTCGCACAGGAAATAAATGACTATGTCGCACAGGAAATAAATGACTAATTCGTGTTTATATTTAAAGATTAAATCACATACTTCCAATTATATTATGAATCTTACATATCAGACATTAGCAAATACAACTTACATTTTTTTTGTTGTTGCTTTTTCTAAAATCCAGTGATTTTAATAGTTTTATTTTATTATGATATACTTGGAATATTAAAGAACCAACTTCCTTGGAAAACAAGATTTTGAAGTTGGGCTATGTGACCTACATGAAGTAAAATATTTTCAGCAATGGGGAAAACAAAATCATGGTAGATTCTGGAGTCAAATAATTCATCAAATTTTACTACGTTTTCTTTGGGCTTTTCAGTAAATTTTCATTTTCATGCTTCTTTTATTCAGTTTATGAGTATGGACTTTATAAATAATACAATCATTTTCATAGATTTAAAAAGGCATAGCTTAAGATTCCACCAAAACAATGAGAAGGTTTAATTTCATCTAAAAATAATTTTTTTAAAGTTTAATAATTTTGAAAATTACTAATTACTATTGCTGGCACATTTCCATAATACTGTTAATCCATTGTTTAAAAAAAACATATTTTAAAAAATTTATGTAAAATAAAATTCAGGTCATTTATTAAAACAAATAATGAAATCTTTTGTAAGATAGAAGCAGAAAATTTAGTGAGCCCTAGCACGCTTTTAGCTTATCCAACAGGTTGGTGTGCTGGTTACCAAATGATAACATACTGCTGATTACCAACTGCCTAACTTATGCCTTAAATGTCAAAACTATATACTGTGTGTAATATGTGCATGGTAATCTTTTCAATTATGTATCCACCAAATACTTTTTTCGGTGGGGAATTTATTGAATACGTCGTCATTTATTAATTGACTTTATTTAAAAGATTTTAGCTTGTGCAGTTGCATGAAACTAATTCTATGTTTTGAATCACTGCCACGGGGCTTTGAGAAAATATCACCTTTTAAAAAGCTTTCAATTACCATCAAAGTATCTTTGAGATACACTAAAATGAGAGGTATTGAAAAATAAATAACGTCCCGATACCTGTGGTCCAACTTACATATTTGTGTTATGTTATGATGCAAAGTTGTTGGTACTTATTTGATATGCCAATCAAGTGCCTTCATCAACTAGTCATTTTAATAATTTTGTTCTTGCCTGATATATTTATAAATCTTTAAAAAATATTTTTGTACAGTACAATGCCCAGTTAAAGCACAATTTGGAGTAATAGTGTTGAAATAAAGTTTTTTTCTTTTAGTTTGAAATATTTTATAAAAGAGCTTGATATGAAAACTCTGTTAAACTCAAATGACAGAAATCCTTTTATGCTTTGATTACATGTAATGTTTTTGTTGCGAATATTTTTAAAAAATTGTATTTTGTCAATAAATTTTGAAATAAAATCATTTGCTTTTTATTTATTGTATAACCAAATTATTTAGAATTAATTCTGCACCTTATTTTAAGGAACTTATGCAGTGTGCATATTTTTCTATTGGTTTGGTTGGACAGAAATCATGCTGCAAATGGAGAAACGTTAAAAAAAGTTATAAACTTACCCTATCTTTGTGAGTCTGTGGCAGCAATAGCTCAAGGTCATCAGGTTTGGGAAGACTAATGTAGAACCCCAGCACATCCCCTTCACCATAGCCTCCATCATGGTAGTGATGACCACGAGATTGATGAAAGGCAGTCCCCTTCCTTGATCTCCAGGAGTAGCTGAACTTGTCATAACCACAAGGTGCCTGAAGATTTCCTATATGAAAATATGCACACATGGTAAATAGAAAAAATTTGGGCTTAAATGAATGTGACATACATACTGGTCCCTATATACCCTGCAAAGAAAAATGTAGCAATGAAAGATTGTTAACATGTAAAATAGCTCAAGCTAGCATATTTAAAGTTTAATATTACTAATAACATATACTAGATTTGTTTCGTAGTTCATTAGATCAAGCTTTTTGGCTGGGCTGTACATTAAAATGAACATTTGAGAGCATCATTAAAAAATTATTGTAAATTTTAAAAACATCAAACTGTTCCATTCATAACATATGATGGATAATCAAGTGTTGTTTTCATGTATGAATAAATAAACACTGAAGTTTTTAAAAAAAACAAAAAAACTATGATCTCAATTTTTAAACTAGCCATAAAGTACAATAAAAATGTTGTTAGCAAAATGGGAATAAAAAAATTAATCATAAGATATGTTTTGGGCCTTTGTCCTATAATTTATAAAGAAGCTAACTGCATTTTAGTATTGTGATATAAAGATGTGACAAATGTTTCAGTAGTATAATTAGGGAAGTCTTAAGATTGCATTTCAGGTGATTAAAAAAAAATTACCTAAGGACAGAGACCATCCTATCCTTGATGCAGCTTCATTTTGCATGTCCACAATACTGACTTCGAAGTACCAATTTCCATGGTTAACACCTGGAATGTTTTTATTAAAAATTTGCTGTAAATGCAACTTTTTATGACAATACATTGTTATTTTGGTTGCACAGTTCTAGCAGCTATCTGTTACAAAAGAATTTTATTTTCTAAACATTGCCCTTCATTTAAACTGTAACAATATTATAAGGTGTACTAATGATAAACAAACTGGTAAGTCAAAATAAATTAATAGTGCATACCATGAGATGCCCTGATCATGCTGTATCCTTTATCGCCTGAGACAGTGAGACGATCATCTGAAACCTTGAGCTGGGGAGCTGAAAGATTGAAGAAGAATAAACAAATGGTTGCAAGTTGTTTTGATATATTCCATTGTTTTAAAAAAGCTTAAATCTCATATTTCCAACATTTTGTGATACAACCTCATTTTATAGAAGCAATGTGACCCACAACCCGGATGAGAAATCACTTTAAAAATAGAAGCAGTATTCTGAAATTTTCCAAACTTAATAAGACATCAAATTGAAATGAACATTAAAAACAATTTTTTTACATTAACCGTTTCATTAAGCCGGTCTCCACATGGGTTGCGAGCCAGGGGCATAAACCAATCTTATAAAGAGGTAAATAGGCAAGCTATATGGAATTAGCAGACCTGATTACCCCGGAACTCCAAAAATGGTACAATATCATTTCAGAATAGTACTTTACCATCTCAAAATTGTACAAGACCCTATCATAATAGGAAATAAACTTATAGTATAATGTTTAAAGTGGCGTAAGAAAGGTGTGTGGCCCACACCGGGGGAAACTTTTTTCTCTATATGGAGGGGCTGCATTTTTGGATAAATGAAGTTTTTTCATTGAAGGGGGCCGCAATTAGATCGCCCCAGGTAGCACAAACTATAGCTATGCTACTGAATGTTTACATTAGCCATTCATTAAACTAAAGGTCGCCTTCCCAAAGTAGAGGAAGAAAATGGGGGTGGGGGAACGGAAATCAAGGATGCCCACCGAAGTCATCCAGGCAAAAGTGGGGGTGTGGTTTGGGGGAGGGTCCAGCCATTCCCCCCAATTTTTTTTTTAATGTTCAAATTGCCAGGATACACTTTGATTTATACCTGATTTAGTGTTGCATTATTCTACACTTAGATAGGAGAACAACTGATGAAATGCTTGTGAAATATTTGGTGCCCATTACCTGGCTGTTTATATTAATCCTTAAATTTTAATTACTAAATAGAAAAATAGTTACAATTTTTATTTAAATTAAAAAAAGTGATATTGTAGAGAGTTCAGTCTCAGTCCAGGTGGACAGGGTGAGGGGAAAAACCCACGGCAGAGTTCAGTCCAGGTGTTTGGCGGGTAGCTATATTTAATTCTGCACCTTGTGTTACCTCCAGTCGCCAGCGGGGTAAACCCACAGTCGAAGACTGACCAAATAAATTAAGGCGAGGAATGCAGCGGGCAGGGATGAGGGGCAAAACCCACGGCAGAGTTCAGTCCAGGTGTTTGGCGCGTAGCAGATAGGGGGAGTAATCTCTAGCGACGCCTTGGTTGGCTGGTGGACCTATAAGAGGGGACGGTTAGAGGGGAGAGAGTTAGGAACGACAGAGAGCAGAGAGAGGTAGAGAACAGCGACGGTAGAGGACGAGGGCAGTCAGAGCTGTGAGATGGATGAAAGTGTAAGCAAGTGACAGAGCCAATAAAGAACACGAGTTTACTCATCAAATGTATCACCGGAGTTGTTTACTTATTGAGTACCAGAGATGAAGTTTGTCGGAGTGTAAGCAAGGTTCCCTACAAATGGTGGCAGCGGTGGGATTCTTAACCTTGCAACGACTCCGAAGAGACGTACATTCTCGTTAGCCTGACTAAATGCAAGGTACAAGGAGCGGAAGATTGACAGCAAGCACAATGTCCTCACAGCACGCACACAACATCCCAACGTACAGTGGAACGTCTACATGGCACACGTTTATCGTGCAATTTGAGACCTCGGCAAGAATTTTTAAGTGGAGTGATGACGACAAGCTCCTCTATCTCTGTTTTTCACTGAAGGATGCAGCTGCGGAATTCGCGTACAGCGAATTAAGCGAAGCTGAGAGGGACAGCTACGAGAAACTCAAGGATGCCCTGGCTAATCGGTTTAAGGACCATCGAACACCTGCATTCTTTCAAAATGTTTTAGACAAACGCACGTTCTTGAAATCAGAGACTACAGCTGAGTACGCTACAGACCTCAAGAGATTGGTTACAAAAAGCTTCCCAATGGCAGACCAGGCTACAAGAGATGCCATTGGGTTTAAACAGTTCTTACGTGGGCTGCCTGACCAGTCTATGGCGATACAAGTTGGCACTATGGCTGTTCCTCCCACCGTGGACAAGGCGAGAGCTGCCTTGGATACAATCTTAAATCTGAGGGACAACGTTTGTTTACCAACACAGCAAGTAGCATCAATAGCTACCGACCACTTGGCCAGAGAGATAAGCGGCCTGAGAGAGGACCTTAAGGAATTCATCGCCTCGCAGAGAGGAACAGTTAACCAGCCGGTGCGTGAAGGGAGAGGTAATCGGAGGGCGGAACCCAGGTGTTTTGGCTGTGACCGAATCGGTCATATTTCACGGAATTGCCCAAACCAAGAGACCATTAGGACGAAATCTTCGTCGTTAAAACTAAATCACATCTCATCGAAGTCAAATGTTCACAACCTTCGTCCAAATTTTGTGTTTGTGCCTGTGAAAGTGTGCGGCATTAGGACAGATTTCCTCATGGACACTGGAGCGGCCGTGACAATTTTGTCCAAGAGAGCTTTTAATAGAATGCAGCAGAGACCGAAGTTGAATACCCACCTCGTCCCATTACATCTACAGTCAGCCAGTGGTACGTCTATAAAACTCCATGGAGTCTGCGACCTAGACTTGCTTATTGGAGAGAAGATTTATCCATGGACGGTGCATATCGCAGACATAACCGACGATGGTTATCTAGGATTCGATTTCCTATGTCACTATGACTTTTCATTTTCAATCAAAAGGGGTCTCAACCTACATAGAGACAAGGTGCCAGTAATAACAAAATGTGTAAATTCAGTGACTCAACAGGACCAGTCTTATTCGTTGGTAGAAAACGGTGATCTCAATGAGGAAGAGGACATCATTCCATTATCCACCACTAGTAACCAGTTGCCAGCAGCAGCTGTTGTGAAAATCAACATGGTGACGACTCGCAGTAAAACGTATCCTCCCGTGAACCCACCTAAGCCCTCGCCCGGAGGAGCAACCACAAGTGATACTGGTCGAGCAAACTGCCCTGTGGACACGCCCCTCGTACCAAGCCAACCTATCCAATTACCTTGCCCTGAGTCGACATCAAACAGAAATGATCGGAATGCTGACCGAGAGCCGGTTGCAGTGTTTTGTGCAGACAATAGTGACTATAAATTCTTTGAAGGGTTAGACATATCCAAGGAAGATCTGAGAAGATTACAACAGGAAGATAATGACTTGAGTCATGTTTTTAAGTGGATCAAAGACAAAACAAAACCAAAAAGAGAGGAAATTAGTGGAGAATCGCCGGCTGTTAGGAACCTTTGGTTAAACCTTGATTTACTTATTGTTGTGGATGGAGTTTTATGTAAACGATGGTTTCATCCGGGTCGGAAGGATGAAATATTGAAAATTATGTTGCCTAGATCTCTTGTAAGCACAGTGTTAAAGAAAATGCACTCGTCAGTTTATGCTGGCCATCTCGGCATAAATAAGGTATTGGATAATGTCAGGACATACTACAGTTGGTACAGAATGAAAAGGGATGTTCAAACGTTCATCACCAACTGTGCCACATGTCAGCACATCAAACGCCCCCAAGCCAACAGTTCAGCCAGGAAACATCTTAAGACAGCAGCTCAGCGTCAGAAAAGGGACCACGATACTCGGGCAGTACAACATAGCTTCAACGTGGGGGATGTGGTTCTCTATTTGGACTTAACCAAACAGGTGGGTCGAAACCCAAAATTGAACCCAAACAAATGGCGCGGACCATTCGTTGTCAGTCGAAAATTTAGTGATGTGTTATTTGAAATTCGAGGAGAGGGAAAGACGAAGGCAAGAATAATTCATCACGACCGATTGAAACCCTATTATGACAATAACCCACCCGACTGGATTTTAAAGTTACAAACAAATTGCCTAAGAGACAACTTGATGGGAGCTACTCCGGAGCTTCCACGCGTTCTGCAAGAAGCTTAGAGTGAAGACATTTTGGACACCTAGTTTATTTTAGGGAATGACATGCATTTTTTTTGGTGAAAAGATTTAAAGTTAACTAATGTTGTTTTATTTTATCTAGAGACATATGAACTCCAGAGTTGAATCGGTTATAAAAAGATAATGCTCTAATTATGACATGATGATTGTTATTTCGTTGAAGCCATTTAGAAACCAGTCATAAGAATTTTAACGGGGATGTTGTGTAATGTCGGGACGACATTGTTTTGTAAGATGGGGGTATTGTAGAGAGTTCAGTCTCAGTCCAGGTGGACAGGGTGAGGGGAAAAACCCACGGCAGAGTTCAGTCCAGGTGTTTGGCGGGTAGCATATAAATTAAGACGTGGAACACAATGGAGGTCAGCGGAGCGGGGTAAACCCACAGTCGAAGACTGACCAAATAAATTAAGGCGAGGAATGCAGCGGGCAGGGATGAGGGGCAAAACCCACGGCAGAGTTCAGTCCAGGTGGCTGGTGGACCTATAAGAGGGGACGGTTAGAGGGGAGAGAGTTAGGAACGACAGAGAGCAGAGAGAGGTAGAGAACAGCGACGGTAGAGGACGAGGGCAGTCAGAGCTGTGAGATGGATGAAAGTGTAAGCAAGTGACAGAGCCAATAAAGAACACGAGTTTACTCATCAAATGTATCACCGGAGTTGTTTACTTATTGAGTACCAGAGATGAAGTTTGTCGGAGTGTAAGCAAGGTTCCCTACAATATACATATATATATTTCAAATATGCGTTTATCCGAGACAGAAAATCGATAATAAAAAAAAAAATTCCTCAATATTTAACATAGGGTTGGCCACCCCTATATTAAGTCTAGAAGCTTGATTCTATTTTCCTTTAACATTTTTAGTCTAATATTAGCTGGTATTGGGAATGGGGAAGAGGAGATTTGGAACCAAACTGGGGTATTAACTTGTACGCCTGCTTTCTAGATCTTATAAAAAATGTCAAAATCTAACGCTGCTCTGCAGAGCAATTAATAATTCATTTTTTTAAATTATAATTTTAAAAAAATCAGTTGTTTCCTTCATTTTTGCAATCGCTGTGGTTCAGCCAAAGAACAAAATTATTTTGTCCCTAAATTACTTCATACAGGCCCGAGGCTAACAAAATCAAATGTCAACTAAATGTGTCACTTGGGCGACTACACAAATATTACCGTTGCTGTATCTACCCAGTTCAATATGAAAACACAAAGCAACAATATGACCATCTTCACCATCATTATAAAACAAGGCAGGGTTATTTTACAGCCTTTACAAATATTGAGACACTTCCCCCTACCCCTCCCATGCAAACCTGTAGACACCACACCACCACCCTTTTCCCACTCAGTGCATATGTAAGATTATTTTGAGGGTTGGCTGGCCGAACGGTCAAACTGAGCCAATCCCAAACTTATGCACTTGAGTTCAATTGTTAGCAAAAGCCTAGACAAGCAAAATCAACACCAGCACCCTGCTTGATTGGACTTGTAAGCCTTGGATGGCAACTCATTTAAAAGAAGGAAAGCTATTAAATCAGACCCGGTGGAGTTTCGTAAGCAGTATGGCATTGGCACAATGAAAATTTCAACAACTCTTGAAAAGTACAACACATAAAGAGCACAGTGAAACACACAAAAAACACGCCTGGTCATCTACTGCATCCTGGTCTATTTCCAGTTGTCATAATCAAGTCTAAGCATTAGATCAAATAGACAATGTTGAGAGAATGAGACTGAAGAATTGTGCTACTCAAGGCTACTTCTCAAAATGCCTTGGTCATCTTCGCATACAGAAGACAAACAACAATAATATTTTCTATGATGCAGAGCCAATCGTATTTCTGGGTCCACTCACCACTGGATGAAGAGAAGAGCTAAAACCAAAAATTGTATTTTTTTATCAGAAAAATTATGAAAATATTTTTTTTTCAACCCAATCTTTTAAAAAGAGTAGTTCAGAAAGCTCTCAGCGAACAATTGTTAAAGACATTTCAAAATAGTTCATTGAATGGCAAAATGGTACGAATAACCAGGTCTGAATAAGTTATTACAAATTCAAAAAAAAATTAGTTCAATGATGAAAAGTTTTGACCTCTGTCATGTAGTGCCAACAGGACTTCATTCCCCAGCATACATCTATACAGGTACCCAGGGATCGGCTTCCCAGCCCACTCCACACTTTCATCAAAGGCTTGTCTGTTGGGGGCATGAGGATCTGATTCAGCCAGAATGTAACGGTAGCCATCCTTGTTGAAAGGGTGCTCCAAGGGGTATCCGTGAGATGGGAGTTTCAGTGAAGTAGTGGAGTCACTGCGAAAAGATTTACTTTTATTTAACAAACATGGTATTTAACAACAATTTTTTGTCACCTGTTAATTAACTAAAGCAGCCTAAAATTATTGCCAGTTTGTTAAAAAAAAGGTTGTGAGGAGGGAGGAAATTGACCATTTAAGCATTTTAATGGGTTTAAAAGCATTAATTTGAATATCCTTCCACAAGGAAAATATCTAAAATTTAAATTTTTCACAATAATGCTAATGCTGCTTTAGGAAGTATGTCAAATATTCTGAGCCTAAAAGAATAATTTGAAGGTGTTATTGAGCCTAAAAGGATAATTTGAAGATGTTATAGAAAAAAGAGGAAATACAGGGCGTTTTTTATTTTGCTTTTTGAAGATTTTGTAAGAAAAGTTCATCAATGGAGTTTTATTTTATTAAAAATATAATTATTTTTGGTAACTTAATTCGTTAGTTCCAGATCCTCTTTGGGGAATATTAATTAAATAAATAAAATAAATGTTCACTATCACCTTTTCTTTTGCTTGAGGGCAGCTGTTTGCTGATTGTCCACTGGTGCTTTCCTTTTACTGGTACGTTTCCCTGTGAATTAAAAGATAACCAGTAATACACAGGACATGTAAGCTGACATTCAAATTGTGAGGGTAAAAGCCCAGCAGAATCGATCCATACAAGTTAGTACCTGTACAGACCTGGTTACACTGGAACTCCCAAATTAGTAGAATATAGTCAGACTAGTACTTAAACATCTCAAAATCGTACAATACCGTATTGTAATAGTAAATCAATAAACATACAGTGCAATCGCATGTCAAATTAAGGTCACTTCTCAAATTAGTTGACTGATGTTTATATATTTATATACAGTACTCTACTGAAAATAAAAAGATGCCCGACATTTGCCACTTTAATTTATGAAGATTGTAGGGTTTGAGGACGCCGCTGAGGTCACCTGAGCAAAAGTGAGGTAGAGTATGGGAGGAGGCTGAGGAATGCAGGGATGCACTTTTGTGTATACCTGAATACAGTTTGGCATCATTCTACACTTCATCGTAAACTTGTAGAAAATTACTTATTTCATTCTACTTTTTTAAAATCAGTCTAAAAAAGGAAAACCAAAATGGCATGTACCATCACAAAAATGATGCATAAATATTTCAAATGTGCATTTGACAAAAATGAAAATAATTGAATGAAGCAATAAGTCATAACATTTAACATGGCAGGTCGCGAATTGCCCAGCCCTGCAGTAAGCTTTTTTTCAGTTAAAATATTTAGTCCAATGACTATAGCAAGCTGAATTAGGACAAGGGAGGAGGAGGGTTGGAGTATTGTACAGCTGCTAAGTTACTTCTGCAAAAAGGTTTCGAATGCCGCCCACCATTTCTTATGAAATGTCAAAAACTAGCGCTGGTGTGTTGCAATTAAATGCATTTTTTTTCTAAATCAGAGTTTTCTCCATTTTCACAATCACTGCCATTCAACAGAAGAACGAAATAATTATGTCACAAAAGCAAACATTTACTAAATTTGTTACTAGGGCATATACACTTAATATTACCATTGTTGGATCAAGCAAGTTCATTGTGAAAACACAAAGCAACAATGTGACGATTACTATGAAAAGTAGTGGTGTTATATCATAGCCTTTAAAAATATTTAGACCCCGATTAACCCTCCCATGCACATATGTACGCTTCCGAGTTAACACCACCCCATTTCCTCCTGCTACATAATATAATTATGGATGGTCCCCAGCCAATCGTATTTCTCTATCTATTTACTGCCCGCAATAGAAAGGAGCTAAAATTAACCGAAAATGGTTTTTTTTTATTTTTTATTAAAAAATCCACCGGTATTTTGTTATTTAACCTGGTTCCCATAAAATCATAGTTCTATCAGGTCTGGGTGTACAATCCTAAAAGACATCTCAAAATCATAGGTTATGCGCCAAAATCATAAAAGTAAGCAGGTCTGAAATAACAGCATTTAATTATTAAATTTTTTTAAAATTACTACTTGTCTTTGATAGAAAGTCTGTTGACTCATTTTCCAGCCATTCACCAGGTGAACACTGCTCGAGAAATCTTTAAATATCACGTGCGTAAACAAAAACTAACGCTCCATCCACACACAAGATGGACATGCCAGTAGAGAGAAAGTCTTTAATAAAAGATCATCTTTTTTAACAAAAAAAAAATGCATATGTAAATGGGTTTAGCAAGAATGAGACTATTAAATAAATTCTGACCTGGTCCAGACTCTAACGGCATTGATGGTGCCTTAAGGCTTGATGAGGGCTGGGCATTGACTCTTGCTGCATCTGAGACAGGGCCTACTTTCGACAAGTCCTGAGTAAAAGGGAATAACATTATAAAGTAAATATAACATGATAACTTTATATTGACCTCATAAAACTTCTTATATTAAAATGTAGAAAATATTTGGGTAAATTAAATAAGGGGTGGATTTTGTGTATTTATACATCTTATGCAGCATAGTTATACTTTTATGCATACCATGAAAACAAGGTTTGCTTTTATCATGTGTGGATGTGTGGATTCAGTGCCTATCATTTTATTTTTCATGATTATGGAGACGCCTATCATGTCCAAAAGACATTTTGGGTTTTTAAAAAAGCACATTTTTTTTCCTTTATTTTTAACAGAGAAAGGAGCCATGAACTAGATCAATGCCTAAATCTCAAAATTTCTATGAATCAAACGTATGTCATCAATCCACTAAAAAGCACTACCTCATAAAAACATGTATCATTAAATAAAAGTGCATAAAGAGCAAATTTGGTTGATAATGTGAGAATGCACACAGAAACAATAATATGGCTTTCATTTTTTTTTATTTTGGAACAGCTAAGGTGAATACCAAGTTATTGTGTGGTATATCATGCTGTTTAGATGAGGTGTCCATTTTTAATTATGTAACCAAGCTTTTATATTTTAACAATTAAATAAAGCTCTTTTCAAAAATGTAAACAAATCACACATTTTTTCATGAAGGAGCCAAGCTAAAAAATTCTTTATTTAGCTTATAATAATTCATTTAAATGTAGATTATACATATTTGCAACAAACTAAACTGAATACTTTATAAGGCTCTATAAAAGTGCAATTTAACAAATAAATTTATATTACAATTACCACTGTCTTCTTGGGTTTTCTGCCAACTTTTTTCTTCATGACGATGTCTTCTAGCTAACCCTCTTACTAACAAGAGTGTGCATGGAAGAGGACTAAAGATTGTGCATCAAATTTTTTTATTTTTTTTTAATTAAAAAAAAAAATACCTGAGCACTGTTCATTCCAAATATTTACATTTTTATTTTTTGTCTAAAACAAAATGGAAAGGAAAAAAAATATACCTGATTGGTCAGACCAAAATATGAGTCACCTGGAATATCTTCCTTATAGGTGAAAACATCGGTCTCCTTCATCTGTATTTGTAAACATATTATTTTTTTTTTATGATCAAAATAAATCATAGAAATTCAAATCCCCATTACTCAGAGCAATTTACTTAAACAAAAGACAAATATTAAAAGTAATAACTTTACAAGAACATAATTATTATGTAAACATTATGCTACATACATAGCATATTTCTTTTTTCTTTCTAAATAATACCTTTGAACAATAATTAAAACGGAAAACAAGTAAAAAGTTACCATGGTTTTATATATTGTTGTGTGCCATGTAACCTTAACACGGCGCTGCATGGTTGTGAGGTTTTCCCAGTTCTTTTCTATGTAAGGAACAATGTCCTGAAAAGTGTTTATGACAATGTGACTTAGTTTTAATATAATAATAATAATAATAATAAAGTTCATTTCAAAAACACGCTTCATCCTCGAAGCGCGGTACAAAGTCAACAAAAAACATATCTATAATTTACCACATTTAAAACAAACGCAACACTACAAAAACTAATTACAAGCATACAATCTCAAAGTCTTTCTAGCCATTTCAACCCGGAGCAACACAGCAACACATGGAAAATAAGGTAGACAATCATCCCAGAAGGTATTTGCGAAATAGATGTGTCTTTAGATCGGTTTTAAAGGACTCCAGTGTCTGGTTGTTTCTAATATGATAAAAATGAATCTATCTTAGTTTTTATATAACTTTAACTGGGCATAAGACTAGTAATTAAAACATTGACTTATGATTAGATTCACTTTCCAAGATACTGAGTTGCATGTCAAGATATTTCAGTTAAACTAGTGTTGCTTTTATTTTTTTGACTTGTCATTTTTTTTTAACTTTTACAGTGTATTTTGCTCCAAATTTAGTGTTATTCCATTATCAATTTCTTAAGTCATTTAATTATAACTAACTGTAATCACAACAAAAAAATAATTTTTGTACCCTGTCTTTTGAAAACATTGACTTTGAATTCCCCTCTGCCCTTGCATTGTGCAGCAAATTTGCTAATGTCATCTGACAGATCTGTATAAATGCTGTATAGAAGTCTTCATTATTATAATTATTAAAGAAAATTTTGAACAAATGACTATGTGTAAATAAAATTTAAATTACTTTATTTAATTACTTTCCACTTCAAGGCCATGCAAAGGCTACAGAATAAATCACTGTGGGCCCACCCAAGGGCGGAATTTTTTAAAACAATTATTTTGAAGTTTGTCGAGCCCAAACTTTAGATTTGCTCATGCCCAAATATCCTCTGCAAAGCCTTGTTTTCGGTTAAACTGCTCAGAAACATATATATTAAAAATAATTAATAATTATCTCACAAGTAATGCTAGTGTCATTCCAAAAGCAATGATACAATTCCATAAAGTCTACTTGGTGCAAAAATAAATTAACTCAATTATTTTTAAAAAATTTGATACGGAACAATTAAAATTTTGCATTTTGCAAGAAGCCAAATTTATCATTAATGAGCCCCAATGATACTTACTTGCTTGTCTTTTTTGAAAAGTCTCATGCCCTATCCCACTGCATTTTTTGCAAAGAAATTGGTAACTTATCATGAAGGGAAGACATTTCCTGTTGAAAATTATGAAACGATTAAAGATCAGCAGGTCTATAAACATGAATTAGAAGTGGGTTTAATAGCAAAGACGAGGGTTTAATGTCAAAATTTGTAATATTTTCAGTTATTTTTCATTTAACGGTAAAGGCTACAGAGAGGGCATTGTTGTGCGAGATTCATACAGGGTTTCCAACTCAAATTTTTTTTGTGAGTAAATAATATTTTATTCCTACATGACTATGAAACTTTAAAGTGAGCAAGAAGAAATCACAAAAGCTGAGGTTTCCTGATCTGTTTTAGTTGAAAAGTTTTGTTTACATTTTTTTCCAGACATATTCAAGTCCTTACAGACATTTTCCATTGATGATATATTTTTAGCGATTGTCAGTTATTTTACTGATGGTTGATAAACCTTGATTCACTAACATTTTAAAAAGTATCTTAAAATACTTTACTATGCGACTGTAAAACTGTAAGATGGGGGATTTCAAATTTCTGAAAATGTAAGCTTTTACATTTATTAAAAAAATTAACAGATATCTGTTGTGCCATATGTAAATCTTTGAATTCAATTGGTAATGCCAACATTATCATCATCATGTCCCTTAGTCCTTGGACCATTGGGGTGCCACAGATGACATGAAAACTATTCTTCTAAATTCCTTTATGTTTTCTGCACTTCGCACAGCATCGCCTAGTTTTACTTTTAGTCCTGTCCACTATTCGATGTTATCTTCCCATATTTTTCTCTGTCTTCTTCCTCTTGTTGTGCCCGTATGATTTTTTTTGGCGAGCCCTTGTTTTCTTGTCATGTGGCCATACCATTTCAGTTTGCACTTTTTTACAGTCATCAGGAGGTCATCATACTGCCCAATTGCTTGACAAATCCTTTCTTTCAATTGTTCATTAGATATTAGGTCTCTATAGCAGATTACAAAAATGCTTCTGAAACATCTCATCTCCGTCGCCTTTATTTTTCTTTCAAGTTCTACTGTTAATGTCCAGAACTCACAGCCATACAAGAAAATGGAGAGGACTAATGAGCGCATCAGCCTGATTTTGGTGATGGGGGCTATAATTTTGTCATTCCATATTTTCTTAAGCCTCTTTAGTGCTGTTGTGGTCTGAGCAATCATGGACATCAATTTGGGCTTGGAGCCTTCTTCCGAGACTATTGCTGCTAGGTACTTGAAGCTGCCTACTGACTCTAATTTTTTTCCCCCAAACTCAATTTCAGTGGAGATGCCAGTGGTTTTCAATTTGGCTTTTCTGCACTGATTTTCATGCCAAAGAACGTTGAAGTCTTGTGAAGACGCTTTACTGGGTTGGCTAGCTCTTTTTCATTTCCATCTATGTCATCCGCAAAACGTAGGTTGGTGATTGTTCTGCCACCAATGCTGACTGTCCCTACATGCGCTTCCAGTGCATCTGACATAATTCTCACTAGGAAGATGTTGAACAGGGTGGGGGAGAGCAAGCAGCCTTGTCGTACTCGAACCGTGGTCTTGAACCATTCTCTGATGTTATCGTTGAAGATGACTGCACTGGTTGCCTTATCATAGAGGCTGCATATCATTCTGGTTAGGTTTGTGTTGATGTTGTCGTGCCTCATAGTTGCCCATAAAGCAGCACATAGTTATAAAAATAATGTACTTCTTCTCATTTGAAACATTTTTTTCTTATGTGTAGATAAAAAGGCATTTTTTATTTACCCTGTTTGGATATTAACACATGTATTATGAAACCAAGTTCCACATGATGCACACTGGAATTCTGGAGTTCCCAACTTGCGTTTTTCACCACTGTGGAAGGATTTTCATTAAAGATTATTATATTTTTATACATACCATATTAAATTCATGCTTAAACTTAAGATCAGTTTCTAAAACATATAGAGACAAAGTAATACTAAAAGCTAATATATTTATATAGTAGAGTGTCAATTTTCTAAACAAATTGGGACTCAGGTGTGTCAGATAGCAAATTTTCGGAAATGTTGCACTAAAGAAGATAGTGTTTGGAATACAGCATATTCTACCTCAAACACCATGGTGCTTTATTGCAGCCGAACAAAGTCCTGTACAGCTGTACAAACTTGGAAAATGTAACAAACTGTACAAAGTATCGCTATACTATACATGTTGGCATGTATGCAAAAAGTACTTTAAAGTTTTCGAGGCCTCATAATAAATATGCTGTGATCCCATAGGGGGCCATATGGCCCACATTGCGAAACACTGCTTTAATATACACTATATTTTCAATAACGCAAGATGTATAAGTGTCAGCTGATTGATGAAAAAACAATGAGGACTGTTTGGGTTTTTATTTTTGCTATAAGAGGTTGTCCAAAAATAGAAGACTGGTGCTTTGTTTGCATTATCATATCTGATTACTGCGTGTACAGAACGTATCTAGATTTTATATTGATTGTGCAACAGGGTTGGAATTTTTTACCAGCATATGCCAAGTTTCCATGCCATGCTCATTGCAAATAATAATGAAAAGACATAGACTGTTAAGAGACCCAATGTTTTGAATATTCAGTGTATGGAAAATCAAGGCTCTACTGTTTTGTTAATTAAATTATTAACTGTATCCAATTGAATATTTCCATTTCAAAATGTGTGTTAATGTGTATGGCTGATATATATTAAAAATGGGCAATGTATGTTATAAAAAACAATAATATTAGAAATAAATACCAATAACATCCAGTAAATTCAGTTGCCTGGTCATCCTTCTTTTCAGACATGATTATATTTCATCTGCAGGAATAAATAAAATAATTTCATTGAATTAATTCATTATAATTTGGGTATTAAAATGAGAAATCGTTACGGTAGCTATGTTGATTTAAAAAAAAATTATGTTAATATTTATTCTATAATCCTTTTGCTTAGAAAATTTGGTCAGCAAAAAATTAACTTCTTTAGATAAGCCCCTTCCTCACGTATCTTCCCAAGAATCTACCCCCACCACCACTAGTAACGGACTGTGAAGTGGAATGCAAGAATGAAAGGCCTGCCTGTTTTTTAAGGTTCCCACCAACCAGTTTGGGCAATTACACAGGAAGGGCACCAAGCCAGTCATCAGAGCTACCAAGGTACCAATATTGCCCCAAAAGCCCATCAATTGGGATGGTACCGGTAATTAACAACCTAGGCTACCATCCATTTCTGCCCTGAGTCTAAGTTAATAGCCCTCTAACAGGGTTTTTATGGTGATTATGGCAAATAGTTTTCTTGGTTGTTAGGATAAAACGGTTTCTAGGAACTATCTCCCTCGCGGACTGTAGATATAAAGTCTGCAGTTATTGATATTGAAATAATAATATCTTTTTAAATTTAAATCACCCTATGACTAAATAATCTCATTTCCATCATTTTGCACGAGCGTGTAAATGATGAATAGTTAAAATTTTAAAAAACATTTTGTTTATTTTTGCAAATAAATTAATAAACGCTAAACAAATTATATTAGATATGATTTGCACAGCTTATTGCAGCTGCCATAAAATGTTAACTTAGTTTATATATATTACATTAGGAAATGGTGTCAGCGGGCTGTCGAGCCAAAGCTCTTTATGCCTCCCCAAAGCCTGAGTGTCTGGCTGTGAAGCGACACGTTGGAGATCTCCATTATTCAGGACAGCCCCCGCCAGCACCCAATCAATCAGGTACCAGGGGAGGCCACCCCAGTCCAAGGACATCTGGTCGGCTGGTGAAGCTGCTCTTACAGCATCAGCAGTTGACTTTCCCAGGGGGTCGGGTTAGTATATTTACATCCTAAAATCTTCCCCGTCCCATCCCGGAGTAACGTCAAACACCCTCTAAACCAGGGGTCGGGAACCTTTTCGTCTCAGAGAGCTTTGACACCACATATTTTGAAGAGTAATTCTGCGAGAGCCATACATTATGTTTAAAACTAAAAATTCAAGTAAATGTGTGCATTTTGCGTAATTTCAACACTAAAAATGCAATAATTATTTCTCTGAATTCTTTTTAATAACATTGTTATGCTGTTGCTAATCAATAATGATTATTTCTTACCATTAATGCGGTTTTTTTTTTAATCGAACATTTGTCTGCGAGCCAGATGCAGCCATCAATAGAGCCACATCTGGCTTGCAAGCCATAGGTTCCCGACCCCTGCTCTAAACCAATATAAATTTCTACAGTGGGTTTCTACCTCGCAACTAATTAACAAACCAGCTGGGAAGAAACGGTTGCCTAGGAACAGTTTCTTCAATGCTGTGTAAATATAATGATCAGCATGGGGTTGCCACTACCTACACCATGCCTCATATTCATTAACGGCAATATGTAATCATGATCCCTACCCTTTTATTTCCAACTGCAGAATTTCCACAGTTGGTAGCCCTGTAGATGCTACCATTAACTGCAGATATTATGCATGGCCTTTGACTGCCCACGAAATGGTGGTTTTGTTCTCCAGTTAACGCCGGGGGGGGGGGGGCGGGGAAGCCACCACAGACTTCCAACCAGAGCCCCGGGGGAATTAACTTATCAAATGGGGGGGGGGGGGGGGGGCGGGGGTCGTGGAAGCCACTACAGACTTCCAACCAGAGCCCTGGGGGAATTAACTTATCAATATGCCTATTATTATAAATTATACTTTTCACGATAGTGGCAGAAATAAAAAGAGGCAGGCTACGCTGGGCAGGACACCTAGAGAGAATGCCAAATGACAGAGGAACGAAGAGGGTGCATCACCAATACCCCAGAGGAAAAAGGCTCAAAAGCAGACCTAGGCTTAGGTGGATAGATGATGTAGAAAAAGATCTACAGCAACTGAAAGTCCAAGCATGGTAAAGAAAGGCATTAGTTAGGTATGAGTGGAAGGGAGTGGTGAGGCAGGCCAAAGCCCTACATTGGCTGTAGCGCCACAGGGATGGATGGATACGTTTCAGTCAATTTACGCTTTCCGCGCCACACTGAGTTTCTGTGTGGGATTCTCTCCCCCTTTGCTTAGTCGTGGATTAGTACTTAAGTTAACTATTCTCTTTTTTTATACACTGATGGAATGTTTTTGCTTGATGGCCTTTTTAAATTAATCTTTCATTAGGGTGGGTGGTTAATTATAATATTTCAATACCAGTACAACTACAAGGCATTATATTATTTCAAAACAAGACTATTTTGCCATCTGATCATTTGTAAAACTGGATTTAGATTTTTCCTAAATCTTTTAGATTTTATTTGTGGTATAACCTGTAATAAAGTGTGTAAAAGTGTATTACATGAAACTGTAACTTACAAAATTTTTCAAAATAAATAGTTATTATATAATGTGAAACTTTTGTTGTTCATTGTTTTGTATAGACTATTGCAGTGAGAATATCTACTGAAAATTTGGTACCATTATTTTTAAAAATAAAAAAGTTATGGGTCAAATTAGTCAAACAAATTCAAATGTGGGACGCAAGTTTTTTGGGTCGAATATACAGCTTATACTTAATAAGGGGCATAAAAATTCAACAAAAATAATCATGACTCCAGTTCTATAAAAGATAGAAAGATGAAATTGATGTTGTTATAAAGCTTATAACCAGCCCTTTAAAATGATGCATCATTCATGGCAATCTGACAATTTAATGAGTTGGGTTTTCATTATATTGAAACTTTTAAATAAAAGTAATTTTAATCTTTTTTATTCAAATTTAAAATTTTCTCGATACAGTGTAATTGTAGCACACAAACACATGGTTTTAGGGTCCATGGCTTGTCTATTGTCATAGATTTTAGGTTAGAAGATTTACTGTCAAGTTTTTTTTTTTTTTTTTTTTTTTTTTTTTTGGGGGGGGGGGGGGCTAGATTTAGGGGTCAACTTGAGTTTCAATTAGGGATACTGGCTGGGCATTCAGTCAGGTAATGACATTAATATTAGTAATGTAGAGCTGTATATTTTAGTTCGATTTTTGAAGTTTTTCGTTCAATTAATTAGATTTGCATGTTTTAAAAAATGGTTTTATTTTACACTCAAGTTGTTTTTTTAAAAATTGTTTAAATAGCACTTCAAACAACAGGATTGTTTCTGACACTAAAGTGGTAGATAATATTTAAACTGGTTAGTCCAGGCATAAATAAATGAATTAAATGATAAATGAAACAAGCTATACAATACAGCTATACTATAACTAAAAGAAATATAATTTAAATATTCCAAACTAGGGTAGCCCAAACTAGCATCAGGATTTTTTTTCCAAAAGAGTACCTCATTGATAAAGTATACAAGTGCTCACTCTAACTATGCAATCACAAATATCCATGTCACAAAACGATTTTTAAAATTTCCTGGAGACGTAAGGGCCGATCTATCGGCCCAAGGTTGACTTATGAGAAAGACGTAAGTCGGAACTATTGGCCCGATAAATCGAGCCTCACGATTGGCTGGCATTGTGTTGTACCTGCGAATCAAAATTATTCTTACGTATTCCTGCACGTCCCGGCATTGTAATGGTGATGTTCGTTGAAGGTGAACTCAATATATTAGTGTGCAGGAATTTTTTGTGTGTGTATAGTTACATCGTGAAATTCAACATGTCTGAGTCTGACAGTGACTCTGATCAAACTGTGCTTAGTGATTTTTATATTCTTGCAGTGAATCTGACACTGAAAATGATGAAAACAACCAAATAAAGACTTTCAAATTGAGGGTAATGCTAATGTTGTGAACTTCTGGTTTAGTATTACTAGTTAGGGGTCCTCAAATGAACAGAGATGACTCCTCTGAATTTTTAGGCTATTTTTTACACTAAATATCACTCAAATATTTATCAGAGACCAACAGATATGCAGACAACTTTCTCAGTAACATCCAGCTTAAGGCTTAAGAGAAGGTCCCTATGTCATAAATGGGGGCCTGTTACAGTGTCTGTAACTGTAACAACTGAAAAATAGGGGGTGGGGGTGGAAAAGGGGTAAAAACCATGTGCCAGAGGTGTCTGAAGGGCCTCCATGGGCCTTTTTTCCCCAAAAATATAGTATTAGGACTTATTTAGGCTTCATCCATAAAAAATTCACACAATTGATACAAGTAAGTCATGTTTATTCTAGGTGTAACAAAAAATTACATGCATAAATTATGCAAATATGGGTTCCGTAGCTCATTTGCATAAATTTTGATATTTCAGTTTGATTCATAAAGATTGTATTAGTATTAGTTCATTCAATTTCCTACAATAATATATATAGTTTTACATATATTAAGGGAATAGTTTATTTTTATAATTTTTTTTACAATGCGAGTGTCGAGCTCGTAAAAAGTACTCCGTCTTTTTGGCACATAACCCCGAAAAGGCTCCGTCTCCAAGAGGGTTAACATGCCCATTGCCGAAATTGTCACAAGTCTTATACTTATTATATACTCTTATACTTATATACGGTATCGGTAAAGATCATCCCAGAATATGTTAAAACAACTTACTCGTTTATATCAACATATACCGGTACTTATAATCATATAATATGTGATTCTACTATGCCAGTTTTCTCTTTGAACCTTTAAGTTTAAGACATAAATTACTTTAGCTTCGTGACTTCTGAACTTTCCTTTTCGTTCATCGACGCCATTTGTAAAGGGAGAATATTCACAGTACTCAATTTACCGACTATATCCGGAAACACGTAGTAATACTGAAAATTTTTTGATCCTATTTCCGATATACTCATCTTAGCATTTTTTTTTGTTTACTGTCATTGTCGCCATGCAATTTTGGTTCAACCTCAAACTGTAAAAGAATCGGTTTTCTTTTAAAAAATATGGTCTTTCAGTTTGTCACTGATTGCATAAAACTTGGTTCCAAAATACTCCCAGGAACCAATTACTTAGAAACACAAACTTCCACTGTGTTATAGTTATACTTTACAAACAACAAACATGACACAACATTTATAAATAAACAAAATACTGGTAATAATTTTGAAGATTTTTTATTATTGATAATCATTCCAAAATAAGAGCATAAATAATAAGCCAAAACCTTTAAATTTAAATATTCACATAACCTATATGGAACCGGAAAGAGACCTGAAAAATAGCCTACTAGCATTATTAGATTTAGTGTAATGTAAGATGGAAGTTTGTCACATTTATCAAACAAATCTGTATGAATACATACATAAGTCATATTCAGAGCTGTTTTAACCATGAGTCTCATGAGATATATATAATTATAAATATATAATAGGGCAAACAAGAAATAATTCTTTCACAAATCTTGGCAATTGAATTGAAACACTATTCACACACAATACAAATTAAAAGTATTTCAGAAATTAAAAGCAAGCCAGATGTAGTAGCAGTAACCAAATTTGATTGTAATAAGATCACGCGAAAGAGTAATTAAAATTAAATTGGGCACCCTTCTTGTAGAATTAGGGCACAGGCAAGTCCAATTTATGTTTCCCACTAATACAAATGGAAATAGGCGGGCAGTCAGGTGTAGATTAAATCAGTGCACTAAAGTAGTACACAGCAAAGTCAGTAACGCTAGCAACTGTCAGGATTACTCTTCTACAATCTTCTCTTCAACTTTAACCAAAAATTCAATGGTTTCCTCAGTGAAGTTGTCTTCTTGATTATGTAGCTCATCAGTATCAATACCTGTAAAGAAAGACAAGTAATCTCTAAAAGTAAAACGGACAATGTAAATTTAATTCAAAAAAGATTTTAAATTAATAAAGAACAATATGTAAACATTACTATCGTACAACTACAACATTCGATATTTATCCATTTGCCTTATTAGCAATCTGGTCAAGAAATAAGCTGATTTTGTTTGTCGTAATATTAATGTTTTAGTTCTTGATAATACAATTTTTTTTTTAATAATTAAATATTTTTAATATCTATAATTTCCTTGTCACTGGCACTTTTGTGAGGTAACCAGACCTGGTCAAACAAATAGGTTGGCAGAATACAGCAACAGTTTGAAATTCTGCCTTATATTGCCAATATAACTATTTCACATAAATATGGTTTAGCATATGTTATAAATGTCCTATTATAAATTAATGAATTTAACAATTTAATGAAGAGCATCAGCTAGACATAATATACATCAACAGAAGATCAGCCGAAAGATGGTATTGTAAACATCACTGCTCTCCATTTTACAACTTATCTATTTTAAAAGAAACTAACCTGAGCGCAGCTCAAGCCGCAGATCTTTTACTTTAGCAAATTCCTGTTCCTTTAGAGCTCTGTAATCTCTGTAATCATCCATCAACTTCCTGCGTTTCTCAAGCATATCCTTTAAAATAATGTAAAAGTTAATCATCAGAAACCGGGTACTAAAAATTTTGTTAAACTGTTCCAGATCACATTTAATATTTTCTAAATAATTTAAGGGGTTAGGCGCCCGAAAATATCTAAAATTTTCAAAAATTGTCCATTTTTTTATTTTTTCATTTTTACGAAGATAAACATTCTTAGAATCGATTACATATCAATTGATACTACTTTTTAAAAGATTTGTTGTGAAACAACTGATATTTAACACCCCTCCCCACTCTAAAAATTGACCTAATTTTGGAAATAAAATAAAATTCATACATATCCCATGTTTGAGACCTCAAAAAACTAGTTTTAAATAACATAATATGCTATTATTATATATCAACGTAAAGGTAAATTCAAGCAGTTTTTTTTATTTTTAGAATCGAAGTCAGTAAATATAATTGCTACAAATAATCGGATCCACAAGCGAAGTGTGTGTAGGATTTTCTTCACTTCTATTTATATAATTATTTTACCGATTTTCATTGGTCCGAACCGAGGGTAACCAAGATACCGTTGACTCGCGCATGCGCAAATGCGTTGTTTATGCGTGTTTACCGGATCATGGTTCTGTGTACAGAACGACATTTTGCAAACGAAAGCATCAGCATATTTTGATTTTAAAATACACGTTTACAACCTTACCCATTCGGTAAAAGCCAGAAATTCAAGGTAAGTATACTAAAAAAATGACCTTAATTTAGCAACATGCAATCGGTGATAGTTGAAATTATTCAGTTCGGACGTCAGTACTGTCACTGTGTTGCCTTGATGATTGATCGTGCGTGTGGATTGTTTGTGAGTTTATGTTTAGCTTATGCCTTATGCGGAGAATTACATAAGTTTCTACTATTAGTCTTTATATTTACCAATCAAGTGAATTTTTAAATTATATGAATCCTAAGTCTATTTATTTATAGTTGTCTAACAAAACAACATTGATAAATAATCGAGTAGTTCAAAATAGGCAGTGTCTACACGTCCGGCGCGCCGGACGTCTATCTCCCGCACTATGTGTCCGGCGACCAAGTCACATGACCGCCGTAACAAAGTGGCGAGAGATATCTTGTCGGTCAGCCTTGTCACGTGACTGCGAATAATTCAAAACTATTGTTAATTTTAAAATCTATTTCTCTACCAAGTAATGTACTGAGTATCTTGAATGCAAATAATAAAAAAAAAAACTTCAGTGAAAGTGGCTTGTAAACATTTTTGTTTAGTTTGTTATTTGAGTTTGTGTACCAGTAATTTCAGTAATCCATAAAATAAATTAGGGGCCAGTGTGGAGTAGGCTAAGGCAACCAATAAAAGTTAAAGTAAAAGATTTCATTTTAAATTATTTCAATTGCTACAAAATATGTAAAAACTTCTCATGAAACTACTGTTGCTGAGGAACATGTTAAGATAAATATATACAAAATATTTTTAATTAAAATGGGTAGAAAAAAAACGACCCTATTCCCGGTATAGATCCTCAAACCTTCCTATCGTCAAGCAACCACTCTACCACAAGACCACACAAGATGTACTAAACCGTACTTCGTTTGGAATTATAAAAACTACTAGTCGTCCGGCCATGTCCGGCGGTCACGTGACAAGCCGCCGGACGTATATCTTGCGCACTACATGTCCGGCGCGCCGGACGTGTAGACACTTCGTTCAAAATAATAGTATATAGTTATATAGGCTAAGGCTAGGACTAACATTCAGTAACAACAGCGCATTATAATTATGGTATTAGCATTAGGAGTATGGGCAAAATAATTCGTATTAGAATATTTTAACTGAAATAGTTTAATCTTAGCCTTATTCATTTTTTTTATCTGCATACAATTATTAATAGTAATAGCTAATTAGTTTTATATTATTCCTTATTTATAAGATCAGTTCAATTGACTAATAATAGTAATTATAATAAAATAAGTATTTAGTTTAGCAATCCTAAACATCTAAATAATACTAATAGGCTTATTGAGATCATTTTCAATATATTATTTGCTAAATAATGTTTATATAATTTTTTAATTCCATTCCAGCCCCCAATTAGTTCTACCGAGCCGAGCAAAAGTTAATTCTTCAGTGACAAGAATTCTACAGAGGGACTGCTAAACATTGATTTCGAAATGATCATAATTCAAAGCTTTTACCAATTTTCTTCTGTCTGCAGTGGAATGGACGAATTGCAGAAGCCATAACTTACAGCTGATTGCAAAACAAAATAGTAAATACTATGAACATAACAATGACTAGATTGTGAGTGGTTAGATTGTTCATATCAACAACTGGATAACCAAGTCATTATCAATTATAGACTCTAAGGCCTGAAGGACAATGGCATGGACTATGAAAAGTTGCAATCTATGATATCTGCGATAAACAATCCAGCTGCACCGCAAAATTTATAACCTGCGCAAAGTATAAAAACTGCGCTATGCCGAAGACATGAAACATTTATGAGCAAGTATCTTCCCAATTATTACATTTCTAATAGACAAATAACTCATTCACCTCTGGTATGAGGGACATCTTTGATGAAAGAAGTACACAGAATAGGTACAAAAGTTTCAACATAGCATTGCTGCCATGAAACTATGCTTTAATTTCAGTGATGGTGACAGCAACATAACCTTGTCATCTAAGCATGGTTAAAAGGATCATGGACAAAAGGGTTGATTGGGGACTTTGGATAACTTGTGTTATATTATAATGCTGAACAAAAAATTCTAATACAACACAAATTAGCTTTATTCCAGAGGAAAAAAATTTTTTGTTTAAAATTGTGATTTTGACGAGAGCACCTGATGAAGTTCAAGAAGTTAAAACCCATGTTCCTGGTGCATTCAACAGTTCAATAATATAAGAAACCACCATGTCCATGTTGCTGAACAAAAAAAACTATGTAAAAGAACTTCATTTTCATATTAAACTTAAAATTTTTCACTTTTAAAGTTTAAAATTGATTTTTCTCAAAATTGTTTTTTTCTGTTGTTTTGTAACGTAGAATTCTAAAATCTCAGCTAATATACAAGCTAGAGTAATAAAATTTGGTGTGTATCTACCTTTAACTATTTTGTGGGTAATGAGCTATTCAAAAATCAATTTGGTCAATTACTTTTGTTAAAATAATTTTTTTCAAATCCTAGGATGGTAAATTTTAAGCGTTTTCTGCCGAGGCAAATTTTAAAAATTAAAAAAAAAAATGTTTTGAAAAGTTTTAAGGAAATTAAACTAGCTCAGTACGTCTAAATATAATTGAAGTTCATGAATCAATCAATTTTTAAGCAATATGTATGTTTGTTTTTAAAATTTTAGAACTCTACGAATGGGTATTATTTTCAAGATGGCCGCCGTTGCCATGGCAACGATATAATTTTTTTTTATTTTAAAGCATGAAAATATATCTCCATTCATAGCTTAACGTGACCATAATAAAATAATTGCTCTAAGTTGGTTAATTATTAATAAAATTTTTTTGGTAGCCTGCCCCCTTAAACTAAAAACACTTGTTTGATCAACAGATGAAAAAAAAAAAAAAAAAAAAGTCTTGCCAATTTACCTTTGATGCTGTCATTTTCCTCATACTGTCTTCCTGTTCAAATTTCTGGGCCCATGTCTTGAAATTCTTTTTTATTTCCTAAATAGACATTAACATTTTTAGACAAATACTTAAAATGCCCATATCACATACCTACTTTGACATTGTACATTAGTTTACTGCATTTATGTACATAACCAGCAATACTGTAACATCACAAAGCTTTGAGACTAACAATATTTCAAAACATATATATATTTACTTTAGCTGTTGTCAGAATAAAAGATGATCTCTCATTTGATTTATCAGATAAGAGGTGTCTTTTTTCATCATACATACATAAAAAATAAAGAAAATTAATCTGAATTACCTTGATTCTATTTTCATTAAGTAATGATGCAGGTCTGGGTCGCCATTGTAATTGACAAAACTTTTCTAACGGTTGCTTATGCTGAAGAATTCCTTGGAAGTTCCATAACCAATATCCATTGTCAACCTTGAAGGGAAAATGTCAATTGTTTACAGAGATGGCAGGCAAATAATAATAGACTTCCATTTTTGTTCCAATTGAAAAAAGTGATGTAAAATTCCCAATGTCTAAATTACTAAACAGTTCCAAAATGAAAATGGCAGAAATTTTGTTTTTACATCTGTAATGGTAATAAAAATCACCTTATGTCCCCACCAGCTGACCGCTGAAACAACATATCTGCCAGTTGGATCCCACTCAACATCAGTTGCCATGAAGTGTTCTGTCTGGGTCATCACAGTCATATCTTGAGTGTCAACAAACTCCAAAACACCATTCATACTGTTTAAATTTTTTTTAGAAATAATTAAACATTTTTTTTGCAATCTTAAATTGCATATAGATGTTCTTAGTTTTTTTGTATGTTTTTTTAAAAGACACCTGACCTGTTTACCCTCTAACTCCTAAAATTTATCATCTCAAAATCGTACAATACAGTATCTCAATAGTTAATAAAGGAACATACAGTGTATGTAACTGCTGGCATCGCGTGGGATCAAGTTAAGCCAATGTAACAAAGGAGGTAACTTCTAAAAGTACATGGCTAATCTTTATTTTGCTATCAGCTGTCACTTTTTTTGTCAGATGTGTCTGCTATAGATATAAATTAATATTAAGGGGAACATGTCGATCACATTATCATTGCCTGTCATATATTTCTGAGATTAATTTTTTTAGGAAAAGCTGTTTAAAAAAATCAACTTCCATTTTGCCTATTTCCTGTTATCGTATAAGTCTGATAACTATTTCAAGCTGTAAATCGGTGAAAAGAGGGGGTATTAAGAGTGGTACAGTTGTCTTGTGAATTCTAAAAATAGATTTCAAAGACCCTCTAAGATCCTATAAAACATGTCAAAATCCAATTTTGCTGCATGGAACAGTTGAGAATGCATTCTCTAGTTTTTACTGTTCCTGGATTCGCTGCAGATTAGCCCATTGGAAATATGTCACCAAATTACAACATACAGCCGCGAAGCAAACAAATGCCAGGAGAGGTCATCTATATAGTATGTAGGCAAAAAGTCAAATTTCCTACCCCACAGTAACCAAATAGTGAGTGATTTACATATTTTTTCTTTATCCAAACATTTATTTTATTTTGTTTTTGTATTCCCTATTTCATTAATTTAACGCAGGGAGCCTGATGTGTATGGACTATATGGATTGCAGCGACAAAAATTTTCACCAGGGCAACTATGCTAATATCACTGTTGTCGTTCTTAGCGAGTTCAATATGAAAATATGTCCATCACCACTAACATTACAAAAATGTGTCAGTTTTGATTTTCGACTTAAATATATTAGACCCCACCCATACACAAAATCAAAATAAACACCACTCCATTCCCTTCTCAGGGCAAACAGATGGTCCCCAAACAATCATATATCAGAACCCATTCACTGCTTGGCATTTAATGCCAATGCAAGTTAAAACAATCAACCAAAAATGTACTGTTAAAAATGTACTGTTCATGACTTTTTCAGCGAAAAAAAACTACGGGAATGTTTATATTTTCAATCAGGTCTCTTAAAATCCCAGGTCTTGGCGAACAATCGTAAAGACATCTCAAAATCATACACGCCAAAATGGCAAGAGTAATCAGGTCCGAGTCACTCCTAAAATGACCAGATTCACCCTAAGAAAGTTTTCAGGGAACATTAAAGAGTGCAATGGAACCATTAGAATTCTTTAGTAAAAAACTTTTGCCACTATTATATTAGGCTGTAGAGTATCAGCACAGTAAGATGGCATCACATTTTTCAGCCGAAAGATGGTGATGTGTAACATCATCTACTCTCTAATTAAGATAGCTTCCTGTACCGGTATAACATTGAGCACTTAACAAAAGTGGCTCAAATAAATACTCACCTCCTGAGACCAGCCAGAACAATAAACTGACCGTTGGGGCTCCAGAAAAGGTGATTAGCAGATCTTTTCTCAAGGGTTTCTGGTAAAAGAAAAAAAACTTCACTATGTAAATTCAACCAAATAGAGATAGAATGACTCACTTTTAACCCTTTACAGTCCGATGCGCCCGAAATGCGCCGATTTTTTCCTTAAGCGTACAGTCCGATGCTGCCAAACCCGCCTGTTACGAGGTTGTTTACTTTCGTTCTTAGCACAGCGGAAATCCATTGCGCATTACTATTTATAGTTCTACCGGAAGAAAGCCTCGTTGTCGGCATTTATTTTGATACTGGTTTGACCGCGGTGTGCTTAGGGGCTGATTTTCTGTGATTTTTTTTAAAAGTCGCGATTTTTTCGCTGTAAAAATTGGCTATCTAAGCCTTGGATACACTTTTGAAAGAACTTAGGCCTAATGAAGCTACACTATTTCATGAGTGGGAGGGTCTCTGAAACTATTTTTAGGTTTAACTTTTGATTTAATCATTTCTTTGTATTTAGGTATTTTTTATTTTATTTTTGTTGCTTGTAGTTTATTTTCTGTAAATTAATTAGATAAAGAACCTTCATTTAAAATGGAGTTATGTCCCTTTGCTTGGGCGCTGGGAGTAGACAAGGCTGAATAGGTTTGGACTGTAAAGGGTTTGTTGCTTGTAGTTTATTTTCTGTAAATTAATTAGATAAAGAACCTTCATTTAAAATGGAGTTATGTCCCTTTGCTTGGGCGCTGGGAGTAGACAAGGCTGAATAGGTTTGGACTGTAAAGGGTTAATCCCAATCTATTAAATATTTAAAACTTTGCCAATATAAAAGATAAACCATAAAAAAATGTTTACAGTAAACTTGAAAAACTAATTAACGACAAAAATAAGAAACTTACTTATGAGTTCCACTTTTCCTTTTGGTTGTATGTTGTAAAATGTAACATTTATCCTGGGTGCTTCTCCATGGATGTAAGCAAATTTGTTACCAATCGGTTCCCAAGCAAATGCCAAAACAGCCTCTAGAAACATAATTTTTAGTTAAAGAAAACTCTGCTTCTCACATTATTGTTTAAAATCATATAAAGAAAAAATAAATTTTGGGCTATCAAAAAGAGTAATTTAAAATAAAATATATCACCAAGCTGACAAAAACCATCAGATTTGTAAGATCTCTCATGTGTATCATCAGATAAGAGGTGTCTTTTTATCATCACATTGAAAATATAAATTATATCCTTAATTATGATTAAGTACACAACACCTACCCTTTTCCTCAACTTTGTCAACAGGTATTTGCTTCTCTCTTATTCTAAACAACTCAAAGTTGTAATAGATACCCTGGGGAAAAAAAAAGGAAATTTATTTTCATAAATGTCCATCGATGTTAAATATAAGGTTTTTATTATTTCAAATTGTAAAGTAATGATAGTAAAACTTTTTCATAGTTTTTTTAAAATGTTAATAAACAAACAATAATCATGGCTCTGGCATGGTTATAGGGAACAACAAAGAATAATAAATCAGTGCAATGTAGCTATTAGGATTATTAAGTGATCTAAACTATTAAACTATGCTACATTAATAGAGTATCAGCACAGTAAGATGGCATCACATTTTTCAGCCGAAAGATGGTGATGTGTAACATCATTTACTCTTTAACCAAAATAACATGTAACAACACAAACACTACCAAAAAAAAAAAAAAAAAAAAAAAAAAAAAAAAAAGGTTACTAAAACAAATACACACTTTCTGACTGCAGCCAGTACAATAAACTGGTAATTGCTTTTCTAAAAATAATGATTTGCCGACACCCCTGTAGAAGATGTACGTACATACCATATTTTAAAAAAAAAAGGGTCTTACACTATATTTAATTTGATCCTTGTCATCAGTTTTTTTTGTTTTGTAACGGTCAACTTTTACACAAAGATAGTCTCCACTTTTCTGCCAGTGCATCTTGCAGTCAGCAACATTAAACAAATTGCGAACACACAGTTCCTTTCTACTTGGAATCTCAATCAATGTGACACGTGCAGGTGTGTTAGGTTGCTCTGGGACCCAATATGCAATTATGTCATCAGTGGGGGACCAGGAAAAATCCCTACAAAGTAATGAATATTATGTTAGCAATTAACATTAAATTATTGGTTGCAATGAACATACCATGTTAACTTAGGACAATTATATAAATGATTAACTTAAAGATATCACAATACAAGTATTTTAAAACCTGCACGCACCTGACAGCTGGTATTTTTAAACTTTTCTTGTCAAGAAGACCAAAAGACTGGAGGGGAAAAAAATGGATATGAAAAGAATTGCTGGTACAATACAATACCACTTAAAAAGAGCACTTCGATTTATAAAATTACTCATATGACAAAGCCAGACGACTCGTCATTTTCCTTTCTCCATCAGTGATGCAAAATAGTAGAGCTACCAGCTAAGTCTGATTCAAAATTTTTTTAAACTAAACATTTCATTTATTATCGTTACATACTCATCACTGCTGTGCTTTCCCAAAGATTTAACAAGAGACTAGTAAAGTTTTGATGGCATCAGCACAATAATGATTATAATCAATTTTATATCATGCGAAAGATGGTGTTTGTGAACATCACTTGCCTTAATGAACCTCTTTCATTTATTTTTCTTATAGACATAAAATATTTTAAAAATTAAAAGTTAACAATGAGTGTAACAATGAATGACAAATTATGAACTCACAGGTGTCTCATATATGCTAATAGCCTCTTCACCTATTCTTGCAAAGTAGTTTCCATTAAAATTCCACCTATAGCAGAAAAATAATAATGTTAAATTATCAATCTTAAAATGCATTATAAAAAGATATTACTTTGTACCATGTCAGATATAAAGAATCTCTCACTCTTTATTCAGTTAAGAGGTGTCTAGTTATCATCATTCAATAATGTTAATGGTAAAAGAAAGCAAAACACAAACAAATTTCTTACTTAAATATAGGCCAAGTACTTCTACTTTCACAATGAAAGCCTCTCTTCTTTACACCTGAACGTATATCCCAAATAATGATTGCCTGTGGATCTTCATGGCTATCTTGAAGTGGGCTAAAAGTAACTAAGTACCTGAAATGGTGTTACAAAACAGAATAAAGCAAATTAAAACAATGTGTAGTTCAAGTTAAAACAACAATAAAAGCTGACACCATGATCTTTTCAAATAATATCACTTTATTCATTGACTATAAACTTGAATCATCAATTTCCCTTTGAAAAACTTTGTTTAAAAAAAGACTTACTTTTCACATGGTGAGAAGTCAATGAGTTGCACTCCTGGATGACTAAATCTCATTATCTGAGAAAACTTTGGACCACCCCAAAGTGCAATGCCCTTGACATGAAATGTTGCAAGATAGGTACCTTGAGGTGACCACCTAACATATGTCTCCGTCCAACGCTAGTAGATATAAGATTAAAGCATGTACATTTTTTAAAATTATTTCAACAAAGAATATCAGTTACTTCTAATGATATAGAAATGTAACTTAATTTGCAAGACTTTGTACCAATTGTAGAGTAACAAAGAGAAAAAACTTACAGCCCTCTCTTCAGTTTTCGATGGTTCTGGACTATTGAGAAAAATAGCTGTCTTCTCTCCTTCACCATATATGACGCTAAACTGATCAAAGCATTCTTTATTTTGTAACCAGCTACGCAGATTTCCCTAAAATAGAGTATTTTAGAAAAGAAAATGTAACACAAATGTTATACAATGTGGAATAATTTTAATTCTTTAATTTTTCAAATTAACAAAAATATAAATTTCGTAGCTGTATTTTTCTTTAACAATAAAATGTATTTCCTTTTAGACAAAATATAAATTCTGTGTTTCAACAAACAAGTATGAAGTATGCAACATGAAAAAATACAACTTATTTTGACTTTGTGGAGAATGATTAGTCCCTTGTCATTCACAAATATGTGAAAATCATGAATCTTAAGAACCAATTTTCAACAACAGCCTGTGGCGCACTAATAATGGATTGATTATATTGAATGACTGCATAATCAAAGTATATTAACCCAAGCATAACTGAGAGCTAGTCATCTTAGGTAAAAATGCATTGAAAATAATACTGAAACTTGAGTTTAAGCTTTTTTGTTTTTTAATTTTAAAATTCTGCAATTAACAGACTGAAAAAAAAAATATCTTGTGCCACATTTGTATTAAAGTTTTTAAAATTAAATTGTGTCAGATACATTGCATCTCTCATGGTCACATCAGATAAGAGGTGTCTAGTTATCATCATAAACAATTTTAAATAACCATCGCACTTATAGCACAAATTAACAATTTAACACTTCTTACCAAGTCTTGATACGCCTTTGGATCTGGTGGCGTCCATTCATCTGGTATATTAACATACCTGAAATTTATTTTTATACAAATTAAATACTTAAATATTATTGGGAAAATTATTTTAAAGTTGTAAGCTGGTACAATTAGCAAGGATGTTTTCATAATTTCCTCATTTTACTTGCTGTCATGCATGCTAGTTGTAAGCGGGGAAAAAAAACACTTACTTTTCAAAATCTGAAAAATGGTTAACTTTGAAAGAATGCTGTTTGTCAAGCTTGTAGCCATTGGTCAACTTGACAGCTTCATGAGCATTTTGTGGAGAAGAAAATTCCAAAAACATATACCTAAAATATAGAATTATTTTGATAATTATATGCATAATAAACAACAAAAAATATATATTGCTTACTTTAAGGCTTATATTGGTTTTAAAGGATTTAAACAAAATTTGAAATGTTAAATAATTCTTACCCCTTTGTGTTTCCTTCATCGTCAAGTGGATAAAACGCATTTACCACAGCACCAAACTTGGAAAATAATTTTTTTATAACATTTTTTAACTTGTCCAATCTCTCTTTCCCAACTTTAGGAATACAGTCGACAATAATTACTGAGTCAACACTGTCAGATGGCTTTGGTCGCTTACGTAATATATCACCCAAAAGGTCTGAAATAAAATTTATATTAATCGTAATTACAATTGTCACTGTGATACTGTAGAAATAGGCATTCAAACCTGTAACTGCTTGAATTTTAAAAATAATATATATTATTATAATTTACTTTGTGCAGAACCTTAGTCATGGGCAACAATTACATCACTTGCATATGACTTTACTATATATAAATTCTCAGAGTTTCATTTAAAAGAGATGGCCATATGCAAACACTATTAAAACTACTGGTCGGTGAAACCGCTGTAATTGATTAGTAGTCATGTGAAAAAGTTGAAAGTTCCAAATAAGTAGTGCCTATTAGTATTATTTTTCAGATGGACACACTGCCTTAGTATAGACTTTCTTTATAGCCTAATAAAGCTGGCTGGGCCAATGACAATACAACAGCATTGTGCATGTATTATATGGTAAGAGGTGCATAATCTACAATAACCACAAATGCTTAGTTGTCTTGACCATCAATTGCCTCACTTCGGCATTACTTGCAATTTGCCAATGAGCAAGGTGGGTTACAAATGTGTTGTTTTGTGCGCAATTGGCGAGTAAGGTGTGGGAAGCAGCAAATGAGAGCACCGCAGTGCGCAATGAGATAACACCTACTCTGGAATTATAATTGAAGATGGAAGCCTTAGACTTCCTAATCAGTACAGCCATATCATATTTAATTAACTGATAATGAATCATACTATGCAAAGTGCATAGCTTACATCGGTTTTAAAATTGCTTTAATCCTGAAAATAAAAACTGTACCTAATTATCTTTAGAGTTATTGCTTGTGCTGCGATAAGCGGAATCAGGTCAGACTTCTGGCGTATGGTCCATATAATATTTTTAAAATTCAAATGAACTCGCACTTTAAAGATTCATAGCTCACAAAATAATAGCGCTAGATGGTTGATTTTGGCTTCTTTCTTTATTTGCAGTTTTTTCAATACAATAACTACTGGCCATGGTTCCGTCTTTCAATAGTTTTGAAATTTAGCTCTGTCTTGAGGGGGGTGGAGGCTCCCCTCCCCAGAAATGGTTCTGTTTATAGTTGTATTATTGAAAGGGGATATATATATGTGAATGTGAAATAATGTTGAAATGTTCAGACTTCCTTTTCAACAAATAAAATAGCACTTTTAACCATGCGCATGTCTTCAATATTTGAAATTCATGAGTATATTAAAGGCTAAGGTATCTTTTCCTACAAAATTTCGCATGACATTTAAATTTTTAGTTGTTCATATTAATTCCTCTGTAAAATGTAATGAGGTATATTTGTGCAGATTCTCATTGAGCTGTTACATGTCGGCCATGGTCATTAGTTATGCTCATCAAAGTGACCTGCATTACCATAAGGTCCCCCTGTAAATTTTGACTACGATTGCCACTATTTTCTCAATGGCCGCCATCTTGGTTAATATGTCACGTGAAGTCATCTATCCCTATGCCTAACCTAAAACCCTAAATCGATCCCTATGCCTAACCTGAAACCCTAAATCGATCCACATGCCTAACCTGAAACCCTAAATCGATCCCTAAAATAATTTAGTAAAAAATAAACAAAGGGAAGTCACTCCCTGGAAAATAAGTCGTGACAATCGTAACTAGGATTAGCCGTTCACCCTGCCCCATTTCGACTTTTTTTAATGTTGGAAGATGCCAAAACTTGTGAAATATTCAATTATAACCATTGTTCACATCAAAATATTTAATAATTTGTATTTATCTAATGTTATATGACCTGCCTAATGTCACTAATGATAATCTAAATCGGTAATCTACCACTTGAGCGTCGGCCAAGAAAAAAAATCCAGCTGTTCCAGTTGGAAGGGCTATTTAAACAACTATTCTTACATTGGAGTCTGTTAATATTCTTGCTTCCGTGTAGAGGCTATAAAGTTATATAGCACAAGACTAATACATTTAAATAATTATTACTGTAGGTACTTTAAAACTAGTGGACCCACCGATCTGTGCATGTCAAAAATGTAAAAAAAACTTGTTCTACAATATGGCGTACAGCTACACAGTATCTTTGGAAAATTGCATACTATGTCACCTTTGTTGATTAAATAATTGCTTTCCTCATCTGTGACGTATTAGTTTTTGTGTTCCGGTGATTATATTAAATTTATGGCCGGCACTACAGTAAAATTAAACAAATGATATCAATAAAAAACCAGCAAATTGTATGGATTAACTATAACATAATCTAGACCTTAACACCCACCCCCCAATCCGAGGTACCAAACTCAACATTGACATCAAGTGACATATGGTCAATATGGTTGGCAATATTGGAATATGGACTAACTAGCCTGCCCAGCCTAAACCTGAAACTTTTTCATTTGTCATCTTATAGAATTTGAGGTAGCTTAATGAATTTATATTTATATTTTTCAATTGATTTCGAGATATGCCTAAACATTTTTAACATTTATGCCGTAATTAAGATTGTTTTCCCTAAAAAATTTCACCCAGAAGACAACCTACAAAACTAACGAGGCACAGCCGGGCCAAATAACATGACATGACATCAGATTATCATTATTATCCTTGACGCCGCATTCGACATCTGTCAACATGATTAAATAATGTATAGTTACCTTCATCGGAAATATCATCGACAAAGTTCTCTGGGTCACTAAAGTCTGGCTCTTCTTCTTCTTCCTCTACTTCTTCATCCTCCACATGAGACTCGCTTTCCCGGCTTTTTCTACCTTCGGATTCCACCCTGCCTGCCGCCATGTTGGTACCGCGTGGTAGATAAATTCTCGCGCATGCTCAAATGCTCGAGAGGAATATTCGTTTTCTAACTTTAGTTTAATTAATTTTAGATTAAGTAATCGATAAATGCTAAATTTTAGCTAAAAACGTTTTTTTTATTTTCTTTTAATGATTTTGTTTTTATTTAAGGTATTATTTAATGAAATTATATCAATATATAAATTAAAAATTCACGTGATCACTGTTTGCTAATGAATTAAAACTGACATTGCCTATATTTTATCAGATTTGGGATTGTCATATGATCAAATTTGCCATCAGTTTTACTAAACTAAATAGTGTGTTCAAAAAGAAATTTGAAGCAAATTTGACGAAAATTTGATCGTGTGAACTGAGCATATAATATATAAGTTGATTTTAGAGCATGATAATTCTATAATTTAAAAAAAACACGAGCAGTGTATAATGTGTCAGCTATTAGCTAGACTCTATGTGTAATTGAAAAACAAATTTCTCTACATTTGTGTCCATTATATTTTACTAACCTCCTCACTCCCAGCCATACTAAATTATACTAGACGAATCCACACAATGACTTAATAAATCTAGACAGTGGTTATCAAAGCAGGGGGTGCCGTGAGGTGGTCCGGGAGTAAAGGGGAGTGGGTGAAGGAATATGAGTTTTTAAGGGGCGCTGTGGCTCTCAAATGGGTGGTTAGAATTATATTGGAAATCCTTTTTTTTTTTAATTTGAATTATACATTTCAAAGAAAGATTATAATATAATTTATATATGTGGCAATGTGCCACTATTTGCAACTACTTCTTTGTAACATTTTATATGCGGCAGTATGGAACAGATAGGAATAAAAGAATCCACCCTCATAGTCATGGTGTGACTGCTATGGGTCACCCCAAGCCAGTACACATCCATGGTCATTTAAAGTACCGGTAACACACAGCTGTGTACTGGCCTTAAATTTTATGTTGGTTATTTACACGCGGGAATAACCGTCCCTGCCCCTGGGTTGACACATCAACTCCATGTAGGCCTAGAGACACATCAACTCCATGTAGGCCTAGAGACACATCAACTCCATGTAGGCCTAGAGACACATCAACTCCATGTAGGCCTAGAGACACATCAACTACATATAGGCCTAGAGACACATCAACTCCATGTAGGCCTAGAGACACATCAACTACATGTAGGCCTAGAGACACATCAACTTCATGTAGGCATAGAGACACATCAACTCCATGTAGGCCTAGAGACACATCAACTCCATGTAGGCCTAGAGACACATCAACTACATGTAGGCCTAGAGACCTAGAGACACATTAACTCCATGTAGGCCTAGAGACACATCAACTCCATGTAGGCCTAGAGACACATCAACTCCATGTAGGCCTAGAGACACATCAACTCCATGTAGATATATAGGCCTACATGTGTGTGTGTCTCGGGAACCCTACATTATCATATCATATACCGGTATCATTTAAAAGTGAAAATTTGTGAATTTGTTTGTTTTTTGTGGTTTTATTTGTTCCACAAAGGCTTTTACATGGGTTGATGGATCTTAACAAACTTGGCACATATTTCCATAAAAATCCAGAATGAAGTACTGGGCAGTTATGAACTTTTTATAACATTCCGTTTGGAACTTCGGGGTTAGGGATAGGGTAACAATTTCACCCCATGCAGTTTGACCGGCGTCTCTCCCATCGCTTATAATACCTAAATACTGGGAACAACTATGTTTGCTTTAGTTAAAAGTTCAATAATTTATTTGTCTGGAAACCTAGAGTAATAATAATAATAAGTGGTCTTATATAGCGCGGTACCCCAGCCTAGGGCTGGGCTCACCGCGCTATACATAAATATAGCAAAGAGGCATAATCATAATATTAAAATAAAATACATAAATGAAATAAAAACAACATATAAGCAAAACAACACCATAGGTATATTCACCCACCCACACCAGACATTTTTACAAGGAAACCCATGTACGTTTATCGGTTTATAGGAGGGGAATCAGTCAGGGTAGTAGGCCTTTATCATGCTATGAATTATATCTAGTAGGAAAGGGGATTTTATTCGCTATACCTTAGTATACTTACAAGTCTCCATCGTAATAGTGTATATTAATTAATATTAAGTAATTAAGGGAGTCTTCACATTCATCCATGGGAGGTCTCAACCCCCTCTACTTAAAATATATCAAAAACCATTATAAGAATGTATCTTAGATATCCGAGACAAAACGGAAAAAGACTCATTTAAGTCTTAAGGGATTTGGTCCGGGATTTTGTAGTCGCTAGGGCTTGTCATTTTACCACAGGAAATCTTAATCTGCCAGAAGGCAAGTAGTAGAACGTCTTGGTGTTGGTGTGACGTACATGCTCCCTAGTCTGTTCGCGCGTTACTAATATGGGGCGCATGATAAGTAGTTTTTTTTTACCGGGTACTCAAGGTTTTAATCGCAGTCCTAAATTTCACCATTGTTCACCGCGGCCCTTTCGGACGCTCTGTAAGTAGAAACAAATACGCCTTTATACTTCTATGTTTGTAGTATGCAATTGGTAGGTGCTAGTGATGGAAGATTTCTGTTCATGACTTATATTGGGCAATGTTTTAATGACTTGTTAGCTCCGTCAATTTGACTTGTAAACCAGGTATTGTGATGGTTGAACATACATCCGTTCACTGAATTCTTAAATAAAATTAGATACCAGTGTGTACGTGAGCATAACACGTAACCGTTATATCGTTCTGGTTACACACACACTGCAATGTGACTATAAGCTATTGATACAACTGTAGACAACCAGCGAATATACGTAAAATATGTGTAGTAGGCTAACTCTCCTATAACCTAATGCTAAATTCTCTAATAAGAAATGGTACATGTGTTAGGATAATATTACCAGCTGTATTAATATAATTAGACATTCCGCAATTTGCTTTTGTCTTAAAAAGACACAGCGATTGATTGTACAACAACATTATAATAATAATAATAAAGTTTATGTGAAAACACGCTTCATCCCCAAAAAACTCGAAGCGCGGTACAAAGTCAACCATATTAGAAAGAGAAATAAAAACAATAAAAAATTTACCACATTTAAAAACAGACGCAACAATATAAAAACTACATACGAGAATACCAAGTCAAAGTCTTTCATCCATTTCAACCATTAGCAACACAAGCCAATATACATTAACTGGGAAAAGATGGTAGATAGCATCACCCCAGAAGGTGTTTGCGAAATAGGTGTGTTTTTAAATAGGTTTTAAAGGACTCCAGTGTCTGGCTTTTTCCGAGAGCGACAAGTGCGTTCCAAATTGTTGGGCCAACAAATGCAAAAGTGCGCTTTCCGTAGGTCTCAAAGGTGAACACGCGGTATCGATATTTGGCCACTATCGGATGAGTGGAGCTGTCGTTTGGGTACATAAGGCGTCATGAGTGCTTTGAGATATAGGACGGCGCCAGGTCATGTAAGCAGCGGTAGCACACAGTTGCAATTTCGTCCTATATGCGAGCGCGGGCCGACAGCCAGTGCAACTCTCTCAGAAGTGTTTTAGCATGATCGAATTTGCGTTTGCGAAGTACGATGCGAGCCGCATTATTCTGTGCTATTTGAATTTTATCCAATTTAGCTGGAAGACCAACCATGTGGGCATTGCAGTAGTCCATGCGTGATAGCACGAATGCAGACAACATGTACCAAACCAACGGTATCCCATTGTAGTACTTTCAATGAGTGCATCTTACATAGAAACCTTACATGGACGACAGTACCACAGTAATTTCTAGACCTTTATGTTAGCCCTCACATCTCACACTGCTTCTGTGCGTAAGAGGTTGTGCGTGCTGCAAGTTAAACACTGCCAGAGATTACTTTTATAATTGATCATTATGAAAATAATATAATTTTAATAGCCATTTGTACAACACGTACTACTCTAGTCTTAGTTAAGTAAATTTTGTCACAATCTGTAATTACTGAGTTAGTTAACATGTTTATTTGTTAGCTGTGTTAGTTAATGTTAGTCAGGACATTGTTAACCTGTACTATTTGTTTCTTTTTAGATATTGTCCTTTTTCTTTAGCTTTTTCTTGAACGTTTTATTTAGCATTGTAATAAAGCTATAGTCCGCAAGACCTGATTTTCTCAACTTTCTACTTATCAAACATATAAGTAAAACTGGCAGCCTCATCATCACATACACCACACCACTTTTACTACAATTTTAAAACTGCCCGCTGCCCTATCACTACCACACGGCTACATACCTGTATATAAGATTCCCAATTAGGGCTACCCCCTCCCCGGTACGCCACTATATTAATATTCTAATGTCCCATCCACTTTTACACCGCAGATCTATTACACCAACTGTAAAATAAAAGAACATATTACGCACCAACGCACATGCGTTATTTTTAAGAAGCGCCATCTGGTAGCGTTAGTGACATTGTTACATAGAGAATTAGGTATTTTGATAGCTTTTGTTTGGACATATAGAGCCCCATCTGGAATTATTACTATAGGCCTCTTCCTGTATTTTACACGTGCAACGTATCTCCGTTGCACACGCTAGTGTGACGCTAGTATCATATTTCAAAATACATTGCGTTGTTTCGCAATACATGTTTTTTTTCTTTTTTCCCCTTCATGTTGCCCAGACCTGCAACTTTGAAAGGAGGGGGCACAAACTTGATAATGTAAAGTGGCAGGGTGCCCCCAAAATTCACGCGACGGCTCTGATATTTATTTGACCGGTCCACCAAAACTTAAACGTTTGTGAAAGACTGCAGCTGGAAAGGAAAACACAGGACCGAGATGAATGGAAAATTCTTGTAGGCGGCCTATTTGCATACAATAAGAGGCATAATATTCATATATATTAAAACTTCTATAAGTTCTTCATATTCAAATGCTTAAAGTTGTAAACAGCTTCTTTTACCTCGGCAATATTTCAATATTATTGTAAATCTATTAAATCGAACTTAGGCATGGATGATTTCAAGAAAGGGTTTTATTAACGTATTATTTATTTCTTTTTACTCTCCTCTTCACATGCTACGGACAACAGCATTATTTTTGACGCATTCGTAGCATTCGGAAACGAATCAGCAAGCATTAAAGGGTCATTGGTAAATTACGTAACGCAAAAAATGTCCTTTTAAACCCCCTCCCCCCTGTCACAAAGTGTCACCAATTACCCCCCACCCCCCCCATGTCACGTCACACATAAAAAATCAAAACATACAAAAAAATTTCAGAACTAAACTAAGATTTTATTTTACTCTTTAACATTTTCCCATAATGGATTAATATGTAGTATTATTATAAAACTGTGACGCGAAACAACGACGTCATCAACAAGCCGAATGTAAAATGGCCACAACAGTTTTTGCGTCATTTTTCGATATGCGCTGAAGGTGTGCACGACTGAGTTTCATGGTACTTGTAACATCTGAGGCAATTTCGAACTCAAATTAAAATATTTTTAAAATTAAGTGAATAAAGATTTTTCAAAGTTAGAAAATTGTAGATTTTAAAATATAGATATATAGCGTGACGTAAAAAAAGTTTGGACCCCACTCCTGTCACAAATTCTCGACCCCCCCCCCCCCCCCCCCCCCCCCCCCCCCGAGCGTTACTAATTTGCGAACGATCCCTAAAAGGAAATGAAGACACTTTAATGCTTTTTGTACTTCTCGTGTAGTCATTTCTCTCAGGACCTCAGAACTTCCAGTAAGTCTGTACCCTCAACCTCATGTTTATCACTAGTTCTCAACATACTGTCTAAATATCATAGTCTTTACTACTCAAATTATCTAGAGTAATCCAGAGTTGCTGAATATCGTATAGAGAGCCAAAAACGTAAAAGCACAGTTGTAGTTGTTGGAAACGCCACATCAAGGATCCCAGTGTCTAGTCCTGAACATTATAATCGATATTTTATATTAAGAAATACGTATTTGACTTCTTAATGGGTTTAAACTTGTCTTTCGAAGAAAGTATTTGCCTAAGTTTTAAAACATTTTCCTTTGTTGAAAAAATAATCAGTGCCAAATGTCATTATTATTATTTGTGTCATTCGTTGCTAACATCTGGTCGTAAAAAAAATGTGTTTAAAAATAGTCCACTGACAGGGCCGTCTTAAGAACATTGGGGGCCCTGGGCACATCAAAATGCCTGCATCTTTAGTTTACTTTATACATTGATTGGACCATAGTCCAGGAGAATTCTTTGTAAAACACAATAATATGCAGAAAAAATGGCACTTCTCTAAAGACTAAAGACAAAGTAACAAATTTATTCATTCCGGTAAAATAGTTGAAGTTAATTCGTTTCTTGTTATTTTTAAATCTCCTTCATGACATCGCTTTGATGTCTTGGCCCAAATAATCTCACGGGACTCAAACTCACGCTTTAAAAAAAGAAAAAAAAAAGAAAGTGTTTCTTGGCTTACACTTACAGTGCCTTAAAATAATTTCAAGTCTGGGGCTGAGCTGTTCGTATTCATCGTAGAACATAGAAAGCTAGAATTCATCGTAGAATATAGAAATTTAGAAGAGTAAAGCGTGTAAGTAGCGACGAACGTAAATCAAGAATGCTCGTGTGAATAACAATTTATCATTTCCTAAGGCGGACCGTCCGTTATGATAATTACCGCCATCGTTTCTCCTTTCGTTTTCTCTTTTTAACTTCTTCACTAACTTCACAACGGTAAATAAGACGTCGTCTGGCGAATGCCCGTTACAAAAATGTTAGTTATTGAATAGATTACTTCAGATTATTAAAGTATAATAAATTCTGAACTTAAATTATCTTCAAAGTAATATCCTGTGCCTATACTTATACTTTTATTGACTCTAGAAATTATACTAATAGTAATAGTAATAGTAATAGTATTGGTAATCTACCACTTGAGCGCGGCCAAGAAAAAATCCAGTTGTTCCATTTGGAAGGGCTATTTAAACAACTATTCTTACATTGGAGTCTGTTAATATTTTTGCTTCTGTATAGTCTATATAGCACAATAATAATACATTTAAATAATTATTACTGCTAAGCTACCGATATGCCAGGAAGAAAAAGAGACTACAAAAGTGCCGATGTCCGAAATGTTTGATACAGATCAGATACGAAATGAAGAAGAATGGTGGCTGTCCACACTACTGTTGAATTTGTCAGACCCCTTATTCAGCATCTAAGATGGTGCATTAGCAAAATTATTTTTTTTGATCCAGATGATGCGGATGTCCACACACAGAATGTGGAAAATGTGGATGTTCAAAAAGCGTAAACTGAAAAGACAGTTTGGCACAAGCCGTGATCTTTCCCCTTCATATTTACGTGAATTCATGTACCACAATAGATTTCGTGGAACTTATATTTTTTAAAACTTCATGTCGCCTTGGGGGAGAACTATACATAATTTCATTTTCAAACATTAAATAGTTTAAATTCTTCTATTTCAAATTTTTTAAAATAGTTTTTCTATAAAAAAAAAATGTTCTTGTGTATTTGTATTAGTACTATTATTATGGGAATGAATACGTACAACTAATGTAATTAAAAATAGTATAAGAATAATTATTTAAATAGCCCTTCCAACCTGAACAGCTGGATTTTTCCTTGGCCGATGCTCAAGTGGTAGATTACCTAGAAATTATAGGGCAGGGCTATCGGCTATATAGTCAATGCCATGGACAGACTACATAGACCAGTGGTTCTCAACCTTCCTAATGCCGCGACCCTGTAATACAGTTTTTCATGTTGTGGCGACCCTCAGCCACACAATTATTTTCGTTTTACTTCATAACTGTAAGTATATGTGTATTCAGATGGTCTTTGGTGACCCCTGGGAAAGGGGTCGCAGCGACCCACAGTTGAGAACCAATGATATAGACTATACTATAGGGTGACCAAATCATGAACTGGAAAAAACGGGACACTTTCATGGACGGTTTTGGGGGGTGGGAGATACCCTCCAGTTTTAAGAGGGCGCCTGGGGCCTCCGCCGGAAACTGTTGATTGAAATATGCTCATTTTAACTATGAAATCTAACCTAGAAATCTACTTGGGGCACTCAGTCTTTTCCTTTGTCATGTGTTTCACTGATGTTATGTGTTGTTGTTTTATGTCTGAACGTCCACAATCCACAATGACTAATACTAAAAACGTTATTGCAAACTATGCACTCGGCTTCACTTTCATAGGTCCCTTTTTTAAAACTTTTTTAATATAGTTCCACTCTTTGGAATACTCCTCCATAAACTTACATTGATGCTTGGGCATAATTATTGTCTACATGAGAAGATAATATAAAATTAAAGAATAAAATTCAACACCAAAAACAAACAACTGTCACTCTGACACGAACAGATGGACAGGCCGGCAGGGATCACACACAAGAATAACACATTACACACAGCAGTAGCTGAATCAAAAATTGGTTTCTGCGAAGTAACATCCCCTCCCGACTTCAAGTCTCGTGTCTTTAGCTATGGTGGAGGGGGAACAGAGCAGCCATCATGCGAGCCCACATCGATACTGGCACAGCTAGCCAAAATATTACTTGAAGTTATATTATAAATTAGGAAGTTTTAGTGATTTGAAAATGTGTTTGGTTTAAAAAAACAGGACTTTTAGGCATCCGGGGAGACTTTTTCGGGACAACGAGTACGATCGTGAAAAAACGGGACAATCGGTCACCCTATTCTATTACTATTACTTATTTATATTAAATTTTAAATTACTAAATGACTAAATTAGGACAAGTGGAATCACATATCACTGACAGGCAATGGCAAGGACATGACAAAAGACATAAGCAATAATAAGTATATGAAACTTAGAAAAGATAAGTTTCTCTTACTCTTTGTAGTATTAGTCTTAGACTTTTAGTCTAAGGTAAATGCAAAGAGAATGTACTACACTCTACGGAATACTCAGTGAGAGTGAGTGGTGAGAGTGACACATTCACATTCATTTTATTCAAAGAGTTAGAATTCCTACTACGAGCTACAGTCTTATTGAGTGTACTCTAGTCTCATGACACACTTATTTACTATGAGGCTGCGGCTATTCGGACCAGGGTATCAGAAGTGAGAGTTTGGGTTTATTAAAAAATATTTAAAATATTATTGTAGGGTTTGTAAGACAAAATTAGGTATCAAATGAAAAATAATTGAATGGACTATTTTTTTGTAAACTTACTTCTTTAGTTTAACTAAAATAAACTACCATAAATGACATCCCAATAGCATTTATTCTAAAGGGACCCGGACACCCATAGCCGCTATTCGGACCGGGGTCCCTTTAGACTCAATGCCTTGGGGATGTCATTTGTGGTAGTTTATTTTAATTAAAATTTAAAAAATGAGAGTTCCTGCACCTTTTCTCTTACAAAAAAGCACAGATTATATTACATACTTTTAGCGCACACTTGAATCTTGACTACCAGTAGTGTGACATAAATATTTGTACCAGTAAAAAGGTCCATGCTAAATCTCTATTTTATTATTACCTGCTACCTAGCCTTAGGCCCAGGCCTATAGTTTATAATAATTAGGCCTATAATAGTATTAATAGCTAGGCCAAACGGTCTAAAGTGAGTCGATTCCAAGGTTGTAGACTGGTGGTAAATCCCCAGCAAAAGCCTAGACCAGCACAAAAAAAAACATCACCAGCATCCCAGGTGGATGGGACTACCTAACCTTGGATGGCTACTCGTCTAAGAGAAGGAAAACTCTGAATTCAAACCCAGAGATGGAGTCCCGTTGGTGGTATGAAATTGACACAATGAAAATTCCTGCAACTCCTGTGACACTTCTGGTGCCAAGCAGTATCATCCACATATGATGTTTCCTTGGGTTATCCATATGCGTGGAGAGAGTTAATTCGTTGTCTAGGGAACCAGCTTATCCTCCTAAATAAAACTCCCAAGCCTTGTAGTTTCAGCCTGCAAAGTCTACACCATTGTTACATTGTGACGGATGGATACTAAAATAAAAAAAATAAATCTAAAAATCCTAAAAATTAAAGAACAGGTAAAAGTTAGGTTCTAAGCTCAAAATGGGAAATACTGACACCAGGATTTAATTAGTAAATAAGTGCAAACCTGCACCAATGTTTCTTCAGCAAACATTTATTGGCAAATATGAGTGAATTTATTGCTCATTTAATTGCTGTATAATTGTCTTTTACTTTGCCATTTCAAGACCATCTCATTGAGATTATCTCATTTTGCTGATGCTCAGAATATCCAGATAGTGGCAATCTTTTTCCGGGAGAATTTTAGCCATTTCAGTTTAGAATTTGTACAGAATTTTATGGTTTAAGAAATTTTACTGAGTAAACTTGAGTGCCATCATAATGGGTGACCATAATTTTTCTGATGCTAATTTTTATTATTATTTTTTTCAAAAATTGTTTCTGTAGCTGTTTATTGGTTTAAAGCCCAACACTTTTTCTTCCTAAGATTGGCTTGGGACCATTCATGGCAGGAGTTTTAAGTCAAATTACTTTACAAGTGTAAAACAAAACTATGTCTTTGTAAAACTGTTACATTTTTAATATAACTGTAGTCATGGGCGCCCGCAGGTAGGGGCAAGGTGGGGCACTTGCCCCCCCTGGATTGATTGGATAAAAAAATTTTAGACAAAAATAGACAAAAAATTTATTAAAGTAAAGAGAAAATAAAGAGAAAGTAACTAAGCTGATGTCCTGTCCGTTCGTTCACCATACAAATACGCTACAGTAAATTAAAACTATATTAAAACATTACTAAAATTTTTTTGACCCCCCCCTGGAAAGTTAATCGATTTTTTTTAAAAATGTCTTTTCTACAATATAACTTTTTGCTATATCTGACTTTAAAAAATTTGTGTATCTTCACTTTAATTGATCAGCTATGCATCTGAAGAATTCTGACAATGTAACAAGCTTTGCATCTGACGTGAAAGATGGTAGGGTTCAATCCACATGAAAGAGTGCATCTTGCATCCACAGAATTTGCATTTGCTGGAGCAGTTAGTGGAGCAGCCTCAAGAGCTATTTCTCAACCATTGGATGTTATTAAAATAAGATTCCAGGTTATGTATAAATTAAGTCTAAATTTAAATTAGTATAAAATAATTTTTTGAGGATCTTTCAGTTTTAGATAAGAAGAGTGATAAGATAAATGGTCTTAATTAGTAATGTGATGTCACAAATATGCAAATATCTGTTTACCAAAAAGGGCCACCTCATCTAAAATAGTCCTGGCAGACTTCAGTACATGTATTTATAATATCCTAGTTACATGATGTGGAAAGATGCCATCAATATGCTTGTTTAAAAATATTAACATTTTCTACCACTCCTCCCAAATTGGACTACTTGAAATACTTTTAGTTTTAATTAAAATTTTGAATTAAATTTTAGATTATTTCACTGCATTATGCACAAGTGATGCATAGAAAAATGCTATATCAAATCATCCTTCTCTACAATCTAAGCCTGTTGATGTGGTAAACCCATGTGGTATATCACAATAGTGTGGTTTGAGACATACAAAAAATAATGGTTATTAAACAACAAACAAACTCATCGAAATAGTTACATCATATCAAGTTAATGAGAGCTTCACAGCTTGTTAAAAATTTATGATGAATCTGCTGGGTCATTGTGTAAACATTGACAACATATCTCCCAAAATTGGAGCAGTGTAACAAAAATCACAAGAAGTGATTGATATAAAACATCTATCATATGGGTAGCATTTTTTATTGGCAGAAATATTTTCTCTCCCCCCAAAATAAAGTCTTAACAAAAATGTAAAAAATAAACAAACTCATTCAGATAAGTATCTCTTCCACTTTGCTACATTTGTCACTTTTAATGTTTACTTAAGGCTAAGGGTCAAGAAGTACTTATTTATTAATATTTAATTTAATAATACGGTTCATTTCCCCACTTAGCTCAGTTACTGGTAATCAAAGTCACTGCTTTGGTTTGCAAGAAGGAGTTGCATTAGTGTGCTTCTTTTGGATTCTCATAAAATATATCTTAAATTTACAGTTACAAGTTGAACCCCTGAAAAAGACACCCACCTCAAAGTATTATGGGATATTTCAAGCAGTTAGCTGCATTATCAAGGAAGAAGGTGTCACAGCTTTATGGAAAGGGCATGTCCCTGCACAAGTTCTGTCTGTTGTTTATGGAGTTGCACAGGTCTGTTTGAGACTTCACTTGTTTGACTTCAGACTTGAAATGAAAGCTTATTATTACATTAGCTCAAAATCAGAAAATAATAATTTTTTGTTGCTATCAATACAATTATAATATATTTTACAATTTTTATATCAAACAAGTTAACTTTTTAAGATAAATTTGAAAAGGGTGTTGGAGGGAAGGGGGGTCTGGAAAGTTAGTAGGCCAGGCCAAAGGTTTTTGAGTAGCTAAACTTACCCCCCACATGCTGATATTAAATTGTGAATATCTCACTTTCAGTATTCAACTTTTGAGATCTTAACAGAAAGAATTTGGCACTATCTTCCTGAAATTCTTACCACAACATATCGACCAGTGACTCATACCTTGTGTGGTGGGCTAAGTGGTTGTATTGCCACAGCTTTCATATTTCCAGTTGACTTGATAAGGACCCGATTTGTTGCCCAAGGAGAGCCAAAGGTACTGCTTAGGGGACACCAATAAAGGACATCCCCAGAGACATTCAAAAGCTGACGCATGTGCACAAGGGGGGAGGGGGGTAAAAGGTCTTGCAGACTTCTGCAAGCTAGTTAAGCACTTTTAGGCACACTGTGTGTATTCCTCTATGGCTGATCTATTTGCAAAATTTAAAAAAATTAAAATCATTATCCAAGAATTTAGAAAAATACTTCATAAGAGAGATCGCTCTAAATATTTTTTGTTTGCTATTTTTTCAACAAATGCAAATATTGCGAGCTTTTTCTCTGATAAAAATTGCGAGCTTTTTCTCTGGTTGACGCTAATCGAATAATTTAAATTAGGGACCATCGAACCAAAAAAGAAAAATGTTAGACCCCTTTCCCCCTTGATGCATCTAACCTTTTTGGGCAGCACAAATATGGAGGGGCGGCATATACAAATATATTGCACTCATTTTTGATAGTTGTTTCCTACAATTGTGCATGTTAGTGTCTAAAGGGAAAACAAATTGAAATTCAATTTTCTTTAAGGTAGCATTTAGACCGCTTTTTCCCCCCCCACTAATGTGGGGTTGGGGGGGGGGGCATTAAAGCAATTTAGGTCATTGGTGCATGGGGTAAAAAAGACATCTTGGAAGCACTGTCTGTAAGAATATTAAAGTTGTCTCATTGGTTCCCCCACTTTCGTCCCCCTAGTTCAGCTGTAGGTTAAGTCCAAAGAAATAATTGGGTCACAAATTACGTCACATAGTATGACAATAAATAACAATTTTTGCTGTTATTTATTTTAAGACTTAAAAAAAAAAAATTTAATATGGATTCCACAGATTTTTGTTGGAGTTATTAGAGAGTGACAGACATTCAGGATAATTATTAAATATTAGAGAGTGACAGACATTCACGATAATTATTAAATGTACATACTTTCTGCTGACAACCCCCCCCCCCCCCCCCCCCCCCCTACCACAAACTAAAAAAAACAACAACCCCCCCCCCCCGTACACATAATATAAAAAAATCATCAACCCCCTTCCCGCAGTATTTACATAATCAATGGATGGACCCGTATCTCACTAATTTAGAAGTTTAAATCTAATGCCTCTTTGCTTTTTAAAATCGTTTTTATACTTCCTTGCATTTTGCACTGTAATTTTCCATATGCACCCGTGGATGTCCACAGCGCTGGGGGGGGGGGGCTACATGGGCAGGGGGGGGGGAATGCATATTTTGTCCTTTATGGACAACCCCTTTACTATGTATGGGTCTCAAAAACTTTAACAAAAACAAAACTAATAATTTTTTAAATTTAAGATAATATAAGTTTATGATAGTTTGTATTAGCTTGAATTCATTTCTTGTACCGGTACTTGTTTTCATTTAAAATTGCTGTCTGCTATTTTTTTTTTCAGATTTACAATAATTTCACTACCGCTGTAACATCAATTTGGAAAAAAGAAGGAATAAAGGGGTTTTATCGGGGTTTGGTGCCCTCTTTATTCCAAATTGGACCACAGATGGGATTGCAGTTTGGGATGTATACCTTATTTATTGGTCTATGGAACAAGGCAATTGGCATTTGGCCGACATCACCTCCAGGTTAGAAATATAGCAGCAGTAGTAAGTTTATTTTTATTGGGACAAAATTACATGCACAAAGATTTTCGAAGTCTTATTCTTACTGCATCACTTTCAAGCTTTACCCTTGCAGCCCAGAAAGAGTTTTGCTTTGCATGTAATAACAATATACTAAAAACGTTGATCGACATAGCTCTTTTACATTCAAATAATCGTTGTTTGAGAGCCCTATTTTAATTTTGTACTAAAATTTTGTTTTCAAGTATAAGTGATTTTTTTTTTTGGACAGTTTTTAAAAAGAACTACCTGTGAAAGCCTCAGATAATATAATTAAGTATAAATTGAGCATTGTTAATGTTATTCATAATTTTAAATTTTTTTTTTTACTTGCAGTGGCCCTAGAGTCCATCATTTGTGGATCAGGATCGGGAGCTATTGCAAAATTACTAGTCTACCCTCTGGATGTTATCAAGAAGAGATTACAAATTCAGGGTTTTGAAGAAGCACGGAAAAAATTTGGAGCAGTACGACATTACAAAGGCCCAATCCATTGCCTAGTAGTGTCGGTTCAAAATGAGGGAGTGTTGAGTTTATACAAAGGGCTCTACCCTAGCTTAATAAAGGCCGGAGTAGTAGCTGGGATAAATTTTTGTGTCTATGAAAATGTCTGTAGAATTATTGCACTTTCTCATAGCATAGATGATAGGTAATAAATGAACCCACCCAACATTTACTTAGAAATAAATGAAATAACTAAGGTAAATATAATTTTACATGGTACTAATGGTACCTGCATTTTCTGAACTTTTGTAAGAAAAGATTTATTTAATTTCAGAGTAATTTATGACATTTCAACTCATTTATACCATTTTTCATTTTTTCGCAAAACTACTATTTTGGAAAGTGAATAAAATGATCTATGTTTAGTGAATCTTGAATGCATGACAATTTAGAAAAAAAGAGAAGGAAAGTAAACTTTATAAAAGTGTCTTTGCTGTGATTAAGTGATCAAGAATGACTCATTTCAATATGGATTTTTCTGGTGCTATTGTGACAGGGTGTCAGAATGATTATTTAAAAAAAAAGAAAAATGTGTTCTGAAAATATTATTATTTATTATACTAATTCTTCTTCTTCTATATCTTAAGGGCCCACGATCAATTTATTGATCATTTTGGCTCATGTAGATGGGATTAGCAATGTTTCTATACCAAAGTGTTGAGTAATTTATAATAATATAAAATGTTGCGTTTAAATAATGTTTGTTTTAACTATTTTTCTTCAAAATGTATTGTTTTCTAATTTTTGCCATCTTTTGATTTGGAAGATATCATATTTAAATAGTTACAATTATTTCAACCCGTGGCAGACGTGGAAAAAAAAATCACTTGACAGAGCGGGATAAATCATAATGACCATGGGGGTTAAAGAAATTAGGTGTATCTTAAAAAAATAGCCACAAAATCTGGGAGATAAAACCAAATATTTGTGTGCATATCAATCGTGTTAATTAAAATGGTTGATTAACATTATATTATATGGGAATTAGTTGTTCATTTTAAACTTAAAACAATTATGGATTTTAGCGACTGAAAAAATAAAGAAGTTAATTATCTGACATGCTAATCTGAAGAAAAATAGAAATTTAGACAGCCCTGTGGTGCAATGGTAGGAAGCATTGCCTTACAACCAAAAGGTAGCAATGCTTCACAATCACAGGATATGGGATTCAAATTTACCAGGGGTTGAGCCCTATGGGCAAATAGCCAGGTGTAAATGACTAGTTAGCCCAGTAAATTAAGGCACATATTCTTAGGAGAATGTCAATCTATACATGCACCAGGAACAAAATTTCAAATTGAAACAGAACAAACAAATTTTACAAGTGTGCTCACCAATGAGTCTTTGTTGTGTTGAATAACATATGAAAAGTGGTAGGGATTAGTCAACCAAATGAAGATAGTTGTGCTGATGAATGTCTTCTGACAATATTCCATGCCAATCCAGACTTATTTTAAATAAATTACTTGGTGATTTAAGTACGGTATAAATAAAATAAATTTGATGAGAACAGTCATTAGAATTGGAAGTAAAATGGCATTGTGACCGACTTTTAAACCTTTGCAGACTGGTGATAATAGTAATTAATAGCTAATACAATTCATAATTATTTCACAGGCCTTTGAGGAAAAAAAACCTCTCGTGTTTATAAACAGGGGCTGCATCACAATGGAAACATATTGCAATAACTAAACATGATGCAGTTCCATGAAAATTTAACTTTACTTTATCTATATTTATTAGAAATTCTTGTGTCCATATTTTAGGATGGAAAGTGGAAGATAACATTTTTTTACTTTGGTCCTTGAAATCTACAGTAATATCCTGTAAATATTTCAGCAACATAAGAATGGATGAGTATTATTAATGACTCACACAAGCAAACTTTTCCACCCTATAGTTCTTTAAAGTTAACAAAAAAATCAGTAAACAACTATTAATATGACTTGCAGGTGATGCAGCTACAATAAAAAAAGCTCTTATCTTTCTCTTGTTTACGTCAGTGAAAGCATGTTTCATTTCTCAGAACAATTTTTTTTGCATAAAAATAAAATTAGTCATGATCCATCCCTTATGTGAAGAAGGATCTACTATGACAAGAGTTTTCAAGACCGGATTATGATCTTGCAGATCAGTGCTTAAAAACCATCAAAGTTTAGGTCCTACCAGGCTCACCACTTTATCGATTTTGACAGCGATTCTAAGTAATGTTTAACTTAGGTTGCGGATGCAAAAGGATGAGCAAACAGGGAAGATGAGTTTAAAGTTCAATGACAGCTATGATTATGAAGTAGGCTTATCAAAAATTTTGTTTGGTCCAAGATGTTCCATACTTTTGCTCTGTGTAAAACAAAGTAATATAACTTTGTATTTGCTGGTACTGCTACTGGTAGCAGTTAAAAACAGAAGCACTGTACTGTAAATAAATAAGAGTATGGATAAGTGCACATCTTTCTTTACCATTATAAAATTAACAAAACAAATTGTAATTTATATAATTATTGATGTTTAATATTCTGGTAGTAATTTTGTACATCCAACAAAAAATCAGCATAATATACAATATGCACAGAATCTATTTCAAGGTATAAAAAAAATACTAATTGTGACATTATTTCATTTTCTTTATTATTGAAAGCTTAATTGGTGACTTTCAAAAATCTACTCTAAATGAATGCTGATGGAACCTTAGTTCTTTTATTGTACAATTTGGTTCATTTGAACCTAATAGAAAGAATGTCATTTATAGCAACATGGTCATCATATACACTAACCTGGCAAAATTAGAATGGATACCTCAATATAATAACATCACATTTTCAACACAATGAGACAAAATGTAGGTACAGAGACATGATATTGATATATTACATACAATATTTATTTAGTTATTCCATTTTCAGCATATTTTTTTAGTAGAACAAATTTTACATAAAATTAAAGGAAAAGAGTAAAGCAATCTCACAACTTTCATAACCCAGACAAAGGGAAGAGGCAGAAAAAGATTTCCAGCATTAAAATGGATACAGGTTCAGTTGAGAGCAGATTTTGAAAAATATACATTGTTTACTACTCAAAAACATTAATCATACATCTCCATGGGTGTAAAATTTTTTGCTGGAAGAGTCTTTTTTTCCAAATCATTAAAATATGGATGTTCCAAAATATCCTTTGCGGGTATTCTTTGAGCTGGATCATAAATTAGCATCTCCTTAAGAAAAAAAAAGTACAAAAAATTTAATGGCATGACATGGACAAGCAATCTTACTGTTTTGCCAACACTTCTTTAAGTACACTTTTTTTAAAGTGTATGACTGTTATGGATCTCTGGTTGAGGTCCTGACCGACCCCTTAAATACTTCTGACTAGGGGTCTAAAACACTAGCAATAGCTAAAAACACTTTCATAGTTAACAAGATGGCTGACGCCAACCTGAGTTCATGACCATGAACTAACATTCAACATTCAGGAACACTGAGGATCAACTAGAAACCAAAATCAGTGTGAGAAAACTATACTGGGACTAATAAGAACTGACTTAACTTCTGTTTACACTAACTCTTTATCACTACTCATTTGTTTATCACCCCCAAATAATATCTAAACATAATATTACAACTCACACATCATGATCCAAATCATGATCCCAGTGCGCTCACCCTCAACGCTATGGTCACTGTATACAATGAGACTTAAATTTTTAAGAACCCAGAGTCCTACTAAACTCTGATAGTAGTTTAAACTTGTCAAACTAACTAACACACATATTCTGTTGAAGGTCTGAGATTACTCTCTTAAGACCCCGGCTAGTAAATTGACCACCAGCTCCATCTGCTGAGCCATACAAAATTTTCCTCACAAAGGGTTCTCCAACCGCCCTGGCTTCCCCCAGGACATCTAGTGAGGGACATTCGGTCAACAGGTGCGCTCGTGTCTCCGGGACCAGGCTGCAATTCCGGCAGGTAGGATCCCTGTAGTTGTCCAGCCGCCAGAAGTATGTGCATTTGGGGCAATGCTCGGTGCGCATTTGTGTCTTGTTTGCTAGGAGTGGGCAGATTTGAAGAGATGCCGCTGGCGGTCGTGTTGTCTGCCCATTGCCTGTGCAAACTTCGTTCTGAAACGCTCTATCACTTCAGCACTGCGTTTGGTAACTATAAATTTAATAAATACAGTGCAGTTCGATGGAGCCAAGTCAGAAGCCTTTCCAGTCAGCAGCGGAGTTAAACAAGGTTGTGTACTCGCACCAACACTGTTCGCAATATTCTTCTCTGTACTACTCCGATACGCATTCAAGGATAGCAGTGAGGGAATCTGGTTACACACCAGAGCTGATGGAGGACTTTTCAACACTGCCCGCCTCCGAGCCAAGACCAAAACGACAGATGTCCTAATTCGCGAGCTACTATTTGCGGATGATGCGGCACTAACAGCACACACAGAAATTGGTTTGCAACAACTCGTGTCAAGCTTCTCCAATGCCTGAAAGAATTTGGTCTGCAAATCAGCTTGAAAAAGACAAACATCATGGCCCAAGACACTCGACCTCCACCTAACATAAAAATCGATAATGAAAACTTGGAGGTTGTGGACAGCTTCACCTACTTGGGGTCCAAGGTCTCCAATACACTGTCCATTGAAGAAGAAATTAACAGCAGAATCGGCAAGGCAGCTGCCACAATGGCTAAACTAAATAAACGGGTCTGGCAAAACACCAAGCTAACGGAGAAAACCAAACTGTGCGTCTATCGAGCTTGTGTCATCAGTACACTACTATACGGGAGCGAGACATGGACCACCTATACATCCCAAGAGCGCAAGCTTAATAGCTTCCATATGAGATGCCTGCGTCGCATCCTTGGTATTAAATGGCAAGAAAAAGTGACTAATAGTGAGGTCCTAATGCGTGCGAATACCCAAAGCATGTTCACAATCCTTAGTGAAAGACGCCTGAGATGGCTAGGTCATGTTAAAAGAATGAGTCCCGGCCGCATTCCGAAAGACCTCCTATATGGTGAACTTGCTTCGGGAAAGAGGAAAACAGGTCGCCCACGTCTGCGATTTAAAGATGTCTGTCAAAGGGACATGAAAGCAGCCAAAATACATACAAGTGACTGGGAGTGTAAGGCAAAAGACCGATCTACGTGGCGCACAGTTGTCAAAGAGGGCGTCATGTTAGCCGAGGAGCGAAGAATGGAAGAGGCTGCAGACAGAAGAGCTAGGAGAAAGGCCAAAACATTTAGAAGCACGGAACTCGTGTGTAAAAACTGTGGTAAAGACTGTCACTCAAGGATAGGACTGCACAGCCACTCGAGAAAATGCAACCCAACCAAACGGTGATGCACCATCGTCTCACGAGACGGAAGGATGCCGATTATTATTGATTATTAATAAATACAGTATGCTCCAAAACTAGTCGTACTGAAACTCCCACATCTTGAACGTGTACTTCCGTTTGTGAACAGCGGTACATAGCTCCAGCCACAGAGTAGAAAAGTGTAGAGTCTAACATGTTGAGCAGTTTTTGGAAATGGGTATCTCCACAGAGAAAAAAAGTATTAATATATGAGCAATATCTTTGTTCATAAGTTAGTGAATGTAAATGGTGACAGTGTTTGAACAACTGTGAGAGAGATTTAAAAAAAAAAGAATTCACCAAATTAAATGATTATGGAAAGGTTATCAGAAGGAAAAAGACTGGTTGATCTGTAAGTGTATGTGACTTTTGTAACAGAACCAGTTATTCATGTAAGACTCTGGGTCATCTTTCACCATAGACAGAAATACATTATCCCAGATTGCATATTTGGCTCCCCCATACATTGACCAGTATTTGGTACGAAAATGCACGTCCTTAAACAATGGTGAAAAGACATACTGCAGATGTTCAGTTTGTTACATGTTCCTCAAAGACTTCGTAGGAGCGAACGGAACACTTTCTGGAGAAAACAGGGATGATTATCATTATTGAAAAACCTACAGTTCGACCAGATTTCCTCATTGACACATTACGCGCGCCATCTTTTAAACCTGTCTTTGAATTGTTCTGTCACGTTATTTGTCCCCATTACAATCACTTCATCACTTTCGTACGAGCGAAAATAATGATCAGCTATGAATATATTTTTCTCCATCAAGAGCCCCCAGTTGCAACAAATGCCAAACATTTATTTCTCTTCACGACTGAGAACACATGCAGGCTGGAAATATGAAACGTTGACAAACACATAAGTTAAAGATGTGGAAATTTCAGCAGTTACTTTTGGCACATACTGCACTGCAACAGACACCCAAGGAAAAATAAGACGCTATTGGAATGGATAAAAATTCTTTAAATTATTTAACAATTACATATGAAGACCACAAGGGAAAAAACGGCAGAGTCACATTTTTGTTGTTTTGAGATATTCGATTTTTAAAGTTCAAAACCATGCACATTAAAATTGTGTAAACAAAATGTAATTTTTAAAATGCATTTCACAAGAGTGTCCATTTCCCTGAGTTATTAAATAGTTAAATTAATTCAAACTTGAATGTAACATGATTTATTTCATTATAGTAGAGAGTGGGGTCAAAATGGACTCTGCCGTTTTTTCCCTTGTAGTAATTTATCAAGGTTTGATCATTGCTAAATATCTATTTAAAATAAATCATAATTTAATTGATTTTTAAAACATTAATTTGAGGTCAACTTTGCCTCAGGTATTATAGTATGGTACCATGAAACTCGGTTTTCTAGTAATACTGCATCTTATCATTATAGCAGTGGTTCTCCACCTTCTTAATGCCGCGACCCTTGAATGCAGTTCCTCATGTTGTGGCGACCCTCAACCATAAAACTATTTTCGTTAGTACTTCATAACTGTAGAGGATATGCATTTGCCGATTGTCTTATGTGACACCTTTAAAGGAGTCATTCGACCCATAAAGGGGTCGCCACCCACAGGTTTAGAACTGCTGCATTATGGGAAAATGTTGAAGAATAAAATAATATCTTAGTTTAGTTATGAAAATTTTATGTATGTTTTGAGTTTTTTTAGGTGATGTGACAAGGGGGGAGGGGGAGAATTTGTGAAATTTCGTGACAAGGGGAGGGGGTGTCTAAAAAGTTTATTTTTAACGTGATGTAATTTACGAATGACCCCTGCCTGAGGCAAATTATTTTTGTTTAAACTATTAAAATAAGAATATCTATCATGCCTATAACTATCATTAAAAAAATATTTTATTTAGAATTTAACCTGAAAATCAGATTTAAAATCATACTTTCTAAGTTTCTGATGTGCTTCTTACAATTTTGGCCATATATTAGTTTTTTTTCCTCTAGCAGTAGCTGTAACTGTATGAACTTAAGTTTAAGAGTAAAGTCAGTAAAGAGTAACAGACAGAGATAACAAGACAGACACTCGAAGATAAAGAGTTCAGGGGGAGTCAGACACAGAGTTAGAGCGAAAGGGAGAGAGATATACAAACTAACTGAGATAGACTGACAAGGAGAGACACAGACATGCAACAAAAAGTGATAGACTAGACTTGACTAGAGCGACAGCGAAAGAGACAAGACGGATACACACATTAATTAACTGAACATAACAAAACAAGGGTAAAATGCGATTTAAAAATACAAATTTTATTTTTGTTAATGTTTTAAGTCCAATTTATCGTGCTTATGTTAATTTGTTTTGTTTTCTTGTGGTAGGAAATTAAAAAAATTCAGGTCTGTCAGTTAACTTTTTCGTCGGTTTGTCGGTCAGCTGAGCGAATCGGTCGCCATCTTTAAATTTTGTTTACACTATAGCTATCTCTCATTGGACCTTTAAATCACGTGACTTCAAATGTCACGTGATAATAGTGACTTAGCCCCTTTTTCCATTGTAAACATTGGACTCTGCTTCTTTTTCCATTGTATACGGATTTTTCGTTTCCATTTTTCTTATGGACTTGCCCATTTTTTCTCCTTTAAACTTAATTCAGCACCTTCTATTTTTAACTAGCTATAAGTCAGGGGTGATAACTCAAAAAAATTAAAAATGGACTCTGCCGTTTTTTCCCTTGAGGTCTTCATATGTGTATATATATTTAAAGAATTAATTTTTTTTTTTTTATATTTAAAGCCTTATTTATACTTTCTCACAAGTTCAGTATAATAAACTAAACGTTGAATGCTTCAATTTTTCTGTAATCAGATCCCACTAAAAATTAAATATTCAGAGCATGACCAGCTAAATGTACTTCTTGACAGACAAATTGCTATTGAATTTTAAAAGGTTTTATTAAGGCAGATCAAGTGAGTTTTGACACAAATTCTAATTTACATTTTTTATTCTTAAGAGAAGTGTATATACTTGATAAAGGAATAGAAATGAGATAAAAAAGTGTTAAAGTTTCAGCCTCCCTCATCCATCCGAACTAAATTATCATCTACATAATTCTTGTCTTTTAAAAAACCCATATGGAGCTTGTTTAATATAAAAATTTCACTAAATTTAGTGTATATATAAATAGTATATTTAATATATGCTGTCAAGATAGATCATACAGTACCTATTACATAAAAGATAAAAATTTATATGACCCACCTGCAAAAGTTCCAAGCCAAGGGGATCAAGCTGTTTAACGCTTGATGCAAGCTGATTTGTTTTCCAATGGGGAAATGAAGGTTTAAAGTCAGGGAGCTGTGACACACCTGGCCAGGTTTCTTCTGTTGGTGTGGTTAAAGTTCTGTTGGGACATAAACAATTTTTTTAAACTTTCTCAACCAAAACAAAAAAAATCTGCATTAGTCTTACTTAAACTTAACTGATAAAAGCAGATGTTTTAAAAGGAATAAAGAAAAGTGAAATTCAAGTCTTTAAACTTGATAAGAAATGGACATCAGGAGAAAAAAAACAACTATAAATTTAATCTAAGTGGCAATACCATATAAATTAGAAAATTTAAATTAGACTACCTGAATATACGGAAAAGTTGGTCAATTTCAGAGTCACCATGAAACAACGGACGTCTAGTAACCATTTCAGCAAAAATACACCCAATGCTCCAGATGTCAGCAGGAACAGAATAACGTTGAGATCCCAATAAAATTTCTGGTGCCCTGTACCACAAAGTTACAACCTACGAAATATGAAGGACACCGTTAATACTGTGTTGCTTTACAATTGCGGTAAACTTCTTATAATAACTATGATTAATTCTGAAATTTTCAAAAGAAATTACCTCGTGGGTATAAACACGCACTGGAATACCAAAAGCTCTTGCAAGGCCAAAGTCAGCCAGTTTGATCACACCATTATCATTGATTAGCAAGTTCTGAGGTTTGAGATCTCTATGGAGTACTCGACGTTTGTGACAGAACAAAATAGCTTCTGTGATCTGGTATAAGTAACTCTGCAAAATAATAATAAATGTTTATTTTGCATGATGCATTAAACAATTTCATATTATTATTTGCATGAGAAGCTAAAAACTTTAAAAAATAAATACTTCATAAAATAGCACAATAATGACAACAATAAACAATTGTTTTGTAACAAAATTTAACAACTTGATAAACTATGTTGATTATTACTCATTGCTGACATGATCCTCTAACAGTCCGAACATTTATAGATTTGCAGATTGATCTAAATAAATCTTTTAAACTAATAGTGATAGGAAAAGCAAGAAAACCAAACTGGTAGTGGTAGTAGAAATCCCCATTTTGTAAAGCAAATCCTCTATGATACCAAATAAGGGTTACTATGTGTAGTGTATAACTAGTATTGCTTTTGATGATACCTGGTAAGTGTTTTTTCAGGTTTTCCCATACCGTATTCTACATTTTTTCCTTCTACCTAAACTGATTGAGGCCAACAAGGTCTTCCAAAAATTGGATTGTTTTTTGTTAAAATTGTACACATTTTCTGTAAATGTCTTTAAATTGATAATGACAAGAGTACAACTATCTTAATCTACTATATAAAGCTCAGTATGACTGTCTGTCTGTTAATCACAAGAAAACTCAACAATGGATCGCAACTAAATTTAACATGGTCATTCCTCCTGACCTATAGATGATTCTTGTAAAGTTTGTTCATAATCCCATAATCTGTAATTAAAAAAAGTGTAAAATGTAGAGGGTAAAATATTATTTTGCAATGCCTATTGACTTCAATTATGGTGTAAGCATTTTTAATAAGACTTTTTTCAGAATGGTGCCCCTTTACGTTTATGGTGCGCTTTTGTTTGGAAATGTATTTAAACAAAGCTTTATTCTATGTTCGCTTAGAACAGTGGGCTTACAAACAAAATTTGAAATAATTTATTTCAACAAAAGATTAGCCATTTGATACGAACACATTCTTTAAATGTAAATACACAGAAATAAGTGTTGTACCATTTTACGGCACTACAGTTCATTGTGTGGTTTAAACATTCGATTAGATTTATCAGTTTAGGGACATGCAAAAAGGGGGCTTTGACATACCTAGGGGTTTACCGTTACAGTCCTGGGGGTTCTTATATTTATTTTTATTATCAACTTAATATAGTAGATTGTGGGGAAGGGAGAATTAGTTTTCTGATTTATACCCAAATCAGCATTTGGGAAATCTGTCACTAAATGGGTGAGAGCACTTATGAGTATAACAATGTCTCAAATGCAAAATTTGTTACATAAGGAAAAAATTCATTCCATAATGATGTCCCTCTTTTATATAAAAATATTTATATATTATAAATTCATTATTAGCTTTTTAAACGCCCCTCAGAATAAGTTTCTCCAGACCTGTTTACTCTTACGATTTTAACGTACAATGTACGAATTTGAGGTGTATACATTATATATATTTATTTTTTACATTTAACATAATGTAGTGAACGATTTTGTGATTATATTGTACAAATTTAAGAGTTTGAGGGTAAACAGGTCTGGTTTCTCTCTAGATTTTGTACTGACAGCTATGTAATGAACATTAAACGTTTCCATCTTATACTAGTTCAGTGGTTCTTAACCTTTTTGGGGGTACTGAACCCACCAGTTTCATATGCACATTCACCGAACCCTTCTTAATAGGAAAAATAAAATATTTTTAAAAAAAAATTGTTTGGACCTCTGCCGAACCCCAGAGACTGACTCCCCGAACCCCTGGGGTTCGATCGAACCCAGGTTAAGAACCACTGTTCTAGTTCTAGAATGTTCAATTTTTTATAAGGGTTTAAAAGTTATATAAATGTCCTGTATTATGTTTTTGTAATGCTATAAATTTCCTTTAAATAAAATATTTTAAAATTGGTTTTATAGATATATTTGAAGTGTTCTACAATATATTTTCTTTTTAATAGCCTAAGCTGTACATTAAGCCTTATGTTACAATACATACTTCTACGTAAATTATTGCATCTAGGCCAAACATACTTTCATAATCCCTTTAAAATATTGATGGATTTCTAACAAATAATACACATGCACATCTTTTTTTTGCATGGGGGCCCTAATTTTATTTCATATAAAAAGCTCCATCTTTGGTGCTTTTCAACAGATGTTCAAGGGAATATTTAAATTTTTTTTTCGTTATCCAACCTAAAGTTAGAAGACTCAGACTGTAAAATATAAAGATTTGGCTCTCTTAGTGCCGGGGGACCGGGACCTGATAGTAAAAATATGTTGGCTGAAAATTAATTTGATAAATAGCACAAGCTTGTTTTTAAACTATTTAACTTTAATAGAACAATAATTATTTGGGTCATTAACAATATTAAGAAAATATTTTTGAAAAAATAAATGAGTGAAGCAAAATCAAAGCCATGAAAATTTTAAAAGACAAGGGTCGGACATTAGATTAGACTGGACATTTTCCTTTTTACATTTATGATAAATCCGATGATATCAGCCCACAAATTTGGATTTTATTATATGCAAGTACTTTGATTCCGGAAAAAGGAAAACTATTTAAAAATTGTTTTGAAGCTACACTTCTTTTTGAACGCATTATTCTGTGTTACTATATAGTATAGTGCGTTCAAACAAAAATTTGACAACAGTTTTAACTTGTGAACTGAAAAAAAGATTCAACCAAACTTCTTTCAATCAAATTTCCAGTTTGCAGTTATTGTAAGATTATTGATTCTGTTGCTTGTTCACTGAAGAAGGCTTCTTGTCAATACGTTTGCTGTTTTGTTATGTCTTTTTTCAGGTTTTCCCATACTTAGTTTCCCTTATTTCCTTCAAATTCCACCTAACTGCACACTCTCCACCTTATATTTGACGCTGAAATGTACATTTAATACAATGCAAGTACCTTTACAAGCATGGGATCCATAAAATTTCCTGGAGGAATACTGTCTAAATATTTTTTCAGATCCATAGAAAGAAATTCAAAGACCAGGTAAAGTTTGTTCTCTTGCATCAGGACATCTTCTAATCTAAAAAACAAAACACAAGACATATTTTATGAAATATGTAACATCTTTATTTCCTCAATTATACAGTTCTCTTTATAAATTCATTTATGTGGCAATGTGCCTCTATTTGCAACTGCATTTAGGTAACATTTTATATGCAGCAGTATGCAACAGTCAGGAATAAGAGAATCCACTCTCATAGTCATAGTGAGACTGCTGAGGGTAACCCCAAGCCATTACACATCCATGGTCATTTAAAGTAACACACAGCTGGGTACTGGGCTTAAAATTTATGTTTAGTTATTTACACATGGGAATAACCATCCCTGCCCCGGGGTTGACCCATGGTCAGCTCGGGTCGCGGGTTCCCTGTGACTGTGGGCATTATAAGGCGGGTGATTTAAATTTAAACCGGAAGGGGGGCAAACTGGGACTTGGAGTGTGTACATTTGAGATTCTGATGTGGAACGGATGTGTCGGGTCTATCAACGGATTGTACCTTAAATTAAAAAGCTATAGTTCTCAGACCTGATTGTTTTATTGTGATTGTAAGCCATGTCACCACTCGGCTACATAAAAAAAAAAAATAGAAGTCATATTTTAAAAGGCATCATTACTTTGCCAAAAAATTTGTAGGAGATTGAGATGATATAAAAGTTTAAAAATTTAAAGAAATCACCCCCCCCCCCCCCAATTATATTTGATATTAAATAAACCCTTTCTTTCATAACATAAATTCGGTTAGGAACTGACAAAATCTGCTTAAATTAGCCTTTTTTCCTGAAAAATATGTAGCTTTATGTGATTCTAACAAATATCAAATTTCTACATTCTTCACTGACAGTTTGGATAAGATCAGACACATATCAAAAACTGGCACCTACAACACCATATATGTAATCAAACTTTTGTAATTTAGCATTCTCTTTTTTTGTGTGTGTGTAAGTAACATTAAATTGAACCAAATTCAATGTTATTTTTTTTAAATTAACAATAATGGATTTAAAAAAACAAGTAATAGATTAATATCCTTTCTTATAATTCAATCCATATTAATGTTTGCACCAAGTACTACATTACTAAGATATTGGGAACACTATGTTTTAAAATACAGACATACACATCATCTCATAAGATTTTTAATATATATATATTAATAGTCTTGCTATACTCATTCATTTCTGGATAATATTTGCCAATCCTGATGATTCCCTGACAAATATATTTTGTTACAATTCAAGCACATAAACTACTTACGAAACTATATTTGGATGCTGCAACTCCTTTAACAATGAAATTTCTCTAATGGCAGTTGACGGCACTCCTTCTTCTTCAGATTCAAGTCGAATTTTTTTTAATGCTACCAAACGGTTACTTTTCTTGTGTCTGCCTTTATAAACAACACCATAGGTACCTGTTAAAACAAAAGTGCATAAGTAAAAAAAAAAGTTAAAAATAACTTTTAAACAATAATTATAATTAATTTCCATTTTTGTGATATGCCTGGAAGTCATTTAATTGCTCCCAGGTGGCTTTAATGAAATTTATTAAAATAAAAAATAATCAGCAAGCCATTCAAACACTTCAAAAATGTGTGCCTATTTGCAGGACAATTAGAAGGTTAATGTCTGGCACGACACTTTGACTTTCTGTGTAGGTTTCTCTACCTTTTGTTACTTTTATATATTAGTTATTTTTTCTCTTTTTTCCCAGCTTTAATCATTTTTTTTTTTATTACTATATTGATTTTTCTGACAACATAGGGTTTTATTTTAGGTGGAATCTGCAATAAAGTGTGTAAAAAAAACATTCAATGAAACCGTTATTTGGGTTTTCATATTTTTAATATTTAAAAAATGATTTTATCTTTTGATTCAAAATTACGATTTTCTTAGTGTAGCACATAAAAACTCTATTTTAGGGTTCACGTTAGGCCATAGATTTTAGGTAAAAAGATATACGCTAAAGTTGGGGGGGGGGGGGGGGGGAGAAAGGGAATAAAATTTGGGGAAGAAGAGAGACTAAATTTAAAGGGGGGAACTCTTGTGTTGGGAGTCACTGACTTTAAGGTAGTAAATTTTAGGATTGAAAGTATTTCTAAATTTTTTTTATTTCATTAAATTTTAGCGCTTTTTTTCCCTAATTTTTGTTTCGCTCTGCAAGTAGCTAAAACACCACATTCTCTCTCCTTCCCCTCCCCATTTAAGCAGAAGTGTTTTCGCACTAAGTTTTTTAAAATATATACACCACTATCTTAGTTGCAATGACATGCCCACCATCATGGAAATCGAGGGAAACAGACATTTTCCCTAATAGACATTAGAACTAAGAGGCCTATTGACAAATTGAACAGAATAGAGTCTAGAGTAGTTAGCAGGAGAATCAAAATTAAATAAACTACGTTTAAGGCCCATAGGCTAAAAATATAATTGTTATCTTGTTTCAACAATACTTTTATAGGTAACAAAGGCTATAGTGACTAAGGTACGGTGAGAAGAAGTCCTAGTTTACCTAGGAAAGTCATTATTTTTGCATCACATATCATGCCATCCTCAAAAGGTCAGAAAATGTCCGGCATGTGATATTTTCCGATGAACTGCTTACTTTTCACTCAACCCATTTTGATGCCAGCTCATACTTTTCTGCCCATTATGACGTCAGATGGTTAGTTGACCTTCTGAGTCTTACGTCTACTGGTGGAAATTTTGCAGCATGGAAATTACGGAAGGTGGGGCCAAAGGCGGAAGTGAATGGATAGTTGGATAATATTGGCCATGCATTGGTTGCTGTTTCATAGAGATCATTACATTCTTACAAGTGACAAGACATGTTTTGTCCTCGTACATAAGATTAGCCAATAGGCCCACTCTCACCTTCATAAAGGTTGATCACTTACCATTATGTCGTTTGACCTGAACAATATTCAATTAAACTTAATTTTATACGACAAAGCTGAAAGGACTGACAAACTTTATTATTTTTCTTTTGAAATGTAAGTTCAACCCTGCAGTACACACTAACTGTATTCTGTACTGTCTGCAAATTATGTCTTAGTTGTTTTCTTTCAGAGTGACATTGCTTTTACCTTTGCCCGTTTGAAATTTGGTTTGCTTTTCCATTTTTTGGAGTTGGGACATGCACATGTATGTGCAGGATAGGATGCCAGAAAAGAGAATGCCAATTTAATGAGACTCTACAGAAAAAATATCCTTGCTTAAACACAAACACAGAGTGAATCAGGCGCATGGTGCAATATGTCGTATTTTCTGTAGCACATAACGGCAGATACAGATATTTCTAACCACTTGGTGTACAGACAGGCACACAAGAGCAGTAGGTGCAAGTGTGTCTTCAAAAAGTTATACAGAGTTATTTATAAATGTAAATTGTCGAAAAAATGAAAATACTATGACATACCACACAGTCAGTCACAACCACAATATCCGTTCCATGGACTGTACCGCAAAGCTGATAAAAAACTTTAGAAGCAAATTTTACTTGTGCAAGAACATAGACAGAAGCAATTGTTGTGAAAGTTTTCTCACTCCTTGCAATGAAAAGTTTGAAAGATAAGCTGGAAAATGCAAATGTTTATGTTCATCGATGAACCCAATCATAAGAGGTTGAACATTTTTTCTATACTTGTTCACTATTTTTTGCCATCAACAGGAATTAAAGTAAAAAGCATTGAATTTAAAGATTTACCTGCAGAAAAATCTGCTCTACAGCACCAATATATTATGGAAACTCTGGAATCACATCAGCTTTCATAGAAACTTTATTTGCCCATAATGCCAATACAAAGTTTGGTGATGCAGAGAGAAGGGGAAAAACAATATATATTGCAAACTAAATGAAACAATGAGTCATTAAGTCCTTGGATGTGTAGCACACACTGTTCGCAATTCTATTCAATCAGCAGCAGAGTGTCTCCTTTTCAGGTCTGCTTACAGTACCGGACGTGTCTTTTTGCAGTGACCTACTTTTTCCCCTGTGGCCCAAGCGCATCTATTTGCCACATAGAGCAGTATCTAATATAAACACACAAAAACGAGGATATAACCTTTTACCAGTCTCGAGCAGAACATTTATTCGTTTTTGTTTTTTTATTAGTCTAATTTTATTTTGCCTTTTAAAATTATGAAAATCGACCAATTACTGAGTTTTTTTGTGTGTGCGGATCTCTATTTATTGGTGATGGCGACTTAGGCTCACTTGATGAAACCTTTTGTTCTGGAACTATTATTGAGCTTTAATTGGGATTAGATGATTCTGATGTACAAAAAAAAAAAAAAAAAAAAAAAAAAAAAAAAAAAAAAAAAAAAAAAAAAAAAAAAAAAAAAAAAAAAAAAAAAAAAAAAAAAAAAAAAAAAAAAAAAGGGAGTGGGGGTGAAATTACTGAAGGAAATAGGCCTACTATAGCTCAAAATTTACACCTACAGGAACCTGTAGGTTTGACAGATTGTAGGCCAGGTGCCAACGTATGAAGATCGACTGGACACTGCTATCCACACAATCCCCCCTAGTGTGCCATTGCAAATGAAAAATTTGAACAAAAAAAACATTAATATTTTTAACACCTTATCCATTTCTGAACAGATAATTATCTACATGTTATATCAATTGTTTAAAACAAAATAATTTTCAAACCTATAAAATTTTGGCTCATTACAAATAATGTCTGGGCTAGAGGGAATAATTAGCAAAATAGTAGTTGGTACTGAAGCTGTACATAGCAAAAAAGTAGGTCAGTACTAGAAGGGTTAACACCATGTGAATACCAGCTAAATCGCAACTCAAAGTCAATGCAATGAAATATACGCTGGTTGTCAATTGCAATTCCAGTGAATCATGTGACAAATTTTATAATGTGTTATTAAATCTCCTGATGCCCTGAGAGCTATCTAATCATCTTAGAAATATTAGTGTGTCATGATTATGAAATTAATTACAATTCACTAGTTAGTAACTCACTGACTAGCTGTTTTTCCTTTTATGAATAATGAACATTGAAAAAGTGACAGGTTCAACCTCAGAAAGCATTAATAAATTCTAACCAAAAAACTTCTGGACTTTTAAACTTAGACTTTATTGTACACAAATATGTCATTTGCTATGCCTGATTAACACAACATAAAGAAATCGGTACCGGCATGTTCCTAGCATACAGTATGCTATACTATACTATATACCTGAACACCAATGAATTTGATCTTTACTCTTCATGAAAGCATGTCTTACTTTGAGGAGAAAGAGGGGCTTCCTCACCCCAACCCTAGTTAGCTCCAGTGAAATCTGGTCACTGCAAATAAGGTGAACTGGATGGAATTGATAAAATGTTGCAGACTAATAAAACTATGTACTCACCTTCGCCAATTTTCTCAATCTTTGAATAATCATCCATGATCTTTACAATTTTTCACTGAAAATTAACCAAATTAAAATGAGTTTAAATTTGATAAGAAATTTTTATAAAAAAGGCAGCTTGGTATTGCAAAATTTAATTTAATGTGTTTTTCGGGTGTCTCCTTAATAAAATAAATATGTCTGAGTAGAGTTTTTTATCATTAAGTTTAAGCAGTAAGTTGTCTAAGAGGTCCACTTTAATTAGGCCTAAATTTACTGGAGTTCGAGCAAATCCCAACAATATTAAATTGTAGGTAAACAATGGGGATGCCTGCCTCTTTTAATAATTTTATCAAATTTCACGAATGTATCCCTAAATCGATCTCTATGCCTAACCTGAACCCTAAATCGATCCCTATGCCTAACCTGAACCCTAAATCGATCCCTCAACCTAACTTAAACCTTAATTCACTGCAACTAAAATATAAAACACACAAAAGAGGCCGTGGCAGCCATCCTCGGATGTAGCCAAATTGTCTATACATTCATTATTCATAGCAGATGGATAGCTAGATCGAGGCTTTGATTTCTGCAAGATAATGATAGTTATTTTAGAGAAACTGATGCATGTAGGTACATCATGAGACATTACATACTCATGATACTGACTCAGTGACTGACGCCCTTGTTCCTTGTACTAGGTATAAATTATAAACTATAAAGTAGTTTTTATTTTTAAAACCCCGTAAACATGGCCTCATAATTAAGATTCAGACGCAGCCAAACTGGGTAAAAAGTAAAGTTAGATATTAATAAAAGATTATAAATACATTTTTTGATTAATGGCCATGCGCGTTTTGTCTTAGATTAATAAGAGAACCAAAATTCGTACGAGAATGAGATGAAGTTCATTGAAATTGCGGCTCACCTGTTTACGCGTTTCCCGTCTACAGCGGCTTGTTTAAACTGGCCAATGGTATGGTAGCTCGGTTGTTAATAGTAAACATTCGCTAGGTGGCGCTCATCAGCTATCATTCGTTGACAAAATAATTAAAATCAAATAATTTTTGTTGGGAATATACATTTCATATTTGGCTGGTTACAATTTTAGCAATTTGATATAGACTAATATAAATATAAAAGCCTGGCATTTTGGCATTTATTAAATATATTTCATTAGTTACTAGATACTTAATTAATCCACTGAAATATTATATATTTAAAAAAAAAGTTAGATGATATGGATATGAATATGGCTTTTTAAACGAAATTATCAAATTTATAATTTATACGATTTTTAAATTTCATCTTTTATATATATATATATATATATATATATATATATATATATATATATATATATATATATATATTAT